TGCTGAGATTCTTCCAAGGATGGCTGTCCATGTCCAACACAGCTCCTGGCGAAGGCTCACTGCATGTGTGCCCCATGCTCATCCAGAGTACCGCCTACACTATCCTCCGACCTTTCTTCGACCCAGTGTCCTCGCAGCCGGTGCTGGACAACACATTCCCCGGTGCCGTACCCGGAACGTGTCAAGAGTACAACCCCGTAACACATCCTCACCTGGATCTCGAAACTACCATGGTGTCCGTCCCCGAGGTAGAACCGGGTGACTACGTTGCCTGGCACTGTGATTCCTTGCACTCCGTTGACAAGGAACATCGCGGCAAGGGAGACTCCAGCGTTCTCTACATCCCTGCCACGCCTATGTGCGAAATGAACGTGGACTACCTGCTCAAGCAGCGCCAGGCTGCGCTTGCTTACTCTCCGCCCTGGGATTTCCCGGGCGCTGGTGGACCCGGTGAGATCGGTTTCCAGGGAGCACTTGACTGGAGCTCTGTTGATGCAGAAGGCCTGCGCGCCATGGGTATGGGAAGTCAGCCATGGGAGATTACCGACGACATGAGCGAGGGAGAGAAGGCGGTTGTCAGAGCTGCCAACAAGACCTGCTTCGGGCAAGCATGAGTCTCTTGCATAAGATGAGCACACTTGGAGTCACAAACTTGTATTTGTATTTGTACATAGAATAGCATCAAACTGTATATCATTCAGACTATATCACCGTCTTGGCAGCTGTATGAAAGACCTTCCTGTAAAACATGATTAATATGAGGTAGAGGACATGTGTCGCACTCTAAATGTTTGACATTATGTCCACGCCGATGTCAGTCCTATGGGAGAGCACCCATCAGTAAATACTGTAACAGCTGTTCTTGATGATGGAGAATTGGGAGAAGTGCAATCGAGAGAGAAGCTGAAGCTGTAGTGGAGACACAAACCGGGGGAAAAGAGATTCTGCCCGATGATACATCACCGCCCGTCATCGATGGTCCGCAGCTTATCGTTCGTCGGCCACCATCTCGTCCCAGCTACCTCTCTCCTCTGTCGCCCTCCAATGCCCGACCGGAAACATCAGTCATAACTATGTGGCTACAGGCGACGCTTCTCTTGCTCGCCTCGTGCGTTCCCTCGTCACTGGCCATCTACCGGGACGAGGTCAACCACGTCGATTACCATCACGCGCTGCTTGGCTTTCCCACTTCCCAATCGACCTTCTTCCTTAAACCGTCTACTACCTCCAATGCCTCCTTGCTCTACACCCTCTCAGAGAAGTCGCTGCTCGGTGCAGTGAACCCCAGGGATGGCTCCCTTGTCTGGAGACAGAACCTCTCCCGATCTGATCTGCCCGCGGCTGAAAGCAATCCCCACGGTCTACTCCGCGCCTCCGAAGGCACAAACGCCCTGGTCAGCGCGCTAGGTGATTACATTTCTTCGTGGACTGCACTGGATGGCAAATTGATCTGGGAAAACTGGTTTGAGGGTGAAGTGGTCGCTGATCTTGAGCTTTTGGAGCTGGAGGATGCCAGTGCGGCTCCGTCGACGAAAGACACTCTGGCGCTTTGGAGCGGAAAGGCTGGCGTTGTCCGAAGGCTGGATGGAGATTCGGGTCGGACGAAGTGGGAGCACCTGGATGAAAGGTACGATTATACTTGTAAATAATGTCTGTTGGAGCTTCCATCGCTGACACTTCCCGGTTAGCGGTGATATTCCCCTCCAATTGTCGTCATCGGCCACCGAGGTCTTCTACGTCGCTCTGCAGCCGTCCTCGCGGAAAGGATACAGAATCAAGGTTACTTCCTTGGATCCCTTGACCGGCCGCCAAACCCGACAGCAGATTCTGAGCTCGGAAAGTGACTTGTCTAGCACCAACTCGGTTCTCTTCGTGGGCGCGAACACTGCCGCACCTATGATTGTCTGGGCGGATCAGTCATTCAAGACACTCAAGGTCAACGTCATCGGTACGAAGCTGGTACACTCGTTCGATATTGAAAATACAAGTGGTGAGAGTGTTAGCTCTATCACTGTCCATGCCCCCAAGAAGCTCGAATCGCTGCCGCATTTCCTGGTGCATTACGAGACGGAGTCCACCACTTGGGCGGAAGTCTATCACGTCGATCTCAAGTCTGCTTCGGTATCCAAGGCCTACGAACTTCCTCGCTTGCAGGGATGGTCCGTTTTCTCTACGAGCAACAAGGATGCCAACGTCTACTTCACCCGTATCACTCAGTCGGAGACGACCGTCGTCTCTTCAGCCTCCCATGGGGTATTGGGAAGATGGGTCCACCAGGCACCCCCTATGGAGCAAGCCCTGCACTCTGTGTCGGAGGTCGTTGCCAAGGATAAGAGCGTTGCCGTCCGGACGGCCGCTGCTTTGGAATCTGGTGATTGGCAATTGATTCGCAATGGCCAGACGGAATGGACCAGATATGAAGCTCTGTCGGGTGCCCTGGCCGCTACTTGGGTCGAGGAGGCCGTCCAGGAGGATCTGGCCCATCAATTAGAAGTTGAGGGTCACGAAAGCCTCTACGGGGCCTACGTGCACCGCGTCAAGCGTCACGTCAGAGACCTTCAGCATCTTCCCGAGTGGCTGAAGGGGCTGCCCAAGCGTATTTTGACGAGTATCTTGACCGATGAGGTTTCGAACCTCGATAGTTTCGGTATTGTCAAGTCTGTTATTGTGGCCACAGAGAACGGAAGAGTATACGCCCTTGATGCCGCCAAGCACGGCGCCGTGTCCTGGAAGGTCAAGGCTGCGGAAGCGGACTCGTGGAATGTGAAGGCTATTCTGGCTCATCCTGGCACTGCTACGGTGTATGTCGATGATGGCAGCTCTGTCACTCTGGATGCCACGTCTGGCGAGATTCTGGCGCGCACCCCCGGCACTGCAAAGATCCGCTCGGTTGCCGTCGCCCACGATGGCAACGCTCCCGTTACCGTCGGCATCAAGGACAATGGCACACCCCTGGCGCCTATTGATGGCCCGGGTTTCTTCGTAACGCTGAGCGATGATGGCCGTGTCCTCGGATGGGCCGCTCGCGATAACAAGCACCCTGTCTGGCAGTTCCTGCCTACCCCGGGCGAGAAGATCATCCAGGCCACCGCGCGGCCCTCCCATGATCCTGTTGCTTCTATCGGTAAAGTCCTGGGCAACCGGTCCGTACTCTACAAGTACCTGAACCCCAACCTCGCCCTCATCACTGCTGTGGGCGAGAGCTCTGCCACCTTCTACCTTCTGGACGCCATCTCCGGAAAGATCCTTCACTCCAGCACCCACCAAGGAGTCGACCCCACGCAGCCCATTGCCTCTGTTATCTCCGAGAACTGGTTCGCCTACTCCTTCTGGGCAGACGCTGTCGACCCCTCCAGCGCCAAGGGCTACCAGCTGGTGATCTCCGAGCTCTACGAGTCCCCCGTTCCCAATGATCGCGGCCCTCTGGACTCAGCATCGAACTACTCCAGCATCAGTGACCTCCCTCTGCCCCACGTGATCTCGCAAGCCTTCATCATCCCGGAACCTATCTCTCACATGGCCGTCACTCAGACCCGCCAGGGCATCACCGTTCGCCAACTCCTCTGCACTCTTCCCTCCTCCAATGCCATCATTGGCATCCCCCGTCCCGTCCTCGACCCCCGCCGTCCCATCGGCCGGGACCCGACCTCCACCGAAGCCGAAGAGGGTCTCTTCAAGTACAACCCCTTCCTCGAATTTGATGGCAAATGGTATCACACGCATTCCCGGGAAGTTTCCGGTATCAAGAGCGTACTTTCCGCCCCGACGCTGCTCGAAAGTACTAGCTTGATCTTCGCCTTCGGCGGAGACATCTTCGCTACACGAGCAACTCCTAGCCAGGCATTCGATGTCCTGGGCAAGGGATTCTCCAAGCTGCAATTAGTCTTGACTATTGTGGCGCTGACGGCCGGTGTGATTGTTTTGGCTCCGATGGTACGTTTACCTCCACCTTACCCTTTCTACCACAGTTGTGCCATATCTAGTAGACAGATAACTAACCGAGATTCCCTTTAACAGGTCAAGAGAAAGCAGATCAACATGATCTGGAAATCTAGATGAACACCAGTCTGAGTTAGTTTAGTTGCGTTGTGATTGATGTATTATAGCGAAACGTTGGGATGGGATAGGGTGGGACTGGGGTGGTAGTTGACGAAACTGCTGACCTACCTGCCTTTACCTACTACTACTATTTACTTTTAGATTTACGATACGATGTAAAGACGTAATATAACAGATGTATACAGTTATAGTATTTGTTTTCTCATTAGTGATTACCAGCGACCATGTTAATATCCCATTTCTTGTTTATATGTCCAGGAGAAGTGGGGTCTAATAAAACTCGAATCCATTGTATACTAGTACTTGTAGTCCTAGATCTTTCTCAGCCAGAATAGATTATATGGCACTTCAGAAATGCAGATATTCGTCTATCCGCCTCTTTTACACTAAAAATTTGACCTGAAAAAGGTAGATCGAACTTTCCCAGCGGGGTTCTTATAAAGCGAAAACCAATCCCAAATTCATCCAAGAATACTAATGCAACTGGATCTCTTATGTTTATCAACAAACCGATCAGTACAGTGAGGAAGCCAACTCGTAGGGGCCTGAAAGAAGTATGAGAATGACCATAAGTATATAAATAAAGCCCGAAAAACATGCATCTTTCTATGATGACGATGATGGCTGCTGCACACACACCCAAGTCACACCTATGACAGATCCTGAAAAATGACAATATGAAAAATGCAGTATATAAGACAATGATGATGTTTGTTCAAGCCCGGATAGGACAATGAAAGATGTGAGAGGAAAGTGTAGAAAAGTGGTATATTATCTAGAACGGTAGGTAGGTTGCAGTAGGAAAAGGGTAATGATAGATAAATCGGATAACCGCTGGCGCCGTGGCTTGGGTTCTATTAGTAGTGCCTTCGACGAAGAAAGGGAAGAAAAAAAAAAAATTCAGTGAAAAGTAGGCTCGGAAGAGTAATTAAACAAATGACTTAAGCAGTCACTGTTTGCGTCTCAGTCTCCGATGCGGGAGCCGGCTCTTGCAGAGGAACTTTCTCATTCTCGCTGCCTTCCGAGCTCTCCTGCTCAGTGGGCTTTTCAACCTGCACGGGGGAGGTGTTGTTGTTTGATTGAGCTGGAGTTGCGCCAACAGGAACGTTGGACTTGCGGCTCTCGCCGTTCACCTTTCCAAGGATTTCGACGTGGTCGCCCTTGAATAGGATTGGGCCCTTGATGAAGTTGGGCTTGGTCTCTCCCTCAGCGGGAGGAGATTCCAGTACCCCGACGACCTTACGGGCCTCCTCGTCGAGATAAGGCATGTCGCCCCACTGCCATTCCAACTCGCCGCCATACTGCTTGGGGATGCTGGACGGGTCCATGAAGGATGTCAGGGTGGGCTTTACTTCGGCGGCGGAGAGGATGAAGATCTTCGAGGTCGTGCCGGGGTCGAACCAGCGCTTAATCCAACCCCAGACGGTAGGGAAGAAAGAGGGTGCGCCGATGATCTTCGAGGGATAGCTGGTTAGCGGGATTTATCCCTGAGTAAGGAGAGGTGATAGACTCACGAAGATCCGGTCCAAGGTCTCCGGGTAATGAGCAGTAGCCAAAACACTAGCATCCTGCATATGACCCTTCAAGTTCCAGAATTGCTTAAGTCCAACGCCACTAACGTCGACGATGTTGGTAGATGTGACAATGGGGGTTTCCGGGTTAGGACGAGGAAGCTTCGAGCACAGAGGCATAACGAAGTTGAGGAGGTTCTCGTAAAGAGCGAACAGACGCAGGAGACGCTGCGGAACCGTGGAGGATTGGTGCGTCTCGGCCGTAGAGGTAGAAGAGGACATGGTCTCGTTGTATGCGGCCATGTTCTTGCTGTTCAGATGCTTGATCTCGAAAACATAGACGGGAATACCGCGGCGGTCTCGACGACCGGTCCATTGCGGATACTAGACAAGAGCATGTTAACGACTATCGCCATACACGTATAAATCAGTTCACGAACCATTCGCCTGGCAGCATCGTAGGATTCCACATCAATGTTCTCGTAAAGCGATTCAATGGCATTATCCCGGCGCCAGTCCTCGGTGTCTTTGAACTGGCCCCAAGCGCCATCAACGTCGAACTTGCGCGCGCGAAGGAAGCGCCTAAGCGTAATACACGTTAGCTCCTCTCCAATGCGTGTTCATCGAGTGTGACGGGCTCTATGTAGACAAAGCGCGAAAGGAACATACAGCATCGTCGCATCATCATGGCTCGCCTTCTCTCCATCCCGTTCCGGCTTGTAGTATCCCTTCTCTTCACACAGTTTCTTGAATTCTTCCAGCTTCTTCTCCTGATCGTCAGTCAGATGGTGAAGATGGCCAGCGAGCCACGCCGTGCCAGCCGCCTGCGAGGCCGACGCAACGGGGTCGTTCTTGTGTTCGATTGCGTCATGCGCAGAGTTAGCGTCGCTCTCCGACGCAGGTTGAGAGGACTTCGTTCCCCAGAAAGGCATTGTACTAAATTAACGAGATTGGGTATGCTTGAAAGTGGGCGATTGCAGGAAAAGTACTGAAGTTCAAGCGGGTCCCTGGACGAGCTGAGCTCGGCGTCGGCGGAAGTCGGTTGGTTATAGTCTTATCTGTTTCGAGCCCGTCACGAGGCCTTGTTTCAAGTCGAGAAGGCGCCGGCTACGTCGATTTCTAGTCACAAATGGTCCAACAACGAGCGAAAGCCGCAAACACGAGGGGAATGGCGGGGATATGGCATAAAGGACAAGAAAATTGGGCTGACGCTGCGAAGTCGGAAAAAGACAATTCGCCGCATCGGACAGTCGCGGAGATAGCATCCGCTTATGTCATCTATGCACATATTTATGCAGGGCACACAAAACAGGAAGGTTGCCAAAGATCCAACTTTTGGTATCCTTATTCAAAAAACATATTTGAGAAATCCTAGACTAATGTAGCACAGCTTTTGGAAGCTGTCAATGTAAGAATGCTCCAGAGCCACTCAATCCGTCGCTCATGGGAATCAGCATAAAGCGCCATGTGGATAATTGTACAGACATCTTCTTCCGCCACCCCAAACACAACACTATGATAAGTGTAATATTCAGTCCTCGGTCAGATCGCCATACTCCCACATACCCCGTCGTTCCTGCTTCGCCTCCTCCTCTACGTTGCGAAGGTGCGACAGTGTCTCAGTAGCGGCCCGCTCCCAGGCCTTCAGTTTCCTGGGCACCATGGCCAAACCCTCACGAACAATGTCGGCATTGATACTGTGATCCAAGTTCTTGGACTCGGTAGGGTCCAGCAAGGTGACGTGCAGGGTTCCGTCCGGAGACACGTAGTCGACGTTGGCAACAAGCTCACGGTTGTAGACTTGGTCTTCTAGGAAGCTGACTGCATCCTGCAAGTAATCTTCGGCACCAGGGAATTGGACAAAGGAGAGCACTGCATCAGCCGCCTGGGCGCGAAGCTTCTGGACGGAGAACTGCGGCTGGCTCAAGGGCCGGAGGCGGGACCAGGGCAGGACTTCCGAGTTACCGAAATCAATGTAAACAACCTCAGCCTGCTGGTTCTCGCGATCATTGCGACGGACCTTAGCGCGGTACCACTCGTTGTCCTCGGTGAACTTGGCGGCAACAAAGTCACCAGCCTTGGGAGGTCCAGGCAGCGGAGTGTCGTTGGCCTTGTTGAGGTGAAACGAACGGAAAGCACTCATCAGCTCCGTCAAGGCAGAGGTACCTGTGCCAATCTGTTGGACCTTAACGCGGCCAGTAGTAGGGTCGACATAAGTGACAATCACGTCGCGGTAGTCCTTGCGACGCTGGGCAACCTCGGTGTCAGTATTGTTGTTGCTGTTAGCAGGCTCCTCCTCGTCTTCAACGACGTCCTTGCTAGGATCCCAGTCGTGCCAAAGACCCTTGCGAGCCTCCTTGGCCCTCTGCTCTGCAGCAAAGTACTCTGTAGCGTGACCAGACTGCTCGGCAGAGTAAGCGTGAACAGTAGCAAGACCCTCCTCAAGGAGTACCTTGGTGAAGTTCTCCTTGTTCACATACAGAGTACCAATAAATCCACCGACCTTGTCAATGGTCTCTACATCGATCTCAACATCACGCTGCATGCAGCGCTTGTTCGCCAGATCATGAGCCTCCTGGCCACAAGGCTCGGACGCCTCACCGGGGTTACGGGCAGACCGGGGAGCGCGGATACCCGACAAGACGAGAGTCAACTTGGCGTTCTCACGAGGAACCAGAACGGTGAACCGAGATCCTGACTTGACAAAGTCGACAATAGCCGGCACACGCTTCTGGCGCTGGAGAATGGAAACTTCCATCTTGGCCTTCTGAACACTTTCCGAGTAATCCTGGTACTGCTTGGGCTTGGGGGGCTTAGCAGCCCACATGCCCTTGCCTTCGGCCTGGGCCTCTGCTTCAGCAAGCATGAGGTTGTCATATTCAGGAGACCGGTCCTCGTCATCCTGGCGGTGGCGGATAACGGAAGCGTAACCCGCCTGGACAAGGGCCAAAGCGATGTTGGTGTTTCCGTGAACAACAGTGGCAACCTCCCTCTCCTCGAATCCCTCCGTAGCGGGCTTCTTGCCGTTAATGGTGACCTTGACATGCTTTCCAATGATCCTCTTGCGCACGAACTCCTTGGCATCGGCAGCAAAAGGAGCCTGCTTGGGATCAGATGGCTTCGGTTGCCTGACACTGCTGAGACTGATCTTCTTCTCCTGACCGGCCTTGTTGCGGATAAAGAGCGTGTCTGCATTCAGCACGCGGCCAACAACGTAGTCCTCGGCCCCGCCAGCAGGACCCTTAGGAGCAACCAGACCAGTGAAGATGCCCACTCTGGCGTCCTTGGCCACTTTCTCTGCACGGCGGAAAGCTGCCATCTCAGTACCGAGCAGGGCAGAGTGATGATCGTGGCAACGGGCAAGACCAGCTTCCAGCAGGAACTTGGCAACATTGCCGTTCGGGTGAAGGACACTAGCAATCAGTTGACCCTGAGGGGTGACGCCCAGAAGAGACACCTGGACCTTGCGCTGCAGAATCCTCGACTCGACGAACTGGAATGCCTCGTCTCCATACGGCTCTGCAGGCTGCTCCTTGCCGTCAGCCGTCACTCTCTTGGCTGCTGGCGCACGAACACCCGCCATAGCGGCGACAACCTGCAGGTGTTCCTCCGAAGAGAGGAGCAAACGGACGATCAGTCGGTCGCCATTCAGAACCCTCTCGACGATACCTTCCAGGTGCTTGTCCTTCCATTCGTCAACCAGCGCCTTAGGGTCAGACAACTCGTAAGCGGTCTCTGTGCGACCATTCTCTGTGCCAGCCCATGTTCCCTTGCCCTCCGTCTGGGCATGTTCCTCCAATGCACGGAGTCGTTGCAGGTACGCCACAGTCTCTTCGGACTCGTCGCTGCGCTTGCCAGCCTCTTCGCGGACACGAGTCCATCCTTCCTGGACGCTGATGTCGGGGAGGGAGACGTCGAAAGTCGGGAGTTTGATGGTACCGTAGTCGCGCTTAGCACCGGTAGGGATGGTGTACAGGACTTGAAATTGCACGACTTTTCCGACTAGTAGCTCGCGGAGAAACTCTCGGGAATGGAAGCCGTATGGCTGCGGAAAGAAAACGGCTAAAGTTAGCAAGGTATTGATAAAGCAATTAAGCGGTGCTAGTCAAAACGAAACATGGAATCGAGTCCAATTCAGTCAAGAATGTGAGATTCGGATGGAATGCAGCCAATTGTCCCCAATGTAGAGGCCACCTATCCAAGCAGAAAAGAAACGGCTGTACCGCGCAATGACATTGCATCTGAAAGCACAAGAAAGGACCAACTCACCTCATCTCCCTCTCTGCGTAGCCTCGGCGCGGAGACATATGCAAGACTGAGAATGCGTTCCTGGCCGGGGTTGGTGATATGCGACAGCACCACCGTGTCGCCGGACAGGACAGATTTCACGCGGGCTTCCAGAGGCATGGAGAGCGACAGGCGAGACCGGTAATTGACGAGACGGGGGGGTTAGAAGACAGAAACAATTAAGGAGAAAGGGATGTAAGCAATGTATTATGAGAAGGGGGACAAGAAAAAAGACCGAATGAATGATAGGGGAAAGGGAGAAGAAGACAGTCGGACTACTTCCATTGAGGCCAGGTACAGCAGTCCGAGCGGCCAATCGCGCGCGGGCGGGCACCTGACTTTTGTGGGGGAGTTCGACTCCGAACTCGACAGAGCTTCTCTCCTGCCACTTTCCGCACCGTTGCTTGCGATTCGATCACGGAATTAGCTCGCTAGGTCCAGTGAACATGATGAGTGAATCTTCCATGTACTCAGTGGCTCTTTCCCGATCATATTCATTGAACTACAAGCTTCTTGGAGCTCCATCACTGCAGTGGGTGGAAAGCACCACTTCACTGACCACTTCACCAAAGATGCTTCACCAAGTAGCATAGTTGAGCTGCAGCATAAATACTTGTCTACTCAATGTTTCTGGCGACGAGCGCTGAGCTGATTGATCAAACTTGGGTATGTCTTCTTCGCTCATCTCTGGCCCAGGTATTCCATGACACCGTGTATGTAGCTGTAAGCGCTAGAAATCACCCTAGGCCGCAACGAGTACAACCTTAAAAGGAGACGATGATGAGACATTGTGCATCTTAACATGTACTACTTGGATGCCAAAGAAGGAAAGCTAATTCTTCCAGTAGAAGGGTTACATTCTGTGCTACCCACAGCAGAGCTAATCAGCGCTTCGATACAGTCTGGCAGAAATGCCGGTAATCATAACAGTTGGCATCAAGTCATTCGTGTGTTCATTTTTTCCTGTCGTCGACGGGATAATGGCAGACTACTCATTCTGATCTAGCCCTTCACATCCTAGACAAACAGCTTTGGAGACTGATTAAGGCATTTAAGCAGCAATGCCAATGACACCTGTGACAGACGAAATCAGCAAACAATGTTCAAGTAAAGTAGATGGGGTATCGTGGTAGGGATAAGCTTACCGCAAGCGGGACGAGGACCAGCGTTACCGGTCTTCTTGGACTCCTCGTTGCCACCACGGCCAAGGTCATCAGTACCAGCGTGGACGACCAGGGTCCGCTGTATCCATTGCATTAGCATCTTTACAAAGACTATGAGCAAGAAGGGGAGGGATAAAACGTACGCCCAGGACGCTCTCAGCACCGATGAGCTTCACCAGCTTGTCCTGCTTGGAACCAACGGCGTTACCCTCGGCATCGGTCTTGAAGTTGCCAAGGTCACCGACGTGACGCTCGTCGTCCTCGGGAGCACCGTGGGTCTTGCCGAAGGGGTTGAAGTGAGGGCCAGCGGAGGTGCAGCCGTTGGTGTTGTCACCGAACTGGTGGACGTGGAAGCCACGCTCAGCGTTGGCGTCGTGGCCAGTGATGTTCCAGGAGATGGTGGTGGGGGTGTTCTCGTTGGCCTGCTCGAAAGTGACAGTGCCGGAGACCTTAGAGTCTCCACGGATAACAGCGACTAAGAGATGGATGTCAGCCCATGATTTGCATTGATGGAAACCTTCCAGAACCACGAGATCCAACGATCACCGGCCATCAACCAGACTTGAATCGTGGTACTATTAATACGAAAGATAAAACAAAGCTCCAGCTGACGGGGGACGAATGAGCTGGCAGATGTCACCGAATCCCCCTGAGCTTGTCCGGCTGGCAAACAGGGTCCCCAGACCGTGATAGGTGCAGGAGGGATCGCAAGGTGCTCAAATCTGCTCACTCAAGGTCCCCCGGCCACGGTCGATCGTGGATCCGTGGAGGGGGTTAAGGCCAATAGCAGAATAGAAAAACCAAAAGGGCTGAAGAAAAGTGCAGGTACCTACCAGCCTTGACCATTTTGACGGTTTTTGAAGATCGGATTACCTTGGATCTAGGGGTAAATTCAAGATTTGGAAGAGGATGATGGGAAGGAAAAGAGAGAGAAGAAGAAAACGAGGGGTAAATAATGAGCGACCCAACAGAACAGCAGCAGCAGACTCCGAATCAGTCAGTCAGAGTCCCTCCCTCGCTCGTTGCTCCCCAGTGGATTCGATGGGCTTCCAATGTCGGCCTTTCCCTCCATCGGCAGCTCACCAAAAAACCCCCACCAGGCGGGGTTCTTCGGAATGACGTTTTGGTGCTGTATTCCACCTTCCCGAACCAGCTTTGGGGGCACCACAGTAGCTTTTCCTTCCGCGATTCATAAGCAAGTTGGGTCCAGACTGTTTCTACACGTATGATTGGTGTATCACTGGGGTTACTGAGGGGAAAGGAGAAAGCTTCTCCGAGGCCCAGTCATTCTCATGGACGGAAAAGAGAGGACAGAAGCACCTCCAGAATGCTACTTTACCTTGCTGTCAGACCCTGGACCTTTCCCGTGGGTTGCAACGAACTGCAGCGGGAGGTGCAGGTAGCTAAGGTAAGGTAAAGAGGTATCGATCTGTATCAATCAACCCCACTTGCCGTGTGTATTATTTCTCGCGTTACTCAAAACCTCCTACTTCCACCACCACCATCACGAATCACCTCATCGCTCTCGTCATTCGCTTATGTTTGTCCTTATCTTGGAAATATTTACCGGAGTCTGGTATTGCTGTTGAATATCAACACGTGTAAATTATTACTAATCGAGACCCTTGAAGCTATCCTTTGGGGTAGGTAGTCCCTATAGAGGATGTTACTGACCTCGCTTAGAGTACAGCATGAATCTACAAGAAGCTATAACGGTCTGTTGATAATGCACCGTCCATGCTGGCAACATTATGGGACACCTTTTCTATACTGTAGTTGCTCGAAGTCTGCACAATTATAGCCTCCCCCAAGGTGCCGCTACTTAGGCGTCGTTTCACCAAGCGATTTTATAAGATCACAACGAGTACTACCAGGTCCGGAGCTTCATTTCTAGTATTATCCCAGAATTTCGACTCGAAATCTCTGGACATTCTTGCTCCTATTCCACCAATTTAATCGATGCTCTATAAGCTTGTGATAGCTCAGAGATCAAAGGATGCTGCCAAGGTCGCTCATTAAGTATAATCGATGCCTCAAAAGACTGTATCCGAACGGACCTGCCTCGGTACCTGCCTTTTAGACCATCCTATGCGTGTAATGCAGCCTTCAAGAGGCCTAAGACCCCTTCACTCAGCGGATGTTATGCCATTGACCGATATCTTCAAATACAACAAGCGATGTATCGAAGAATATGAAGCCTTTTACTTGGTCACCCACTGGATCAGTAAGTCTTTCTGTAGGACCTCTGTCTATTTCGACAACCCCCAAATTCCTTTTACTACTATGCCTGACCCCCTGGGATCAGAAGCGGGGATCACATTAACGCCAAGACTTTATCAAGCACGAAGCGAATCACAATGTTCAAGGGTAGTTAGCAGTCTATCATCGTTATGTGCCTTTACCAGGCGTTTCGGGTTCACAAATAGTCACCCGGCACCGTCCAGTTATCAAAATTTCTACAACCCTAACTCACTATGACGGTCGTCATCATGTATAACCCGCTCGTCTCCTAAAGTAGAATCATTCGGTCCTGTTATCCCATGCTTTGATTCTAATATGCCGCTCACTATCTCCAAAGTTAGGGCAAGTGCAGCTTGGTCAAGCTGCATCGTTGAATGGCATCTCAGTGCACGCATCTCAGTGCACGAGAACAGCTTGATATTCAACGGAGTGCCTCAAAAGGGCCTGCTAAATCAAATATTGCTCACCGTTCACTTCTTTCGTTCACCTTTTACGTTGAATCTTGGGAATCTGGAGATATCAGCGTTCACTTGCTGGCTTCCTGCTGGGCTATATAAACCTCCTTCTCCTCCCGCTGAAGTCTCTCCTCTCCTTCTTCTCCCCATCTCCTAATTATCATGTTATACTTATATATAATAATCTTCCATGACACTTCTATCTTTCATTTACGACTGATCACCTGGTCTATCACATTTATATGATGGTCAAGTCCACAGATTATCTGGTGCAAACTCTCGTGCTCCGAGACATTGGCAACAGAGCATCTCAAGCAGAAAGATCTGTGGAAGGTGAAAGAAGGCACTTGGGGGCTGTCTATGATGTCCTCCGAAAGCAACTGAAGATGATGATGAGAGAGTCTTCTTCGACAAGTCTCACTCTATTCGGTTCATAGAACCCATAATCGAAGCAGAGGCTTGGCCATATTTGCCTACAACTCTCGACGATTTTACTCCTCCATCTGACGTACAGAGAGAAAGTAACATGGTAGTATTCATGACGTTGAACGGTATGTTGAGGAGACATCCTCCAGATCTCATTCTTTGATCCATCGATCCCGCTGCTGGGATTATATTCGAGAGTCACCCGTCTACAGAGCTTTCACTAACCGGTAACACTGGATACAGATTACTTATATGAGGATAGCGTTACTCGCATCTCTAAAGCATAGCACTATCATATGGCATTTATAAAGAGATGAGCAGAGCAGTATCGGATATTCTCCACTAGGTCTGGTGGACGAGCATCGCAAGATCGCTTTCCATCCGGAACCTTCGGTTCTTTCCGGCTATGTTCTCAAGAAGACCAAGATATGAGCTGATTCCGGTAACTATTTCAAACTTTATGGTTCTATGAACATGCGGTCACTCCAGAAAAGCTTTGAACACTTCGTATTGGAGATAATGATAGAATTCAACTGATGTGGGGCTCCGAGCAGTGTCAGCGGCCAAAGATTGCAAACAAGAAAGGAATTACACAGTTCTAAGGAGACTGCCCTTCTCTGGACTCAGTCAAACTAGTTCGAAAGAGACCATGCATGGTCATGGCTGCTTATCTCTGGGCTCGCTCGGCTTGCGGACAGGTGGACTGAATTATCTCAGACGCTATCCATGATCGATATTCGCCATGACTAAGGAGAACTATCTAAAGTGCTTGCTGCACTTTGTGACGCCCTGAAGTATATACTGATCAAGCGGCTTATTGCCCATGTTCAAAGCCAACAAACGCTTCACTGGCACATTATCCCACCTGCTCGACATACTGAGAACTAAACGAGATATTACAACAGTCTCATCTCACCCAGGCAACCAGGGTTACCCATAGCTACTGCAACACTGGAGCTCTATTTATACATCTCACTGATCTATCTACCGGTATTTGTTACAAAAACGCGTCTCTGGTCTTAGCCAACCCGCCATCGATGGAACTTACTATCGAATCTGAAAGGTGACGGACAATACGATCCAGGATGGAATCTTTCTTATCATCTCCCAAAGGTATCATTGAGATCTCACTAAAGATATGCACCTGCAGGTGACGGTGAGGCAACCGTTCGGTGATACAGGCAACGCGGGTATGATGGACTGGATTCGATCAATTTACTAAATCTTTCGAATCCCCACATCAGCTGGAAATCACCAATATCTCCAGTACCTTACACTGGTTACTACACAATCTCCTTCGCAGCGTGCCTCTTCGAAGCATGAGAAAGCGCTCACTACATAGCTAAACCAATCGATGCTTCTTTATCTCACTCCATCTATTCAGGTTAGTACGGCCTACTATCTCATGAACTTTAAACGGAGACTAGAACACTGGGTGAAAGAAATTACAATACTTACTTTTTCAAGTCTATCAGAGATAGTATATACTCGGAAGGATCAATCGAGCGATCCATCTATCAACTGACATTCGGCGTCGGCTGCATTGAGAATCGGATAGCACGGATGATGAAGTGTTCCCGACAGATCCTTGGACCTCAACTTAGAGGTGAATAATCGCTCCATCACGTCGCGGAGACCTTGCAAGACGAACACATCTGATCTCACAACTAAAACTCGCAATACATGAAGCGGCCGTGGACGCAAAGGCACAGCTCTGAGCTTATCTTCGAAACACCCAATTCCAGGGACTGAACAATTTCTAATTGAAAAAAAAGAAGCCCTTCAGTATTGAAACTGCCAATCAAACCATATTCCAAATATTCTATCGATCATGTTTGATACTCGGTACTTTCATGAGAGGTGACCCTGGACTCAACTACTATTGAGACTCCATTTACCTTGCCACGCCTTCGCACCTCAAAACTGCTGCATCGCCGCCAATCTCAAGTCGAACAATACAATGAGTTGTCAGAAGCTGAGGAATGTGGCAATCTGGAGACATGGCAGTGAGTCAGATGAAGGAAACGCTTACTCTTGAACTTAAAAAGCCGAGGAAGTATCGCCAATTCGTATCGTTGCAAGGCAATCTCAGCTATATCTTTTGCCTGATTTATCTCGACTCATGACTAGCCCTAACAAAAGTTCATGAGGACATGCATGGAGCGAGTAATACTGCACGTCGCCAATTCTCGCATGAATACCGAATACTTCGAGCGTGACCGCTAGACCATCGAGGAACTACTTCAACCTATACGTCGATCGAACAAACGCAAAGCTTCGTGAAATACAATGCACTTCCCACATTAAGGAAAGTCACACCATTCACGACTATCTTGAATAACCCAAAGATTAGATGGAATGGTCCATTTCGAAGCCTCACACGACAAAGAAGGCTAAGCAAATTGGGTATTAAATCCCCGAAATGATTTACCGGTCTATTGATCTAGTAGCCTGACTTTTATGAAATATATCCGGCAGTTCCTACTTTTGACTTCTGACTTTCATGGGAAGTTAACATCTTCGATAACGCTCAACAAATGATCTCGACCTAATAAGTAGGACAATCCTACGCTTACCTTCGAGACCTCAGATGCGCACATCGGCTGGCCTCAGCTCAAACTCTCCGGTCGGCCTGATACTCACTAGCCCAGAGAACTTGTGATTGATCACTTTCCAATACTGTGATGGCAAGAGAAGGGGCACTTGATATACATCCTGGCACTGTTGACAGTGATATCGTCTGCAAACGAGCGGGCGGAAAGCTCACAAGCAAGCACGGATGTGTGCACAGGTGAACGTTCCTCAAGTGCAGAGCAAACTGGTCGAGGTGATTTGAAAGGAGAGAAGTTAGAAAACTAGGAGGACGGAATCAATGAAATCGTGTACTGAATACTTCAGACGGAAAATGCTCGATCGATCGCATAGCCCAATTTCCGTCGAGTGTATACTGCGCTTTTTACTCGGACGGAAACCACATCCCTATCAACAACTATCCTCAACAATCAGAACTTAATGGGTGAAATGGTCCCAGGCTTACCATCGAAATAGGAACATCGAGTACAAGCATCCTTAAATGGGGCTTCCACCACTTTGATGAATCAATCGTTCAAAGGAAATCGCACTGTGCTCAACTATTCTACATAAGATCGACCTTGGTGCTTACCAACGAAACCTCGAGCCATCGGGGATCATACGCCTAGTGGGTATCGATGATACGACGAATGATCAATCCCTTGCTCGCTCGACCCTTTCTGTTTTAATGTTCTCGGCGAGATGAGCAAAATCATGGGTCCATTGAGAAGAATTCTCTTGATGAGAAAGTCCAGGGACATGGTACTTTCTTGAAACATGCATGATGGCAATATGATCGTCATGCACATTGCATAAGCAGCGCCCTTGAAAATGTATATGCAAGGAAAGACTCTAATAACTACATTGCCATCTATATGATCTCTCTCTCCTTATCTGTCGACGGACCGATGGCAATCACCTTGATATCTGCGACACTTGACTTGCAGAGCATCTGACTCAGTCTATGGTCCCCTTTTAGTTACTGCTGCAAAGAAGAGAAGAGTCGAGCTCGCCGGCTCCGCAGAAGGATTTAATCGACAACTCAGATTAGGCTGCGATGGCGGTTCTATAGTGATACTTCTCGGTCGAGAGCGCGAAGTGGACGATAATCCCGATAATAATCATGTCATTATATATGACACTTACCAGAGGATCAGACGGCGAAAACGGTCGCTCTTATTATAGAGCGCGGAAATTGAGCACATCTCTTGCTCATCGCACCATTATCCGCCAATACCGTGGCCGAAATGGTAAGGGAGCTTTCCGATAACCTTCTTCTTTCAGTCCTGAAAAGATATACCTAGCATATACTAGGACTCGAAAATGGGCACATCTCTTACTTATCGTGCCGTTATCTGCAATATCATGGCCAGAATGACAATGGGGCTCTTCGATAACTGCTTCTTTCAGTCGGAGAATATATAGAACTCAGAAAAAGGGCACATCTTCTGCTCGTCGCGACGTTATTCGCCGTTACCATGGCCCAAGATGACAGTGAATCTCTCCGATAATCTTCTTCTTTCGGTCTTGAAAAGATATACTCGGAAAATGGACATATCTTTTACTCATCGCGCCATTATCAGCCAACACCATGGCCGAAACGACAATAGCTCCGATAGCCTTCTTCATTCGGTCTTATACTACTTGGTATATATATGAGAACTCAGAAAATGGGCACATCTTTTGCTCGTCGCACCATTGCTCGCCGATACGTGGTCAAAATGGCTGGAGCTCTCCGGTAGCCTTTTTTTCACTGCTTCTTAACGGCAAAATGGAAAGGAAGAAGCTCACTACGACAGTCTCATAACTGTTACTACAAGGAGAGATTCCTCAGAAAGACTTGCTGCTGGTCCTTATTATACACGACAGGATTCAATCGACAAGATGTATACATGATTGGTTAACTGCAACCATTCCGTCATGATCGCATGGGCTATTTCCCACCCAATAATGGCCTGGTTAGTGTATGGACATTGACGGAAAAGAAAAGTATTGTCCGTGACATTAGTTGAGAAAAACCAATGATTGCCCTTCTTTATTATTCTAACAGCTTCTAAACGACAAAGAAGAAGGAAGAAATCACATTGGGAAGCTCTTGGATACATTTTCAGGTTGGAGAATTCTTGGCCAACTTTTTACTCGGCTCCCACTGAGAGCATCATTGACAGTGATCTTGAGAAAATTGTGGTAAAGCCAGATACTAGTGCTGCTGCTAGTACTGCCATCCCATCATGCTTTCAACATCTACTTCCTTGATTCAATGAGCTGTTTACTAAAAAGTATACACTGAATTACTGACGATATCGCCAAGTATCTGGCAGAGATAAGACCAAAGAACAATTGATGGTTGTCTGCCTTCTCACTGATATTACATCCACCTACCAGATAGCAAAAGGAAGAGAAAATTGACGCCATGAAATTGCTCATTAGTACTACTACGAGTCCATGGGCACTTCCATCGCCAAGTAAGGGCGACAGGAGCTGGGGTCAACTCATGGTTGTCCTTATCATCAACACCGTTATCACTATTATCGTCTCCTAGCAGCAAGAGGAAGAGGAAGAAGAGCTCGATGCTCTCGCTCATTACGACCACAGGAGAGAGTCTAATCGATAATATCTACAAGATCTGGATCATCATTACCATCCCATCAGGCTTTCGACATCCAGAATCCTAACACTATATACTTCCTATCCAATATATACAATATGGTCAGTGTCCAATGAGACCCTGATGAAGAAAAAAAGTATCGACGACGAGTATCCCAATCATGAAACGGTTGCTCCTCTTCGCCATGTACTCTCACTCCTCCTTTGTACCAGCAACTGAAGAAGAAGAGAACAGAAGTCACATCGTACTCATGCTTATCACTACTATACAACTCCCACTTATTCCAATCGCGAATCCAACTTATCGATAGCACATGATTATCGGATCGCTATTGCGACTGCGGTGTCTTCCACCCACTGTCAACCTGGCAAACTGTCTGCCTTCGATCATCTTTCCGCTGATGATGCGCAGGGCTGTGATAATCCGCTTTATTTTAGCAATCTTGCATGCAAAGGATAATTGTCTTTATCTTTATTGAAATTATCACTCCTCATCCTAACAGCGAAAATAAAATAAGAGGAAATGAAGCTGCGGATAAAATAATGATCGACACTCGCTCATCCTTACTTCATATTCAGTACATGAAAGGATCCAACTAATAATACATGATATAAGTTGGGTTGGGTGAGAAAAAAAAAAAAAAAAAAAAAAAAAAAAAAAAAAAAAAAAAAAAAAAAAAAAAGGGAGAGAGAGAGAGAGAGAAGAAAAAAGAAGAAGGAATTGATATAAAGCCTTAAAGACAATATCTACTCCCACCCAAAAGTCCTATCTATTCCACCGAAGGATCCAATCACCAACAGGTCATTGGGTCATGATGGATTGGATGATGCGCAGGGTCATGGCGACCCCCTTTACTACTGCGGACATATATGCAGAGAATAATCAACCTTCTACTGTTCTATTACTCCCTCTTTCCAATAGCAGAAGATAAAGAGGACGGAAAGGCAATCACAAGGCACGATGGACTCGCTCATTACTACTATTACCAAATTCACGAAAGTCCAATAAACAATATCTAATTATCAGATTGGGATGGATTGGATTTAGTTCTGTCGCGTCTCATCTGGTTTGCAACATACGAATCTTCAGAGAGCAACTTATGAACTAGCTTTACGCCGGTTATGCTTACGACTTGCGGGTTAAGCCCAAATACTGTCCATCTGACAATTCATCTGCCTTGCATCACATTCTTGGCTAATGCGAAGGTTTATGGGGACCTGGTATACTTTTGCAATCCGGCATTAGAGCATAAATATTCTCATTAAGATTGAGTCTACTGCTGCTTCCTGGCAGGGAAGGAAAAAGGGCAAGAAGTCACATACAAGACACGACGTACTCTCACTCATCACCATCGAATCCACGCGAGGAATCAGTCTACGAACCCATAGTATGATTGAATCAAGAACAAGCCGCTCTTTACCTCTTTCCTATCGATGGGCAGAGTTATGGCAGCCCACAGTATCTTTAGTGACACTGCCTAGGCCGAAGAATTCTCAATGCTTCTTCACCTTTCTTCTATCGCTTTCCCACTCTCCTACCGACAGAGGAAGAGAGATTGAAGCATAATGGACTCTTGCTTATTACTACAACTCACTTACGCAACGCGAGAATCCAATCAACAATACACTATATAATTGGATCGCGAATGGGGCGTTCCCCTTTATTATCGCTCTCTCTATCCATCCATCAGCCATGTCCCACCCCTCTACTGATGGACAACGTTATGCTGGCCTGTGTTATCTCTAAATAGCACCAGCTGGGTCTAGAGACCGGTTGTCTTACTTTTAATAATGCTCGATGAAAGCAACCGAAAGGAAAGAAAGAAGTCACATTGAGCTATATGCTCTTTACTGGGCCAAGCGGTCTAATGGCTTGCATTAGCAGCCCTCGGGTGGCGGTTTGGTCATCTATCTCTCTAAAAATTTCCTTCGATTGTGGGGATGAAGAAGATGACGACCACGATGGTGTGTCTGGGGTTTTATTGAGCCATCCGTCTGGTCTTCCCTATCTAGGGTAATGAAGAGGATGACCACGATAATGCCCGGGGTTTATTTTTCATATCTTCTGGCCTTCCTTCAATGGTGAAGATGAAGACGACATCTGGAGTCCTAAAGTTTTATACTTGACATCTCTGGCCTTTCGTTATCGATAGCAAGGACGGACAAAGGCAACTATCACGATGACATCTGGGATTATATTCCTGATATCTCTGGACTTCTCTTCGATGATGAAGATGGTGACCATGATGGTGCCTTGGGTTTTGACCCTGATATCCTTTGTCTTCTCTTTTCCAGGGTGGAAATGAAGATAATATCTACAACGGCATCTGGAACTTGAGATTTTTATCTCTCATGTCTTTTCCTCTCGGAAATGAGGATATAAGAGAAGAGAACCCTGGCAAAGGTTCGGAACCGTGATATAATCACCGATAGCGGTGAGTCTCTTGCGGAAAAGAAAAAAGGGAGACTTGGAGAAGGAGTGTACACTCTTGTCTGCTCAATCTTCGCCCCAAATCAACTTGGACGGTTCACACTTTGATAGCTCCGCCCTTCCTTCATCAGGGATAATGAGAAAGAAGTGGGAAAGGACATATATGTCGGCGCCTGGTGTTTCACACCCAATATCTCTCGGTCTTATGCTTATAATGGCGAAGATGAAGATGATTATTATAATGTCTAGGGATTAATTTCGACATCTCTACTCTTCTCTTCAATATTGAGGATGACGAAGGCAATTACTTCGAAGATAACATATCCGGGGGTTTATTTTTCTATATCTTCAGCCTTCGTTCAATGATAAGAACGGCAGTGACCCGTTCGATGGCGTTCTGTGGTTTGATCCCTTATATCGTGTGCTTTTCCGTTCTACGGTAAAGACGAAAATGACGATCACGATGGGCGTCTGGGTTTATATCCCCAATACTATCTCCGGTCTTTCCTTCCTCGACCTCGTCCTCAAAAGACAGTGACGATGGTGTCTGTGGTTTTACTATCGATATATCTTAGCTTTGTCCATCAATGAGAAGGATGGAAGACGAGTATAGAGCCTGGGTTTATTATTGACATCTCTTGTCTTCTATTACGCTAATGAAGATGAAAATGACTTGGGTTCCAAAGGATGAACTGGACCTTACAATTGCGAAGAGTACAAGAAAGGCCCTTGAGCTAGCTCAGACAGCTAACCCCGACCGACTAGTCACTGTCGCTACATATACATCATATACTATACTCTTCAGTACTACTGGCTCCGTGCTTCGAGCCACCCCTACTTTACTCAGGTAGTAGCTGGATGACCGGCACTGCCGTCCGTCTCTTCACTGGAATATGGGTATGGTGTCGATCAACATAGCTCGTTGGGTTATCGCTTCAGTCTCTTTCTTTCATTCTTCCTTTCTTCTCTTCTCCTACCGCGTGGCGGTGATGCATACTGCTGGCTGGTATGCTGCCTGCCTATTGGTCCGCGCCGTATTGGTAGACGACAATTTCTCGCATCGGGTAATCTGTTCGGATGAAGCGTTTGTGGATGGGGATCGCTATTCTCATTTATGATGGTCTCCATATCGTTCCAGTTGGTTGAATTCCCTCTTGACGTACGTACTTGCTTCACACACCGCACGCAGTCAAGAACGGTAGCCGGGTTGGTCTCGGTCTCACCCTGGTGCACGTATGGTTTTTACATAAGAAGTGGCAGTGAGTTGAAGGGATTAGATGAAGGAGGCCGAACAATGTTAATTGAGGGTGCGGATCAAAGTGTCTTTATCTTTAATCTTAGTAATCCATTGCATGCACCGTTTACTTAGCTTATAGTACTACATAGATGATAGTGGCAATAGTGGCATATGATAATCATAATTCGTATCTACCCAAACGAATTTTTCAGGTCATCAATTTTACACATGGGAATAATAAAAGAAAAGGTCATCACAAAAATGCACACATCAGATCAGTCTCCCAATCTATGCCTGGATCTTCTGCTTCAGGATGTCCTTGAGGGTGACGGCGTCAGCGGCGAACTTGGAGATACCCTCACGGAGCTTCTCAACTGCCATGGCCTCCTCGTTGAAGTCGAAGCGGAAGAGAGCCTCGTCGTTGATGTAGGTCTTCTTGGGGATGTCGAGGCCGGCGGCGTTGGCGGCGTCGAGCTTCTGGGGGACGGCAGCGGTGGAGTTGTAGAGGTCCTCGAGGAGGTTGGGCTATTTCTTGATTAATATTGAAATATAGAATGTGGCAAATGAGAGAGGAACTTACGGAGATGGTCAGGTAGTCACAGCCAGCCAGCTCGGTGATCTCACCGGTGTTACGGAAAGAGGCACCCATGACAATGGTCTTGTAGCCGTGCTTCTTGTAGTAGTTGAAGATGTTCTGGACGGACTTGACACCGGGGTCCTCCTCAGCGGTGTAGTCACGCTTGTGAGCGGCCTTGTACCAGTCGAGGATACGGCCGACGAAGGGAGAGATGAGGTAGGCACCGGCCTCAGCGGCAGCGATGGCCTGAACGGTGGAGAACATGAGGGTCAGGTTGCAGTTGATGCCGTGCTGGGACTGGAGGACCTGAGCGGCCTTGATACCCTCCCAGGTGGAGGCGATCTTGATGAGAATGCGGTCGCGGGAGATGCCGTTCTCCTCGTAGAGCTATGAGGAGCAATTTGTTAGCCACTAGAACCAGAAGAGGACGAGGAAGAACGAATTTCGACATACCTTGATGATGTGGAGGGCCTTGTCAATGGAGGCCTGGGTGTCGAAAGAGAAGCGGGCATCGACCTCAGTGGAGACCTTGCCGGGGATGATCTCGAGGATCTTCTTGCCGAACTCAACAAGCAGACGGTCGAGGGTGGCATCGACCTGCTCGTCGAGTGTCTTGCCCTCAGCCTTACCCTTGGCAACAGCGGCATCGATGAGGCTGGCGTACTCGGGCTTCTTGGAGGCGGCGAGGATCAGGGAGGGGTTGGTGGTAGCATCCTGAGGCTTGTACTTGCCAATGGTGGCGAAGTCACCGGAGTCGCAGACGACGACCTGAATTGATGAGAAGATGAATGATTAGCGATGCTTTTGAAGATGGTACGGCGGTGTCGGAGAGCTATGAATGACTTACAGTGCCGGTGGCCTTGAGCTGCTCGAGAGAAGAAGACATGGTGGAGGTAGAGAATGAGATGAAGAAAGGTGATAGATTGGAATAAGATGGGAGGGGGGTATAGAGATGGGACAGATAGTTATGAAGAGGAAGAAGAAGAGAAGAAGTCAGAAGCGGAAGAAACGGAGAGTGAAATAAGAAGGGAAGTGGAACGTGGCGACGAAGCCGGAGCAACCAAGCAGAGCACCGACGAGGCCCGTCAGAGGGAAGGAGGGGTTTACGGCGTACCACCAAAATGTATGGTGGGGCAAAAGCTGGCAAGAGGGCCGATGACGCTATGCTTTCTTCCCTCTCCGTCTCTTTCGCCTCAACAAACATAATATTATACTCAGTATCTATCTATGGTACCTCCTCTCTCTCTCCCATATCTCCCAGTCAATCAATCCAATGTCTTTCCATTCTTCGCAATATACATCCTCTCATTCTGATTGATCACCAACAATCCTGGTCCCCTTTCTTTCCGCCTTTCCCTCGCTTCCATCAACTTCTTTCTCCATACAGACAACCACAGAGAGAGAGAGAGCACGGGCTGGTCGGCGCAGAGTGCTCCGGCAACCGACCAGCAGTCCGGTCCACACTGCTCCTCTTTTCCCACCTTTTCCCTTCACCGGAGCTTGTCCACCACCCCTCCTTCCGTGGTGTTCCTTTTCCCTCTATTCTTACCCCCCTGGAGCAACCACTGTTATTTCCGGTGGAGATCCCCCTCTCTAGCCAGCATCCTCGGCGTTGTCAGCGAACCGTGTTCACTACTAAGTAAGTTACGGATAGGGTCGCCTTGCGAATGGCTTCTTCTCCTTACGGCTTGGCCTCGTCTCGTCTTTAACCCGCCACCCCCAGAGGCATTTGACTAAAAGTAGGTAACGGATCTAAATCAGTAGCTAGCTTGGTTCTTCCCCCACGGTCAGCTATTCTAGCTCCACGGCCCGTCTGTTACGACAACATCTACAACTGGGGTTGCTCGCACCCTTCCAGCGCGTTCATTTCGCCTTTTAAAATGGGAACACGCAGCATTGTGACAGTGACAGTGACTTGGTACGGGATTGCGATACTCGGCGCATACAATATCGGTAGACAGGATCATCATCAGACATGCCCGGAGGTATGGTGGGGCACCGACAACAGGGGAAAGAGACGAGGTCCATCCCACGATGACCTTCTTCTCCGTGGACTCGATCCGAAGCCCTCCGCGGAGTCCACTTTTTCCCCGGAGGTAGACAGATTAACTGTAGTTGACAACAACGGGCCTCCTCACCGGCGCTGGACACAGCTCCATTCGTACTAGACACCCCGTTAGCATACACACAACCTAACCCCTTTCCCCAAAAGGTCAGCCACACTCACCACTCGTCCCAGTTCATCGCCAGTATACACCACGTGCGGCTGGGCCATAATGCAGCTAATCCCCGCCGATATATTGGCCCCATTGTCGCGGTGACTGTCCACATGATGCAGTTGCCGGATCAATTCCAATTCAAATCGTCCGTGATGAATGATCTTGCTCCAAATCTGCGATCCATCAGCATCAGTATTTAATGTCCTTGACTGTACGGTACATAGGGCTCTTACGTTGACAACGCCTCTTCGGTGTCCAGTGAAAAGCAGCTCGCGCTCCTGCCACTCATTGTTCACCCCTTCGTAGAAGACACACGTCATGATCGAGTCGTCCACCGAATCGCACAGACTCTGTTCCAGCAGCAGAGACCCGTTGAGCGTGTAGAGGCTGACTCGGTCGCGTCGACAAATCATGATCTCTCCCGTCACATCGTTTANCCGAGCACACTGTACCTGCATTAGTATAAAGGACGTGATAATAGAAACCATAAGCGAAAAAGCACGCTTACATCAACAGGCCCGCTGGCTGGCAGTTCCCGGACGAAACACTGCCGATTGAGATCCCACAGCATAATCTGCCCGTCCGTGGATGCCGACAGAAGCGTACTAAATGACCGTGACACCGCAAGCGTAGTCACCGGGGATCGGTGTCCAAATAGCGACCCCGTTGGCTGTAGATCAACCGACTTGATGGACGAGGTAAAGGTCCAGATCGACACTGTACAGTCGGAGCCGGCCGTGACCAGCGTTCGAGAGTCCGCAAAGATCGCGCTGGACAGCTGGCCGATATGAAGATGCTCAAAGTGGCCCAGTAGCTGGAGTCTTGTTAGCTGCTATCATCCTGACAGAATATCTTGAAAATCAATGGCTAGACTTCCGTACCCTTCGGCTATCCGCAGAGTAGAACCTGACACTGCCGTCAAAGAATCCCCACTCCATATACTTGTCGTAGCTCGGTGGGATATTGAGTCGCAAGGCAGCGGCACACAGCAAACGATCTTGTTTCATCGATAAGGAGGCCACTCGCTCTCCGATATCTAACCTCTATTAGTCAACACGAAGGTCCAGTGTAGGAAAGTTATAGCTTTGATATCATGGTTAAAGAACTCACCAAGAAGCGCAAGGGGTTGTTGTGTCAGCGATTCGGCAAGCCGATCCAGTCGGGGGGTTCGGTGTCCGGGATCATCACGTTGCAAATGAGGCCGGTTGAAAATTTGATGCGGTGTCTGCCCGAAGTTGTGAATGATGCCAATCGTGGCGAGGCGCTCCACAGGGTCATCAATAGAGTCGATGTCCTTGGCACCTTGGTAAGACAAATGATGAAAGACATTCACTGCCTCGACCGCGGCCTCTCCCTTTTGCTTGCTTCCGAATACCAAGTCAATCCAATGGTGTAAGTTCTGGGTCACATACGGACTCTCGAGCGCCTCCCGGTGTTTAGCAATGAAGATCATGGGATCGCCTTTGGCCCAGGGCGGTAACTCCACCGAGTCAATCACAGTTGTCATGTTCTGCAAGAGCCCGAAATCGTACTTATTCGAGTTTACCAGAAACTCGGGGAGATAAAAGAATTCAGGTATCAACTCCCGTACGTCCGACATATTGCCGTGTGATGCAGATTCCCAGGCCTTTCCTACCGAGTAGAAGAGGCGGTCGGCATGATCAAATGTGCCCCCTTGAAGGAGTAGGTAGGATTTGACAAAAGGCTGCAGTCGGATCAGATATGAGCTCACGATCATCGCAGAAGAATAGTGCGTTCCGTAGTGGAATGGGGGAGCGTCGTCGTCCCCCATTTCGGCGAAGGCTTTGTACCGTTCTCTAAACTCTGCCTCTCGCTCTGGCGTTTGGCAGCCCATGGGCTTGGACAAGTCACGGAACGTTTTAGGGTCGTTCAAATCCAATTCGTCACTTGTATAGTCGGCGAGCACCCACGGGAAGACGGGATACTGTGTTAGATCGTTGAACGTCCTCCCAGCCAGTGTGTTGATCAGCATAAGGTAGTGGAAGTTGGAGATTTCACCCTTGACCCATTTGCGCGTAGCTGGATAGAGCGGAGAGTGCCCGAAAACGCTGGCAAACTTTGACCCGAAAGATTGCGGTGCGTCGTCCTGACTACGTAGGGTTTCAAACCTCCAAACATCCTCGGGACGCGCGTGGCCAACACTGCCGGTCACCTGGGGAGCTTTCGTCGCGAGCTGACTGCATAGACCGTCTCGGGCTCGCGACGAGATGAGTGTCAGCAAGTAGCTACTGCCATCGGTGAAAAATATCTCTAGCGCGACATCACGGAACAGGAAGCGCCGTTTGGAGATACTGATCAGATCAGACCATTTCCAACTTCTAGTTTCATGCTCCTGTGCTTTGCGTTCACTGGATTCTCGGCCGGCAATCATGCGAACGTAAGGATCGCGTTCGTCTGGCGGGGCTTGCCATACATTCACGATCTCGCCGTCTGATCTCTGGAAGAAGTTATCCAAGATGTAGATATGATCCTTCCCTTGGATCAGAAGCCCCTCAAATGCCTCCAATCCAATGATACGGGACATGTTGCACACCCCTTCAACCTGATCGCCGCGATGGAGACTCCGCATGACTTTTCGGTTCTTGTCCTCGTAGTCTTCAAGATCAGCCTTCGGATCTTCGATCATTTCGAAGCTATCTTCAAGCATACTCCGGCTATCTGGTGAAATGCCTTGCGAACCACCCTCTCCGGGCTCGTTATTTGCGACTGTGGGGGTCAACCCAAGGGCACCAGCACTGGATGAAGGTCGAACTTCCGTGTCAACTTTAATCGCAGGAGGCTCAGATGCCTTCCGTTTCGGCTGGTAGTTTTGCCTCTCGTCAGTCTCATCGGGTACTATGCGAAGACGCATACGGCTCCGTCCTTCTGTTTGATCTAAGCGCCACTTTCGCTCCTTATCCTCGGCCAGGAGACCGCCGAACCGCCGCAGATCCAATGTCAATTTTGAGAAGGTAGTCCACATGAAGACAGCATCATCTTGATGGTCCTGGAGAGCCCTTTGGAACTTCAAAAATTCCGATCCCGATATGTTCGATGCCCAGTGGGGAAACGTAACGAGGTGCTTGCGTGTCACTTCGTCACCAAAGGTGTCTATATGTTTCCATTGCTTCAGCTTCTCCTGGCGTTTAGAAACTCGGTTCCGCGACGAAGTTTCGATCTTGGAATTTTCTTCGTGAACAAAGTCCTCCCAATTCTTGGATATAACACCAAAGAATAAAGAGTGTAGATCCTCTTCCCGGTCGTTGAACCACCTTAAGAAAGCCGCATCATCCATACCCATTAGAGCTTCAAATCCAGCAGACAGCCGCTTTTGCAGGGTTATTGACGCGTGGCTAAGAATTGTAGCCATGTCGGCGGGTTTCTGTACTAGCAGGATTCGGAAAAGTCCTGCTGCAGCCAGGCGCACATTCTCGTTTCCGTCGTCTAACTTGATATACAAGAGGTAACATAGCAGCTGCAGGTGATTTGACTGGGCGTCACCAGAAAGGAGAATCACCTGCCAGTAGGACAGGCGACTCAAGAACGAAAGAGCTTCCGTGCCTTCGACTTCCGATAGCCGAAGCAAGACGACGCGAAATACAGTCGATCGAATTGTGGACACGGCTTGGCTGCAGAGCCTTATACTCTTGAGACAAGAGACATCAGGCCGTTGCAGATACTCAAGGATTGCACCTGCGAATTCAAGAGTTGCAGCCGCCCCGCCAACAAACCATCCTTCGAAAACTGCCTCCCCGAGGTGTGTCATAAATCGTCCCAGATTGGTGAGCACGCGTGGTTCTGCAAGTAGCTGGAGTTTGGAAAAGATGACCTCTTGCACAGTCGAAAGGAAATTCTTCAACACCCACGAGTTGAAGTGTGCCCGGTGTTCGAGCAATCCCGGTGGCGTTTTTAGGTAGAGACCAAGACCAGAAAAGTCCTTCCGTTCCAATAACTGCTCTGAGAATACAGAAAGAGCCAAGCTAAGTATGCTGATGACGAAGGGATGTTCGGGATTCCCCACATCCTCGATCTTTCTCGGATGGTACGCGTGGATAATGCGCGCCGAAGATGGCAGGGAGCTTCCCCGATCAGATGAGACAAGCACAAAAGAGGAACCGCGGCCAAGTGCCCCAGCAGCGTCATCGCGCGCTCCAGGCTGCTCCACGGTGGTTGTTCGCAGAGAAGCGGCTCCTCTCGACCGCGGGCGGAGGACCAGATTCTGATCTCCAAAATCAAGACTAGCCGCGCGAGGGTTTAACTCAGCATCCGTGCTCGTTGCATCGCAACCAACAACCACTGGATACAGCACGTAGAATAGATGTTGGATGTACTCAGGCTGCGTGGTAAATTCGCGAAAATTTTGAGACTTCACATGCAGGGTGGCAAAGAAGTCAGTGACTGTATTGAAAAGCAATTGCTCTCCGGCCGCCGTTGCTGCGGCCGTGTGAGAGAACATGGTTTGCTTGGTCGATTGACCGCTGGAAGTCAGATGCGTAAGGCCCCGTGCGTCAGATCGCGAACTATCGTTCGTCAAGACAGTCTTCTTCAGGGCACTCTGCATCATCTCAGCGATGACTGGGAATATTTCTGGAAATATTATATGCAACTGACCGCCGGACAGGAAGGCATCCGAAAGTCCATTGTGACTGAAGGGCCTGTCAACGATCATTTTACCGACGTCTAGGCCAAACAATATGGCAAAGCAAATTGACCATACGGCCGGTATTTTCCACCATTTTCTCAAGCAATGCCGCATGATAATATAGCCTCCTGTTTTCTCGGTGAACTTCTTATCATAGTTGCCGCCATGAGTGACCAACAGACGAGCTATGATCTTTGTCGCCAGAATCACGATTTCCGGTTCGTCTTCACATAAGAGATACAGAAGCCACTGGATCAAAGTCAATAACCACCGACTATCAGTGAGGAGAGGATTGAAACATACCTTATTGGTCACAGCCTTGGCGAACTTCTTTATGGGGCCAAGATCATGTGCATTGCAAAGTAATGAACAATACATCCGAAGCATTTCTGTGGCAATCACAGTGCTCGAGACATATTTTACTTTCGGGTCAGAAGTCGCTGCCTGCCGCATGCCTGCGTTGAATCTCATGCTCTTTTTCTTCTGTAGCTTACTTGATTCCTTCGGCTTATGAAGAGCGTAGGTGATAAAGAGAGCTAATGATCGAAGCAAATCCGCCGATAAGCTGCTCTCCATCAGAGATCCGAAAGCGGCAGTATAAAGACGCAATGCTTCGGGGGTACACTCCTCAATCTTAAGGGCCTCGAGTAATTTTTTATTTACACCTATTGATCATTAGCATAACCGAGTCGTAAGGAGATATCACGGGATGTTTAGGGAGACCCACGCATGCGAGCAAGTCGCTTTGCATTGAATCGGCGAAATTTACTTTCACTGGCAAATATACAGAACTGGGAGTAATACAGCTCGAGGAGGGCTGGCTCGCCATATCTCCAAACTTCAAGGTCGACGAGTAGGACCCTGTACGCCAACGGGTTCGTGATGATGGAACGGTTGGGCTGCTCGAAGTCGTAGCCAACAAATTTCAGCGTCAAACGGAGAAGTGCCAGAGCCAATGCAGACCGTTCCTCGTAACTGGCACAGACGCTTGGCGTCTTCGACGTTGTGGGAGTAGCCCCCGACGGCAAACCAAGCTTTTCGCGCAACAAAACTGCAAGTATTCCGTAGCCATTATCTTTTTCCATGGCTTCGCTATTCCTCCAGTTGTCTTGCACTGCTTCGTAGAGTGCCTCAACCGCTAGCAGCATCGACTCCCCAGTGTCGGCTGCATGAAGCAAACTCAGATGCACAGCCGCACACCCACCAATACGCCAACCTGCATCGTCTAGGGCGCGTGGTACCGCAATTACAGGGTCACCTGTCAAGATCCCAATACCGTGAGCCTGTGTCAGGGCGTCATTGATAGCAGGTGTAGCTCCATTAACTGCTATTGCGTTTCCTCCCGATTTGGTTAGTTGATGGAGGTTCTTGGCGGCTTGCTTGGATAAGCATTTGATCATCCGGGACTCGTCCACGGTATTACTGTCGTCGTCGTCTAGCACTGCCAGTGGCGAGACGTTCAGCAATATGGAAGCCTCACGGATAAGGGTGCTTGCTTTCCGCCGGATTGCAACAACAATATCCGACTGCTCTTCTTTACCGGGGTGCAGATGTTCATTGCGCAAATTCAGAGCGGCAGAAGCCTTGTATGTCTGAAAAGAGCCAAGGCAGTCTTGAAAGTTGCCATGATAGCGGGGGCCAAGGTTGTAGAAGACGGCAACCATATCATCGCTATAAGCCTCCTCGAAAAGGATTGCACTGGCCAGAGACCATCGTGACATGGACACCCCCTTCCCCAGCCTCATAGCCAGGTCCTGAGGTGTGCCAAAGAATGCTTGGACCCGAGCAGATCGATTGGGAGCGCTTGCAGCGGGCATACATGGATATTCTATCTTCAGCTGCTCGACAAATTCGCCATCTATGAACAATGAGGCGCGGGAATACGACGGAGGTCTGGGCTTCTTGTGGACAACACAAATATGATACCATCGACCAGGTTCGAAAATCATAGATTTGAATCGGACACTGGGGCGCGACCCCCGTATCGAGGTCTGCAATATGAAGTTCCGGGTATCTTTCTCAAGATATGCAAGTAGGAAACATGTCTGACTAGGGTCGAACGCCCCAAATATTGTCGTATGTGTGTTTGAATCAAATTCGTCGAAGCGCGCCCAAACTGAGAGTGTGTATCCAGAGGAAGTTGCTGGGGGGAACGAGCGCCCCAGAGTAGAAAATTCTAAGGAACAATATCCGTGCAGGGAGAGATCGAATTGTATGGATGCGGGTTCCTTGGAGGCCTTCAGAACATCGACCAGCAAGCGCGAGACCTTTGGGCAGCTGTGGGCTTTTTGGTAGAGGAAGACTGCATCCTCCAGATTGCTTATCCCTTGGGTACAGAGCAGCCGCGCGAGCTCCCGGTATAATAGCTTTTCCTGTTCCAGACGCTCATCGCTGACCAGAAGCGGAAGAATCCACGATAACACCCCTGTACCATGTAATGTGGTTATGTTTCTCTGGGAATGCATAGCAAGTTGACAAAGGCATGCCGGTACAGCTAACCGGAGGATACGATGATCAGAGGTTGAAGCCGAAGTCCGGGACAACCATACTCGAACAAAAGGCCCCAAGATATCTGCTACCTCGATGGTCTCTGAGGTTCCTACGCATCGATCAACCTCCGCTTTGAGGTCACTGGGAAGTAGCACAGGGGCCGATCGAAATCTGGAGTCCAACGTTGTGAATATACTGGCAGCGGTTTCCTGGCAAAGAATCGCTGCCAGGATCCCACCATAGAATTGTTCTATGTCTCCCTGCACGCAGTCCACCTTCTGGGCTAGGAGTGCAAGAGCTTCCTCTAAAGCCGCACTCCCTCCTCCGGGTACCCGAGCCGCAAAATATCTTTTATTCCCGCGATGATCCTTTAACGCCTCTGCCAGAACCGCCAATGTATCCTTGAAAAGGGCCAAGAGATATTTTCTCTCTTCCTTGGCTAATCGATCCGGGGCATAGCATTCTGTGACTTTCCGAAGCAGATCCAGCAGCGTCTGAAAGCCATGTAGATGTCGAAAGTCCTCTTTCGCTTCACGAGGGTGGTCATTGTCGATAAAGGTATGACGAAGCCGGAGTAGGCACTCGGTTGCTGTCGCAGCTAGTGAGGGGTCGATGTCATGTTCACCGCAGATGGTCTTTAGCTTCTCAACGACGGGAGTCAGTTCAACATCGGGCTGATCGATCGACGAAGAAGGGGACGGCGAGCGAAGGGAGATGGCCTGGTTCATCGCGCCGCTAAGTCTTATCCCCGGCTACCTATCTGACGGCAAGCGACCATCAGACACCATGAACCTGCACTTGGCGTAATAATGGAGACGGTCTGCATTGGTGGATGTGATGGGTTGGGAGCTTAACGGACGGAATCAATCCACGCACAGTTGTCTGACATGAACCAGCCAAAGTGGGAGGAGGAGGGGAAGCAAGGATAGTGCACTCCAAAGGATCAGCAATTGTGTGTCGGCGAGGGTTTGAAGGAGCGAGAGTCCCGGTCAAGATCCACCATAGAGGCTAGGAAATTCCCAGAAGACGCACGGAGTCTTAAGCCGCACGTAGTGCTCTTTCCGCACTTGAGGAAAAGAATGTTTCGAGTCCGATGAGATAGTCCTACACCAACGTCACTGGCGGCGGTGGTACCAAACCATCGTTAGCGGGGGGGGAGGGTACGGGATTGTTTCGGGGGGCGGCACAGTTCAGTTCAGTTCAGCTCAGTTCAGATTGTTCTGAGTCGACGGGCGCGACTTGCTTTCCCGCCGAGTGCAATTGGACAGTGACGGAATGGCCTTCTGTGCTGGGCAAGTGGGCAGTGCTGCTCTAACTTTCTCGCTCCCTCACCCGACCGGAAGGCGGGCGGCTGATTAGCTTGTCGCGCTCTTCGGCTGGACCGGGCCATTGTCATATCTTAGCCCCACAACTACTAGACCTGCTCAAGTAGAAATTGGCTTTCTCATTGAGTTTGATGTTATTAACTAGTAGTCCGATTGAACGCTGCTTTTAGAACAGGGCAAGTAGACACGATAATATTTTCACTATCTTTTGGTGGTTTGATTTTTTGCGATCAAACGTCATCTCAACTGCTACCCACAGCGTTTCATTATATATTTAGTTAACATTCCCCATCTCCCACCTGGTGAAGTGGCAGTAGTAGTAGGACTAGTGATTCTACTGCCTGGTATGATGCTCTGAAGACGGTGATAAGTACTAAGTATATCTTTACTACTACTAGCTGCTAGTATTAACTGATTGCAGACAGACAGAACCCAGAGCCTACTACTATAGGTTAAGGAACTGATGTCCAACTAAATGATCATTCACCAGTGTACTGCTGTCGGTGTAAATTTCAGGTTTGCATCAACATCTCGAATATGATCGTATATATATCTCAGAACTGCCGGTACTACGTTGCACAGTACCATCCAATGTCATTGCACATTAAGTCATGGATGAGTGTCATTCAAAGAGGGGTACTACTAGTACCAATGTATATGTGCGCAATACTATTAACTATGATGTGAGGATCTTAGTGCGCGTGCTAGTAAACCTATATAATGTCGATACTTCAGTCTTCCGTGTGCACCATACCTTCGGAAGCCAAGAACACCATTCTGAATTATTGCAGCTATCCACCATACCCTGGGCAGTAAAGACTATATCGTGGACACTTCGATGATCGACTGTCTAAAGTTCATGTCCATACTACATAGCTTGCCTTGATTACCACATGCTCCTTCCTCATAGAGCAAGCAAAAGAACAAAGAGACTTCAGTCTTAGCAATCACAAAGCAGTCGTTGACCGAACCTAGGCCCACAGCTGGACGATGTCAATCCTTTGTGTACTAGCAAAATCGCGGCAAGTAGTGACAAGTGGAACAAAGGCTATGACTTCTTCTGCTTACCACCAGCACCTCTGCCTGAACTTATGGGACGAGATAGCAGGGAACCCTCAAGCTCATTGCCAATCATTCGATCACGACCTATGTATGCACAGTTGAATTTTGAACAAATGAGCCTCAGCCAATCCGCTTCTGCCTCAAATAATGGTTGTTCTAGTGGCGGCATGACGCACATAAGCAACAAAAGCAATAATCACATTAAAAGACAACGGAAAAAGCAAGGCAGCTTGAAAAGTTTCCTGAGTATATTGTACGCTTGGAACGAGCCCACACGAATCAACTTGACCACTCTTTGTCTCATATACAGACTTTCAATCACGTACTTGAATCTGACCGCTGAACTGCTAGCCGGGCAGATGCATGAGACAACGCCACTCTGGTGACACTGGAATCAGACACAATGCCTACGGAGTACACCGAGATCGCTTTTGCAGTCGGATCTATCCATTTGCTGCCCTTCTTGCTCGGCGTATATATGTATGCCGTGCAGTCAAACACCGCGCGGTGATTCTCGTGGAACAACTGCCGATTCTTCATATGAACAAGGGTGGACCGAGATTATCCATGATTATTGGGTTTTTCCAGCACCGAAGAATGTCATTAGTCCTTGAAATGAGAGCCGAAACGATGCCACTTGAACCTTCATAAGTATGACGAAGACTACTAACCTACAGTTACCGTAAGCCCAAGACTCCTACGGGAGAGGCCGATATCGCAGGTCCGATGTCCACTTACCTACCAAACTGGGCGATATGTCTTCCAAGTCATGTCTATATCCAACGTCTATTTACTACAAGGAAAAGAAGTCAAACCGAGGTGAGCAAGCCACTGAACGTCGTCAGCTTGACACCGCCTGTTGATATAGAGTTGATGATCGGCGTTCAACCAAGACAAATCTCACATATACAGATGAAGTGGCGTGTAGGAAGTTCCATAAAATTAGGTAGTTAACCGGGTCTTCTCCATCGCGTCCATGGAGCACTTCTAAGCCAACCTCGGTAAGCGCCAGGCGACAAAGATGATCATCGGATGAAAGAGCATGATTGGCCCGATGGCTGCCTTGATAAGAGGGCGCCTTATCTAACGGAGCTCTGACCTTGAAAGGCGCCGTAATGTATTCGGGCGGGCGGTAATCCCTGGTATCTATTACCGTCCCTAGGACTTACCTAACCACCTACGCAACCGATCTTTCCTGGTTCAGGAGGAGTCAGCCGAGCAAACCCATGGTTGGCTTGAGCACGCGACTCGGCGTTGCCTGGGGACCGACCACGCTGCTCTGTGGCAGGTTAACATACCAGGTACCTGCAGTACAATGTCACTAGGTATACCAGTCATCAAAGGGGAGCTCCTATACATGTATGCAGGGTCATTTGATTCGCGAAAAAAAGAGCTATCCCATGCTAGTTGCGGAGGATGCGGGAAGCTCTTTTCCGTGTTTAAGACTGGGTATCCATGGCATACGGTCGGTAAGTAGCATTGGCTACTTACATGAAGAGATAGGGAGGGACCAGGAGGCTATAGCTACGCACTTCTTCATCGGGAAACGCCCTACTCCTTTGACTAACGAACTAGTCAGTTAGTTTGCTAGGTTCATTGAGTCACCGCCATAGGTCTTGCTTTATAAGGTACATTTACAACTGCCATACTTCAACAATACCGCAGGAAATGCAGGCTGCGCCCTAGTCGCCTCATTATTTTGAAGCAGGATCCGGTCCCTTATCGCCTGCGGGTACCTTGTAGTCTCCTGCTTACGTAGCGACATAGAAAACTGTAACCGTTTTCCGTAGCATTGCCCGCATGTTGTGAAGTGGTAGCAAATGGTTCTCGGGCCATAGGTACTCAACTTCCGGGAACACGCTACAATCTGTCAGTCCAACTGGAAGAGGGGGGGCAAACTGCCAAGGGGAAGAGGACCCGAATATGGGTGCATAGCGCCAACCTGGATCCATCCATTCACTCAGCTTTCCTTGTCGGTGGACTGTCGAGTCTACCCCAGGTCCCAGTTTCTCCGACCGCGCTAATCGGGGGCGATCGACAACCAGTGATTCTGCTGTGTCATCCGGGCGTATGGCGTAAATTACCGTATGCCGGTTGCATCATCACCTGCTGCCCTTGCCTCTTGCTGAATACCGTCCGCCATCCATCTGTCCTCCTCTCCCTCTCTCTTCATCTCCAACCTCCCCTTCCTCCTCCCTCCCTCCCTCTCTTCCATCTTTATCTTGCCTATTTCCATCCTTCTCATCTCTCAGTTGTTTCAATCTCTTGTACAAACCCTACTCACTCTCCTTTTTACCGGGCTGCTGTGGGTTCCGTCTTAAGCTATCCATCATGAAGGGCATCCTCGGCCTTTCCCTCCTCCCGTTGCTGACGGCTGCGTCGCCCGTCTTCGTTGACTCCATCCATAATGAAGCTGCCCCCATCTTGTCTGCTACCAACGCGAAGGAGGTTCCCGACTCCTACATCGTCGTTTTCAAGAAGCACGTCACTTCAGAGCTGGCTTCGGCTCACCACAGCTGGGTGCAGGACATCCATGACTCTCAGAGCGAGCGGACTGAGCTGAAGAAGCGGTCGCTCTTCGGCCTTGGGGACGAGGTCTATCTGGGTCTCAAGAACACCTTTGACATTGCTGGTTCTCTGATCGGTTACTCTGGTCACTTCCACGAGGATGTCATCGAGCAAGTCCGCAGACACCCCGATGTGAGTTACACCCCCTATCTAAGCATCCCTCGTTATCTCTAAGATAAGCTCCTAACATCGGTCAATGTAGGTCGATTACATCGAGCGGGATTCCGAAGTTCACACCATGGAAGGGGCCACCGAAAAGAACGCCCCTTGGGGTCTGGCTCGTATCTCTCACCGTGATAGCCTGACCTTCGGTAACTTCAACAAGTACCTGTATGCCTCCGAGGGGGGTGAGGGCGTTGACGCCTACACCATTGACACGGGTATCAACGTTGACCACGTTGACTTCGAGGGCCGTGCCACTTGGGGCAAGACAATCCCTACCAACGATGAAGATCTCGATGGCAATGGTCACGGAACTCACTGCTCCGGAACCATGGCTGGTAAGAAGTACGGTGTTGCCAAGAAGGCCAACCTCTATGCTGTCAAGGTCCTCCGGTCGAGCGGCTCTGGCACCATGTCTGATGTCGTTTCTGGTGTCGAGTATGCCGTCCAGGCTCATATCAAGAAGGCCAAGGATGCCAAGAACGGCAAGGTCAAGGGATTCAAGGGCAGCGTTGCCAACATGAGTCTCGGTGGTGGCAAGTCTAAGACCCTCGAGGATGCTGTTAACGCTGGTGTTGAGGCTGGTCTTCACTTCGCCGTTGCCGCCGGTAATGACAATGCTGATGCTTGCAACTACTCTCCTGCTGCTGCCGAGAAGGCCATCACCGTTGGTGCCTCGACACTTGCTGACGAGCGTGCGTACTTCTCCAACTACGGAGAGTGCACTGACATCTTCGCTCCTGGTCTCAACATCCTGTCCACCTGGATTGGCAGCAACTACGCCACCAACATCATCTCTGGCACTTCCATGGCCTCTCCTCACATTGCTGGCCTGCTGGCCTACTTTGTCTCCCTCCAGCCCCCCTCGGACTCTGCATTCGCTGTTGAGGAGCTTACTCCTGCTAAGCTGAAGAAGGACATCATCGCCATCGCCACCGAGGGCGCTCTCACTGACATTCCCTCCAACACCCCCAACGTAAGTCATGCCGCTGTTGGTATTTATAAGAGAAACGAGCTAACTCAGAAATTCAGCTCCTTGCCTGGAACGGTGGTGGTTCCGAGAACTACACCGACATCGTTGGCAGCGGTGGCTACAAGGTCTCCTCTGCCAAGAACCGCATCGAGGACCGTATTGAGGGTCTCGTTCACAAGGCCGAAGAGCTGCTCACCGAGGAGCTTGGTGCCATCTACAGCGAGATCCAGGATGCCGTCGTCGCATAGATCAGAACTCGTGCTTTCCAGACTTAGATCGGAAGACTTGGTTTTTTTTTTGAGGTATGGGATGGTTGATCGGACATTTTGGCGCTGGTCTCTTTTTATTGTGTTTGGTCTCGAAGACGCTGATGCATTGACTGTATCGGCTGTATCACTCCGCCCCTGCTTATCTGTTTGGTTCATCTTTATGGTAGTATACATGTCTGCAAAGAAGGTTTTGTTACCTCACTTAGAATGTTCTGGTTCTATAACAGACTGACAATCTCACTGGGTTATCTAAGAGATCTGACAAACGCTTGGTAGAAGAGAAAGGTGAGGGAGTAGACATCATCAGTCTAAATCCACATTACGACATGCCGTAATAGATGAGAGCACCGGATGCTGGCCTTTGTAGACTACAAAGGAGAAAACCCCTAGGAAAGGTAATTTCTAAGTCATGCCCACCTATTCTCTCTATCTCTTACTGAGACAGTCAATCCCATGACGAACAACTAATGACATCATGGGTCACGCTACGGGGTCATGCCGAAACGAAGCCGAAGTACTACTCCTAAGTAAAGCCACAACTTTGCATACGTTCATTCAGGAAACGGAAACACAGGAGGAAGAATATTGAAATATCTTGAGGGGCTTCATATAGAATAGACAGATATATAATAGTTGTCAAAGTATACAAAAAGACCTCATGCATGCTAACAGATAAAGCAAAGGATCTCATATTGATAGACTGTGCTGTATACCACCTCTTAATGCAGCGCCTGCGCTATGCCACGATGAAATATAAAGGGGAAAAAAGTCATGTAAGTAGTAAGTAGAAACTCCAAGCGCCAAATATATAGATAGTAATAGGGGTGGCGACATAATTTGGCTTTTATACTTGATAGGTTGAACAAATCAAGTGGCCCTGTGCTCGTCTTCCTCCTCATCACTGCCGGAATCTTGGTCTTCGTCATCGTCATCGACGTCAAGGTCCTCGTCGGAGTCGCTACCGCCGAAGACGTCGTCGTCCACATCGCTCTCGGCCCAGAAGTCGGAGTCGTCCTTCTCCACAGGTTTGGAGACTGTCGTGGTGGATTCGTGAGTCGGCATGACGAATCCCTCGGGAATATCGTTCTTCGAATCCTCCACGTGCTGTTTCACGATCGATTTGTATTCGTCGGGGCTCTTGCGCAACATGACCGAGGCGTCAACGTTGGCGGGGGAAGAGATCTCGGCGTCGTCGAGGAGGGAGAGGATGGAGATGAGCACGGATTCGACTCGTTGAGCTGGTGACCACCGCTCTGAGGCTAATTCGCCGGACATTTCATCCTCGCCAGGCGCGTGAAGGATGGATATGCAGAGCTTGCCGTCTTTGTAGATGTTTGGGTGGTAGAGGGGGCGGATGAAGCGGAATTCTGGAAATTGAGATTGTATGTTAGTCATGCTGTTTTGTCTTTCTGTCTCGTCTGCCACATCCAAGGGCGAAAAAAAGGGATGGGGGTGGTGTGATGAGGGGAGTGTGTCGGGAGGGGCGCTCGTGAACTGACCTGGCGGGGAGTAAGGGTAGTTACTCGGGAATTTCATGATCGCCTTGAAGTAGCCGCCATAGTAAAGTGAATCCGGATTCAGAACGATTAACCCGATCGTCCAGTGTAGGAGGTTTTGCTCGTCGACCTGGAAGGGATGTCGGTCAGCATTCTCGGTGTGACATGAATGTGGTCTGCGATGGGACACATGACGCGGTGGTCTCTGATGTATGACCAAAAGTAGAGTAATATTCAGGAAGATATACGTACATCGATATTTACCCAGGGCTCTTGTGATAGCGTCTTATATTCGTTCATTAAAATGCGTTCCGCCATGGTAATGGTCTAACAGGGGCGAACGATCGCGTGCCGTCGTTAAGCAACGATGGTGGCTAGACTGATGGCCCAAAGGGTCGATATTTGACTCGGCAGTCGAGATAACGGTTGTCGGTCGTCCTTTCCTCTTGTTCCCCTCTTGAAGTCGAAGTGATCAGGGCTGGATAGGCGCTGGATCAGGACGAGATCAACGAATTTAAAAGTGGTTGATGATCACACACTAGTCCCGCTGTGGCAATCCATGGCATCCACGCGCAGCGGAAGGGCCCGGGGTGGCGTTCCGAAAGAAAGCATTTTGCAGCAGAATCTGAATCTTCCTTGTGTTAATTAATCAATCCTTGCCATTGTGGCTATCGATCTATGGTACTTGCTCGGGTGTTGAATCTTAAGATAAACAGGGCCAGGAAGAAAGGAGCCAGAGAGTCTTTGTCTTCCACAGGATTGTTCATTATTCCTTCTTTCTTGTCCCGCGTAGCCGACGGTGGGGGGAAGAACCCAGCAAAGTGGGGAATCCCCCTTCAATAGAATGAGAATAGTTCATGCCGTTGAAACTCTTGCCCCAGTCAGCATGGAGTGTTGATGTCGGCTCCAACCGTTATAATAAGGTACTATATAAGAGACAACGAACTTTAATCGGATAAGACAAGGGAGATCCTATCAGCATCAACAACTTCTGCAACAGAAGGATTGTTCCGGCCGTTGAGGCCTACTTTTCCCTTTGCTGACCAATTCAAACTCTACGCGGTTTAGCTGCCTTGCGTGCTTATCTCGGAATACCCGCATCTGAAATAGGCCGGCTAGCCAGAGACACTTTACGGGCGTTATCGCGCATTGGGCGACTAAATTGGCTCATTGTCTCACAGGCTCCAGCGTCAGACTAATGAAAAGCAAGGCCGTCAAGTGATCAAAGACTGCGACCGCTTCTTCTCCGACCATTTGACATCTGACTCATCGGAATCCTGAAAGCTCATAGGCAGAAGGATGACGAATTAGTCCGTTAGATGGCAACAAAGGGCTGACTTGCTGGGAGTTGAGTCGGTGTGACGGGCAAGGGGCATGCAGGATGCACAGACTCTCTCAAACACCCTAGGGCGTACATCTCGATGTTTCTTGGACCCCTCTCTCCCTCATTGAGTCACTGACAGGGTATTAAACGCGAGGTGGAAGGCCTGGATGGCGTTGGTCATGCGGATCAGCCATTTTCTGCAGGCTGGCGTACAAGCATGATTGGATTCTGGGAATGTTGCGAAGAGATACATTGGCACGTCAAGTCATCTTTCCACCCTTAGGAGCATATACTACATTGTCCAGTCATTAGAAAGCAACCCCGACCCTGTCTCCGCAACGTGGGCTTGGGGTGGGACGGATCGCCAACCAAGGGAGGAAGGGCCCTGTTCTGTGATACTCCTTCACGATAGAGTCGCCCACTCCACACATCTCGTAAGTTGGATCGTTTCCAGTCGAATGGTGCCGGGTAGAAGATCGAAGGATGGCTGTCCTCCGTGTAGGTAGCAGCAGATCGAGTGTCATGAGGGGAGGGTTGATGAGCCAAGCGTCAGAAATGAACCGGACTGTTTGTTAGTGCAGGGAGGTGTTCTCCGAGATACACTAGGCTCCAAAGTAGGCCATTAGTATCAGTAATGGAATGGAGGTGACTCAGGGTGATATCAGGGACGATAAGCACGAGTCACCTTCAGATTTCTCGCTAACCGGCAAAGAAGACCAATGGATCGAGAGGAATAATAATAAAATAAGAATTGACTCCAGCGAGGTAGCCAGTCGAGCTCCGCCGGGGAGGTCTGGAATCCTTCTGGCTGCGGGCGGTGGATGCGAGAAGGCGACGAGAGCCCACCCGAACTAAACCAGAGTGAGTTCCCGCTCTAGCTTACTTTCTGTTAGGTTGCCAAACCGGCGCGAGTTCCCACTCGTCATCGCTTTGCTGCTGCTGCTGCTGCTGCTGCTGCTGCTTCTTCTTCTTTCTTCCTCTTTTACTTCTTTTATCTCCCCTCCTTCATTCTCTCTCCCTATTCTATTTTCTCTCCTTTTGTTCCGACCCTCGTGCTGGATTTGACTGCATGTGGTGTATGCCAACTTTTCACTCCCGGCATTCTTGGTAGTGTCCCTCAGTCCCCGTCGGGCCTTGGGTTCGTCTGCCTTTTTCTTTTTCTCTCCTCTCCGCCTATCACCTTGGCGATGCTAGGCTTGCCCTGCATCTATAGTCCGGGTAGCAACCACCAGAGTATCTAGGCTTGAAAACCTTTAGAAATTCGATTGGATTTCTCATTACCACCCCACCAGTCTGTCGACTGGTCCTGAGTTAGGAGCGTATGCTGTTCCTAAGCTTTGGTGTTCTCAACTTCTTCTTATCATCCGCCCGCCAGCCATGGCGGTCGACTGCCACGGGCCCATTTGGGCTATCGATGATGTTTCCCGTTGCTTCCAACGCAAGTACGTCAACTATGTCGCTGCTACCATTGTTTTTAACCCCCGAGATTCGCCGGCTAACGTATAACTGTCAATTGTAGCTATCTCCAAGTAATATTTCCACTCACGGCCTGCGGGCTCTCATTACTATTCGTCATTTTTCGCGTCGCATACCAATGTACCGTTTCTCGAAAAAGCGCCTTCTTCAAGTTACTGGATCACAATGCGGCTGAAGGCGACACACAGGTTGCAACCTTGGATGATGAAGGGGAGGAAAGCGACCTAATGCTCAGCAAAGCGGCACAATCCGAGTTACCGACATTCGAAGTTGATCGTCCCCGCGGAGAAATCGCAACTCTAACGTTGGAGATCCTTGCGCTCGTAGGAGAAGTAGCCGTCTTCGTGGCTGTCCTTTCCACAGGCGCATGGGGTCGCCAGGGTACTCTTCCCGCCATCGCCAAGCTCGTTTCCTGGGGCTACATATTGTTCCTGGCATTGGTTAGATTGCTGCTTTCGACATTCGACCTCCATTCATCTCCCAGGCTGTGGAACCATACGGCATCTTTGTACGGACTGCAATGGGTTTTCACCGTCTTCGTGTTTCGCTCCGCCGTTATCCACCCCTTGTCAAATCGGGCCATGATCTTCAGCTCCATTGAATTTGGCTTGTCCACTTTGCTTTTGCTCATCGCGGTCACTACCCGTAGAGGAAACAAAGTGGTTTTGGTGTCGCATGATGAGGGCCTGGAGCCTGCGAGACATCCCACAGCCAGCTTGTTCTCGCTGGCTACTTTTGCTTGGCTGGATCCTCTCATTCTCAAGGGCTACAGGCAGCCGCTGGAGCTCGAAGATGTCTGGGATCTGACAGCGTCTCAGAAAGCAGCCACAGTGTTAGAAGACTTCCGCCGTAGGAACTATCAGGGCTCACTGGTGTGGAAACTGTGTCGGTACTTCTACGGTACCCTCCTTCTCCAAGGTGCCTGGACCATCTTTTCGAACCTGTTCACCTACCTGCCCACCATCCTCCTCCGGGTACTTCTGCAATACGTGGAGGATCCAAGGTCGTCGACTGCAAACGCCGCGTGGCTCTATGCTATCTTACTGTTCTGCTCTGGGGCTATTCAAGGTATCGCCGATGGTCAGGCTCTTTGGATTGGACGCAAGCTGGGTGTCAAACTTCGGGCTATTATTATTGGCGAAATTTACGCGAAGGCCCTCAGGCGGAAAGCGGGTTCGACTGTAGAATCCGCGAAGAAGCAGCCGGAAGAGCCTGCGAAGGATCAGAAGAAAGGCGGTTTCTTCTCATTTGGCCGGAAGAACAAGAAGGCAACAACCGACCCCGAGACTAATAATGCAAAGGCGAAGAAGTCGGAAGATGAGGAGGAGGACAAAGAACACATGGCTAACATTGGTACTATCATCAATTTGATGGCGATTGACTCTTTCAAAGTTAGCGAAGTCGGCGCCTACCTGCACTTTTTGTGGGCTAGCGTGCCAGTGCAGATCATCATTGCCGTAACACTATTGTACCGCCTCCTGGGCTTCAGCTCGTTTGCTGGAATTGTTATTATGGTCTTTATGTTGCCTATCAACCTTACGATCGCCAAACAGTTTACGAAGGTTCAGAATCGGATCCTGAAAGGCACTGATGCTCGGATTCATAGCACCAACGAGATCCTCCAGAATATCCGAATCATCAAGTACTTCGCCTGGGAGCAGCGTTTTGAAGACATTGTCAACGAGAAGCGAAAGGCGGAGCTTAAGGCCTTGCGTTTCCGGTACATCATCTGGTCTACGGCGGCGACTGTCTGGTATGGCACGCCCATCCTTATCACGTTCGCCTCATTCTTCTTGTATACGGTGGTGGAGGGAAAGAAGTTGACACCCTCGATCGCATTCCCGGCACTGTCGATGTTCTCATTGCTCCGCGTTCCCCTAGACCAGCTAGCCGACATGGTAGCACACGTTCAAGAGTCCAAGGTCTCCCTTGATCGTGTTGACACTTACCTAAACGAAGAAGAGACTCAGAAATACCGTCAACTCGAGGAGGAGAACTCTGATGGACAACCGCCCAAGATCGCGTTGGAAAATGCTACCCTTACCTGGGGATCTGCCCCGGGCCAGTACAAAGATGATCCGTCAGAAGAGGTCGCGGATGGTTTCCGTCTGATCAATATGGACGTGGACTTCCAGATTGGCAAACTCAACCTGATTACTGGTCCGACTGGCTCTGGCAAGACGTCGCTGCTTATGGCGCTTCTTGGCGAAATGAAGCTTCTGCAAGGAAAGGTTCACTTGCCTGGAGGCACGGCTAACCGCTCCGAACTCCCGGTCGATCCTCAGACAGGTCTCATCGAAAGCGTTGCCTACTGCGCACAAGAAGCATGGCTCGTGAATGCTACTGTCAAGGATAACATCGTGTTTGCTTCCCCCTTTGATCAACGCCGATACAATGCTGTAATCAAGGCCTGTGCCTTGGAGCGGGACCTGGCAATTCTCGATGCAGGCGACCAGACCCTTGTGGGAGAAAAGGGCATCAGTCTTTCAGGAGGCCAGAAACAGAGAATATCGCTTGCGCGCGCTGTGTACAGCAGAGCTCGGCACTTGCTTCTGGATGATTGCCTGAGTGCAGTCGATTCGCACACCGCTAAGCACATCTTCCGACAGGCTTTGACCGGTCCCTTGATGATGAACCGAACTTGTGTTCTGGTCACACACAATGTTGCTCTAACCGTGTTTGAAGCTGCCCATGTCATTGCACTTGATAATGGTAAAATCATTGCTCAGGGTCCTCCAGACGAAGTGGCGGCATCTGGTGCGTTGGGTGATGAACTCCTCAAACCCCGACCGACTTCCAGGACTACTACCCCCCGTCCTTCCCGCAGACCTTCGGATCATGCAGAGCAAGATGACGAATCTCTTACGAACGGAAATGCTACCAACGCCCCCAACGGAAAGGCCAAGGACAGTTCCGAACCTAAGTTGGTAGAGTCAAAGGCTGTTGGCAGTATCAAGTTGTCTACGGTTAAGATGTACCTTCAATCGATGGGATCCTGGCGTTACTGGATCGTGGCTGTGCTTGTTTTTTGCCTGCAACAGCTTGGGTCTGTGTCGACCAATATCTGGATCAGACAATGGGCCAATTCTTACCAGACTGAGGACGTCGGGGCGGATCCTGGTGACTACGCGGCGATGGCGGCCTTCAAGATTCCGTCGTTCAATGTTGGCGGTGTTCCTCGCACATCCACTTTTAGCGCACCCCAATTTGGCACGCAGTCAGTAACCGTCAATGCCAACGGCAATGTGAATGTATCATATTATCTCGGAGTCTACGCATTATTGGGAATTGCTTTCGTTGCTATTTCGCTAATCAGAGAGGGTGTCCTTTTCTGGGGTTCCCTGCACGCGTCTTTCAAGATCCACCAGCGCCTGTTGAGAGCGGTCATGCATGCAAAGTTCAAGTTCTTTGATTCGACCCCCCTGGGTCAACTGATGAACCGATTCTCCAAGGATGTGGAATCCGTTGATCAGGAAGTCGCTCCCGTAGCGATTGGCATGCTCCATAGTCTGGCATCGGTCGTGATGATTGTCATTCTTATTTCCGTCATCACGCCCGGATTCTTGATCGCGGGTATCTTCATCACCTTGGTTTATGTCGCTCTCGGTGCCGTCTACTTGAACGCCTCTCGCGACCTTAAGCGACTTGAATCCGTGCAGCGGAGTCCTCTGTACCAGCAGTTTGGTGAGACCTTGAACGGTATTGTTACCATCCGTGCCTATGGAGATGGACCGAGATTCATCGTTGACAATCACCGTCGCATCAACGCCTACAACCGCCCTCACATCTATCTGTGGGCGAGTAATCGCTGGTTGGCGCTCCGTGTTGATGTAACAGGTGCCCTGGTGTCATTCTTCACCGCTGTCTTTGTCCTGATAAACATTGGGAAGATTGATGCCGGTGCTGCTGGACTTTCGCTGACATACGCAGTCACGTTCACCGAGAACGTTCTCTGGCTAGTCCGGCTGTACTCGGAGGTTCAACAGAACATGAACTCTGTCGAACGTGTCAGGGAGTACCTCGAAGTCGAGCAAGAGGCAGATGCAGTTATTCCTGACTCTAGACCGCCGGCCAACTGGCCCAGTGGCGGCGCGGTTGACTTCATTGGGTATACAACTCGGTATCGACCCGACCTTGACCCCGTTCTCAGGAACGTCTCATTCACCGTGCAACCTGGAGAGAAGGTCGGTATCGTCGGCCGCACTGGTGCTGGCAAGAGCTCGCTTGCTCTGGCGCTTTTCCGTGGCCTCGAAGCTGAAAAGGGCCGCATCGTCATTGACGGCGTGGACACCAGCGCAATCGGTCTCCGTGACTTGCGAGAGTCGATTACCATCGTTCCCCAAGACCCTACTCTGTTTACAGGAACTATCCGCAGCAATCTGGACCCGTTCGACCTCTTCACGGATGAGCAGATTTTTACCGCCCTGCGACGTGTGCACTTGATCGGCCCTGGTACCTCTGGCACCGCGACTCCATTGACCACTAGTACGCTCGCGGAGCCCAGTTCTGCAACTCCCACCGGTGTCACTAGTAGCGCTATCCTGGACAACAAGAACATCTTCCTCAACCTGGACACTGCGGTCTCCGAATCCGGGTCCAACCTGTCCCAAGGCCAGCGACAGCTCTTGTGTCTTGCACGTGCACTACTCAAGAATCCCAAGGTCTTGATGATGGACGAAGCCACCGCCTCCATAGACTACAACACCGACTCCAAGATCCAAGAAACCCTCCGGGAACTCCGGGAAAGCACCATTATCACCATTGCGCACCGTCTACAGACAATCATTGACTACGACAAGGTCTTGGTCCTGGATCACGGCCGAGTTATCGAGTACGACCACCCCTGGACATTAATAAATAAGGGTGACGGTCTCTTCCGAAGCATGTGTGAAAACAGCGGTAACATGGATAGTCTTCTGGAAGGAGCCAAGAAAGCGTGGGATCATAAAAATAGTGGTAATGATTCATAGATCGTCCCTTTCTTGCTTTAGTTCTTGACGTGTCCCTGCATGTCTTGATTTCTTCTTTCTACTATTGATAGGGACCTTAAAAGAAAAGTCGCACATATTGGAAGGCCCTTGTTACACATATTATCTATCAATTCTGTTTATTATTGACTGTGTGAAAGCTGGCGCATGGGGTATCGCTACTATTGCTATTTTTATTCATCTTCCATTTCTTTTTACTTCTTATACATTCGTTGTGCCTCAAAAAAAATGGAGGCTTTGCTGACCCTTCTTTGTCCCCTGTCTCAAAAAAATTGCTTGAATGTGACTATATAGAGAATATACAATGTTCATATAATACGCTGCACCCATAGCATGGATTAGGCACCAGCTGAGAATAATAGTAGTTATAGGCCCATGGAAACCACTGGCCTGAGGCAAAGTCAAAAAAAGCGTACGAAGGGTCAGCCGGCTCAGCGACCAGAAGGATGTAATTGTAGAGCACTGAGTATACAGTGAAGAAATTGCACAAAATCTCGCCACACTCAACTGCACAACCGGGCATGCACGGCTACTGATTCATGGACCCTACAAGTCACTGGACCCTTAACTTTCTGAATTCGGGAACAGGGAAAACAAGGTGCGCTTGGCATGCATCCCACCTAACCGGGATAGGACTAGCGCAGAATAAGTTTATTTATCCGCCGAGATCCGGGAGTGGATGACACCAGATACAGATCATCATCGATTCCCATCGCTACGGGGAGTACGTAGTAACTAGTTAGTCTAGATAGATAACTTATCTCATCTACAATTAGTTTCTCTTGGCATCGTGTATGATGAAATGGACCTTAGTTACTGGCACCGGGGAGGGTGGCCATGCCATTCCATATATTATCTACCTCATCTATCTTGTGATGCGAGCGAGCGAGCGAGCAGAAAGAAATTCAACCGCTCTTCTCCGGCCAGTCCTTGATGTATATGCCAATTAATTTTCTTTTCATTTTCATTTTTGGATGATATCATCCGCTATTATGCGGAAAGAATACAGCTTCCATGATATCACCACAGCAAGATAGGCGAGGATTAAGCGCACAAGAGACCATGGGTCCAACGAACTCCAGGTTCGAAGTTTAATGGATGGGATTTCCGCACTGCCGAACCGACCTATAAGGCGGTGCATTGTTGGAGGCGAAACTCTTTCTCTTCATTTCTCCCTTGTTGTATGTGAGACAAGGTTTGTCAATAGGCTTTGGCCGGCCATGTCATGATGCAAGAGATGCAAGTCGAGGCTCCGCTCCTGTTGGGGTTTTTGACCGGCCGCGCGTCCGACAGGGCTGGATTGCATTTCATCATATCGTTGCACTCAGCAGTTTTTGTAAGCATGAGGAGTTGACGGAGGCTATAAGAGTAGCTCATGTTGTTTCTTGTCGGCTGAGAGTTTTGTGGAATTTGTAGAGAAGTGTCTACGCCTTTTTTTGTGTTGGATATACTGTCTTTGCATACTCTCGAATCCAATTCATAAGAAGGGAACTATTGCTTAAGATATCATATCGAGTTTCAATTTACTCGGCACGATGCGCATTTTCTCCGCCTTGAACGGCCTCCTGCTTGCAGGAGCCGCCGTGGCTCAGAGCTCCTCGAGCTGCTCTCTTCAGTCAAACGAAACCCAAGCCGTTAACTACGGCTACGCGCTCTCGTTCTTCCTCGACCGCTTCTATTCGTCGATTCCGGTCAACCAGACCTTCTTGAGCAGCTCCCAGAATGGCTCCAACTCGCAGTACTTCACCAACTTCCAGGGCATCCAGAGACAGAATCGCCTGGGCGTGCGTGCTGTGCAACAACTTGGCTCGAAGCTGTCTGGCTGGACCCCTCAGAATTGCAGCTTCACCTTCCCAAGTGCCAGTGACGCCGACACCTTCGTGCAGACTGCGCTCCAGTTGGAGTCTACAGTTGCCGGGGCGTACATTGCCCTGGCTGGTTATACCCAGGCCCCCGAGGCTTCGTTCTTGTGGGCCCGTTTGGCTGCTGAGCACACTGCTCACGCCTACTATATCGCGAGTCAAAACCAGACCGTTCTTTTCCCGACCAACAGCTCTTCGCTGGTGCCTGCATACAGCCCGGGTTACGTTCTATCCAACGGAACTGCTCCCGGTCAGCTTGGCTCATACTTCCAAGGCTGCGTCACTGCTCCTCCGGTCCCGTGCGGCCAGACCCTGTTCATCGGACCTCTTACTGCCACTCTTGGTGCGAACGTCTCCGCAAGCGCAGCTGCTTCAAGCTCGGCCTCACTGTCTGCATCCGCAACTCCTTCGCCCAGCTTTGCGAGGAGATTCTTCTAAAGTCTAGTTCTGTATCCAGTGGAGCGGCGCTTGGCATTGTCAGTAAAGTCCAAGCCTGTGTGGTATCCCGGAACAATCGCCGCACAAAGATATTCGGTACAACAATTGAGAAGGAGAGGTAATAATTGAGATGGCGTCTGTTAATAATGCCTTAATGTCCAATCCTGAATTAATGTAATTGACAATCTAAAGAGCTTGACGTGTAATGTATGATCGCCTAAATATAGTGCCATTATTTCGCACGCTGTATGAGTTGAATTATAAAGTGTCTCTAGTCGTGGCAATAAGACCGCTGATGCTATGCTAGGTTGTGAGTTCATAAATTCGCATAGTCGGTACACCTCCGGAAGCGTCGAACGCCGCCCGGTCTCTGAGGAAAACAACGCCGCGAGAGACATTGCCGGTCCTAATGACGTAGATTAGTAAGACACATAAGCCTAGTCAACACTGGAAGTGCTATACTCAACACCTACATAGCTAGACTAATGCCTCTGGATCCGCGTTGGCTTCAGGAAGAACAAACCTGAGGTGCCATATGGCGCAAGTCGGAATCACACCAGAGCTTCAAGGGCAACCCATCTATTCAAAGAGCCGCTTCTATGTTGGTAAGATGAGAATAATCTGCTGTATGATACTTCAGGGTGTTGGGTTCGAACCAGGAACGCCTTGCTTTTTTAGCCTGGTTGAATAAGTGTAAGATACCGCTCCAGGCTCTCCCCAAGTACGTTGATGAATGGCCACTGGGTATTCTTTCGAAAGAGGCGAGCCCAAAGCTTGATGACGGCCAATCCAAGGCTTCCAGGGTCCTGGCTTGGAAACGATTCTCCTTCATCGAGATCCATTGATTTGTAAGCTTCTTGCACAATGCAACGCGTCCAATGTAAGATCCGATTCTCATTCTCTAAAGCCCATATTCAAGTTAGCAAACCATCGACCGCTGTTTGAGCCTGCTTTAGAAGGAATAGGTCATACCACTCAGGGCTTGGCTGCTGCCAGTTTCAGCCAAGGACATAAGCCATTTGCTAAGAAGAACAGCGCATTCTAGACTGGCAAGTGAGTGACGAACACTCCAGAAGAAGGCTTGACTGCGCGCCACGTGGTCGATACCCAGGCGTACGGGAATGCTCAGTGCGTGTGCAGAATAAATGAGGGCAGGTGTCAATCTATAGCTCCTTCCTGGTCGCGGCGATCTGTGTATCGCGGTAGCAATACGATATGGATCCCGCGTCTCCAACTGACGATGCGGTCCAAGGTTGAGAGACAAGCGAACATATGCCAACCCTAAGAGTGAACTAGAAGTGAACGGAATGGGCCCATTCTCATTATGCGGATCAAGACTAGATTCCGGGGCTTGTTGCCAAACTGAAGTCCAGGACCGGAGTGCTCTCCTGATCAGGCGCGTTAGCCCATACTTATATGAAGTTACCCGGGCAATCAAAAACTGATTTTGCTTGACGGAAGAACTTACTCTAGCTTGTTCAACTCCTCGGTCGGAAGCGCAAATGACTGGTCGCCATTCGGAATAGATAGCTCGCTCACAAGATGGATGCGTTGAAGTAGGCCATGGAGCAAAATATAATTACCTAAAGGCGCAGGGATTGGATCCAGAAGTACTGGATTTCGTGAAGGTTGCAGCAATAGTGCCAAGGCATCCTGAAAGAATAGTTGCTGAGAGCCCACCTCCTTTTGGGCAGCCTCCCAGTCGTGGGCTGTGGCGGCTTTCCATTCCTTCGTGGAACATGGGAGACGTAGATGAACTTCACTGCTGCGGAGTACCGGGTAGATGTTGTATGCGATACTATGAACGTGAACAAAGCAAAATGAGATGAAACGGGTGCGTCTTATAGATTCCTCTTCCGCCCATTCATGCCATTGCAAAGGAGAATGCCGTGGGGCAACTGTAATATTTTCCATCAGCCCGAATTCTCGCAAGCACCGAACGAGCAGATTCTGTAGGCCAAACGCTTCTTGAACAAGCTCGGCCTTCTCCCAGGTAGAGTACCCCATCAAAGCTAGCAGAGTACGAATAGTTTCAATTCTCCTCCAAGCGTTCATTCCCGCGGCAAAATCTGGCGATGAGACCAACGGATCCTGGCCCGAGCGCTGAGATGATTCCCGGATACTATTCAATGGTATCTGGATGATAGAATTAAAGGATGGCAAACTTGACTCCTTCGACAGTCGATATAATACAATCGCCTTGGCTGCATAAAACAGTCTCTCTGCATTACGGTGCTCGAAGCGATATTGAGCACCTATTGTCATGAGAGCCAGGATGAGCTCCGGGGCTCGTTCATTAACCCGGAATGTCGGTATATGTAGAAAGGGAAGATGAGTATGAAAGCCAAAAAAGAAGGAGGTCAAGTATCGCGTCAACGTGTGACGCGAAGGTAGGACGAAATCTGGTATAAGGTAACGAAACTCGTCCAAGGAGGCCGCCAGACGCTGCCTCTGCTCTTCTGTAACTTTCAGCGACGTTGGGTTCTTGCTACTCTGAGGAGGCTCTGTATACTAGTTAGTACAAGTGTCCGACTGTCACACCTCGTTTTGATCTCTGAATGAACATACCGTAGTCTGATACAGATGCGAAGCTCTGGTCTCCTGGAGGTACGGACGGCAGCCACGACCGGAAGGGCGAGTCAGCCCGCGATCTCTCAGACTGGCGGGAGCGCGATGAGGATTCATGTTGCTCCCCGGCACTTCTGTTGAATTCGGGTTGCTCAGTTGACACAGGATTGTGAATCTGAGAGATGTCCCCGAATGCTGGCACCCACTCCGATGGGAGACCGATCGAGTCCAGAAAATGCGTGAAATCCTGGAAATGATTGAGCTCCTCATGTAGATATGGGATCGGTTGGGCTGAAAGTAGGTTAGCCGCGCGTGCTTCGCAGAGGGATGAGAGATTCATTACCTGGTGGCGGTGCATGTCGGTAGTTGCCCGGAAGAAGAAGCTGCGCAGCTTCCAAAATCTCCGCATCATGGCCGACTGCGCCGGCATGAGCCCCCAAGTCACCCGCACTACTACTAGCCGTATTTAGAACAGTATTGCGATCCTGCTCGATGTATGGTCCACGTTGCGGCCCTGCCCACTGTTCCGCAATCGGCGGCATGGGAATAGTAACATCTGGACGCGGCGTCGGCTGAACATTGTTATAGTGGGGCTGAACAGTGGTGGGCTCTGAAGTTCCAGCTCTATTGGCATGGTCCAAGGCTTCGTGATCCGGTTGCGAATTCGGTGAAACTAAACCACTGGTACTTTGATGTGCAATGGTTGTATGTCGCTTCAACAGATCTCGTCGCGTGAATGCGGAGCCACAGAAGCATATATACGGTTTTTCTTTGGTGTCTAAGGGTGCACAGGACCTTAGCTTAGCAAGTGGAACTAATTTAGACAATGCAAAGTATCCAGACACGACTTGACTAGCTGGGATCGCTGAGGATGATGCAACTTACGTGTGCGAACATGTCGCTCCAAATGTTCCGTTCTTCTGAAACTGCGTCCGCAATGGACACAGACCCGAGTTTTTGCTCCCGCACTCGAGCGACGAGAGCCCCGAGAAGGTTGTGAAGGAGACTGAGACAGCATCAAGTCATTTGGAGATAAAGCAATGACCAGACTATACAGATAAGATGTCGCAACCTCTCCAATTGGAGACACCAGGTACTAGGGGAGAGGAGACTAACTGTGGAGGATGGTGAGGAAAGAAAAGGAAACGTGCGAGTGACTCCAACCGTCGGTGCCGAATCGGCTGCCCCAACGCCACTTTGGGAGAGTTGACCCCACTTGCGCGATAAGCTGCCTTTCTCCAACCCGGTCGGTCAGCTGTTGCTCGATGGGATGTAGTATATAGGTCAACATCATCACGAGAATAATGCGCGATGATTGTCTCAACTTCAATTCCTTGAGCTGCCCTGGCCTCAACGTGAGTTTCAATTCTGATCAAGTCGACTAGTCTTGTTCCCGATAATCGTCGCCCGCGGATATGACGCAAACTTGGACCTTTCCGGGAGTTGCCGTCGTCACAGGAGCCGGTGGCACAGGCACGTATACCTTCAAGTCCATCGCGGGGAAAGGAAAAAGCAAAAATTTTAACCGTCTCGCAGGCATCGGTGCAGCCACAGCAAAAGCATTTGCTTCGGCAGGATGTGAAAGAATCGCAATCACGGATCTTAATTCTGCCTCTCTAGATCAGACTCGGGAGGCCATCCTCGCCTCTTACCCTCAGACGCGTCTTCTAGTCAAGGCGGGTGATATATCCGATGAGAGCTTTGTCGAGTCATTCGTCAGTGAGGTGGTGGATACATTTGGACGGCTGGATTATGCGGTCAATTGCGCCGGAATCCTAGGAGACGCCATGCGGACAACCGAGACATCAACGGCGGTATTTGACCATATCAACAACATCAATTACCGGGGTGCTTGGTTCTGCTCTAGAGCAGAGTTGAGACAAATGGTAGCACAGGATTCTTTACCGAGTCATGATCCGAATCGCGTTCCTCAGCGAGGGGCTATTGTGAACGTTGCAAGCCAGCTGGGAATCGTAGGGCGCCCGAGTGCTCGTAAGTTCACATTTTCTCCATCCCGAATTTTCCAGGTCACTTTGATTGAGCTAACTGCGTCGGATTTGCTTCTAGCTGCGTATTGTAGCTCCAAGGCTGCTGTGATTGCGATGACTCGCTCTGATGCAATCGACTACTCTGCGGAGGGCATCCGTGTAAATTGTGTCTGTCCGGGTGTAATTGAGACTCCAATGACAACGTACAGTGAGGAAATTCGCGAGCACTTTCAACCAGCAGTCGAGATTGCCCCAATGAAGAGGATGGGGAAACCGGAAGAAGTGGCTGATTCCATACTCTTCTTGTGTTCGACTTTTGCCTCGTTTGTGCAAGGACATGCGCTTGTTGTCGATGGAGGGTATATAATCAACTGATGAAAAGCTTCTTCAACCATAATAATGATAATGACTAAGAATGAAATAAGATGAACAACAGATCTAGTGTCATTAGCATTCAGGAGACACGAGAGGAAATCGAACGTTATGCCAACATCTTGCAGTATGTACAGAACGATATGGAAGTATGTAATCGGAAATCTGCATGTGAGAGGCATGCCGTCCAAGTTACCCACAAAATATAGTCAATGAGCGTTTCTCACCCAGACCAAATCCTATAAAATTCTAGCTATAATGTACTGTGTCTATCAATGACTCGCCACCTCTTTCCAATCGTAGTTTTTCTCCCATGCATATCCCGCTTTGAGTACCTTAAACTCCTGCCACAACCCTCCGACAATCTGCATACCGACCGGGAGCTTGACTTGGGGATCATCCTTGGCCGGAGCGTACCCCACTGGTATGCTCATCGCTGGGTGTCCCGTAACATCAAAAATTGCTGTGTTGATTGTCAAGCCCATGCTAGGCTTCAGAGACTCGACCGGTAGGCCTCGTGCACCATGTCTTGGTGCAACAACAGGAGTGGTTGGCATTACAACCACATCGTACTCCTGGAGCAGATCCTCGTAGAGGTCCCGAAGCCTTCGGCCGATATTCACTGATTTCCCGTACAAGTCAGGAAAGCGCGAGGTAAGATAGAGGCCATTGATTATAACGTTCTTCGTGGCTGGGAAGGCTCTTTGAAAGCCTTCCTTCGTCCACGGCAGTCTCTCACGCTCCATCTCCGTCATGTAGAGCCCCCTTCTGCCATGTGCCTGTCCAAGCAGCGTCAAGGAGCCTGATACACGCTGCTGAATGGTCCATATAGCAGGCCCATGGTAGTGGTCTGGAAGAGATACCTCCTCGACTGTTGCGCCAAGCTCCGCAAATTTCTGGGTGGCCGCCATGACCGACTCTTTGACTGCGGGGTCCACAGCAGTGTGCTCAAATCCTTCCTTCAAGACTCCTATTTTGAAGCCGTCGAGCCTCGTAGCGTCCGCTTGAAGCGACTTGGCGAACGAGGTAGAGCCGTGTTTAGGACTCCCCAGGCATCGATCGTCTATGCCATCATAGCCGGCGATAGCGTCTAAGCAAGAGGCAACGTCGATAACATTACGAGCAAGCGGGCCCGTGTGGTCATCAATAGCATCTCCGCTAGCAATACCGCTGAAAGGCACCAGCCCATATGTAGGCTTCAAGCCGACACCTGAGTTGACACGGTCAGCCATGTTTCTGAAAGCCAATTTATCCGAGATACCTACAACCGCAAAACGCGGAGGGAACCCGAATGCTTCCACCCTGGTCTCCACCGAGCGTAATGTCAACCAAACCAGCTGCAACCAAGGCTGCCCCTCCTGAGGTGCTTCCGCCAGCTGAGTATCCGGTCGCGAAAGGGTTCTCCACGGTTCCTTGAGCACTCGTGAAAGACGCCGTGGAATGGCAGTAGTTTTCACAAGTCGAAGTACCATGAATATCAGCACCAGCATCGAGAACTCGGGTCACAACCGTCGCATCTGTAATTGGTGTCCAAGAGGGAATGATATCACTTCCAAGCAACTGTGGTACACCTGCAACGGCAATGCAATCCTTCACGCTGATCGTCTTCCCCGTCAATAGCCCTCCCTCCGGATTGCCCTTGATCAGAAACTTGTGAGCCCAGGCCTGCCCAAATACTTGTTCCTCTGAGGATGGACGGTGAACATTATGTCGAGGGTATCGATCTAGATCGGGGACTGGCTGATAGTCTGGCAGGTTCGCCACGGTTTCGGCGCAGTCATGGACGGCTGCCAGGAGGGTATGAAAATCTTCCTCATCTTCTTGGTCAATATGGAGATCCAAATTGCGCAGAAGGGAGGCCGCATCTTCCCTCTTGACCGGGTTGTCCCTGTCGATGATCTGTAAGGTTCAAATTCGTGGAGGAGACAACGGGGATAACATGAATCGAGGACTCAGTACATACGGCGAAATAGAAGTGAACAATACCGACATGATGTGTGAGTAGATTTGGACACCAAGCTCAATTCTGCGGAGAGAAGAGTATTGAATCCAACGACAACGAAGAAGAAAAGGCCTGGCATGTGCCATGTGCCAAGCCTTATCGCCAGCAGTTGGAGTCGATTACTACATTTGGCAGGAAGGACTGTCGTGACTCCAACATCCCCCTCCCAGGCAGGCGTCCGGGGCGGCCTCACGGCCTGAAAGCCTAAGGGTTCAGCTTATCAGATGGGAATCTCCACTCTCTTTTTCAAACCGCCAAAACCCACCAAACCCATCGGACATGTCTATTTTCTACTTACACATTCGATAACTGACGAAATTATTTGAATCACTAGCCTTATCGCATTTTTCACCTACTCCAATGCCCCTCGTATCGCAGCCATCGATAATGCACGATGCCGTCTACTCCAACTGATAGACTCCAACGTGGCACTCCAACGGAGATAATTCTCCGTGGGAATTCTTATCAGCCAGCAGCTGAGCTCGACCTCATCGGCCCGTCATACTATCAGTAGCGATCATATTACTGGTGATAATGTTCCGCAGCCTGATCCCTGTGCAAGAAATGCCCAGCAATAAGAATGTAAGGGGTCCCGACTCAAGAGGGTACCAGGGTACGCCTCTTTCCCTTCCTCTGGACACCTACCATGTCGTACATCAATGAGGCCAAGGACCTCAAGGTCACTCCAGCCTCGGATGCTAGCGACGACATCAGAGTCGCTAGTTCTTCAGAGGTCAAAGTAGACGACGATAGCCATGAAGTTTTTAAGCAGGCAGATGGCAAGGTCAATTTTCGCACTGTCAGCTGGATCCGTGCATCAGCAATCTTCCTGAAGAGTATGTCTCCAACTAGTCACCTACAACGCGCAGTTTTCTGATCGGACTTCCTCCAGTGCTGTTCGCAACGGGCATCCTCTCCATCCCATCAGTGATGTATGACCTGGGGGCCTTCCCTGGTGCCGTTAACCTGGTAGGATGGTGTGTCATCAATGCCTACGGAGCCATAATCCTGGGCAATTTTCGCACACTATATCCACAATGTCACTCCGTGGCCGACATGGCCCAGCTCATAGGAGGCCCCATGCTCCGCGAGCTTGTCGGATTCATGTTCATCGTGACATACGTGATTACTGCTGCATCAGGGATAATTGGCGTCTCGGCCGCATTCAACGCCCTCTCCCTTCATTCCCTGTGCACAGTGTGGTTTTCATTCATCGCAACCATCATCATCGCAGGCTTTGCTAGCGTGCGCAAGTTCTCCCACATCGGGTGGCTCACCTGGGTGGGCTTCGTTAGCATCCTAGCCGCTGTCCTCATTGTCGTGTACGTCCCCTAACCCCTTTCCCACCAACACCATAAGCCTAACACCCCTTCCAGAATCGGCGTAACAACCCGCTCCCGCCCAGCCATAGCCCCTCAAACAGGTCCCTACGACCTGGGCTACCATGCAATCGGCTCCCCAAGCTTCGCAGCGGGGATAACCGCCTCAGCTACCATATTCGTGTCCAGCGCCGCAACCTCGGCCTTCCTGCCCGTGATCTCCGAAATGCGCAAACCCAAGGACTACCCGAAAGCCGTATACCTCTGCATGTCATTCGTAACATCCTCTTACCTCGCCTTCGCACTAGTAATCTACGCCTGGTGCGGGAAATGGATCGCCTCTCCGGCCCTCGGCAGCGCCGGCACGACCATAAAACGCGTCGCCTACGGCATCGCCCTACCAGGCTTGATTGTCAGCGGCTCTCTCTACGTGCACGTAGCGGCAAAATACCTCTTCGTTCGAATTTTACGTCACTCGCGCCATCTTCAAGCTAACACAGTCATTCACTGGGGTACGTGGTTGGGATGCACGATAGGATTAGCTGCGATTGCATTTATCTTGGCGTGCGCGATCCCGATATTCACGTATGTGCTGGCGTTGGTGGGGAGCTTGGGGTTTGCGCCGTTGGCGTTGTGTTTGCCGGGGTGGTTGTGGGTGTATAGTCATGGGGAGTATTGGAAGTCTGGAGGGGTGGTGAAGCGGGTTGTGTATTTGTTGCATATATTGTTGATTCTTTTGGGGGCGTTCATGACGGTGGGTGGGACGTATGGAGTTATTGTGCAGATTATGGATGCGTATAGAGATGGGGAGATCGATGGGGTGTTCTCGTGTGCAGATAATAGTGGTTCTACTTGATCATATCTACTAGAGTAATGTACTAATATATGCAATCAATATTCATAGATCATGATTTGGTCTTGCTTTGGTGGTCCACACAGATTATGAGGATGTGATTGTAGATTGTCATTCGTCGTATGGCTCGTTCGAATTGGTAGGAAATCATAACCTTAGCTAACACAGATAGTATTCGAATTGAGAAAAAGAAATGGAATAGAAAAAGGCGGAAAGTAAATTTAAGACAGCCACGAGACCCTCAATTCTTGACGTTGTCAAGAGACATCAACGCTAACAGACAATCGAGAATCTCCGAATCAGCACATCCTCCTGCAGAACCGGAGCCTGGCATATCCCTGAGCCTACAACATCAATGATTTGACTGCATACCGTATCATTGAAGACCTGCACTGAACAGTTCGAAACAATACTCATCGTTGCTATGTAGCCCAAGGAGCCGCCGTTGAGGATTGCATCGTGGCAGGGCAATGTCCCGTTCCCAGAGAAAGAGGTTTCTACGCCGGTGCAGTGTGTATTTTGATATAGAGATATCTCCCAGGTGGTATTTGGCGCGATTATTCGATTTTGTGTGTAAGGGAAAGCGTGGGCAGGGAATAAGATTGCCAAAGTGGATAGCAGTAAATTCATCGTGTTAGGTTCGGCTTTATGAATGCTGGTTCGCTGGGAGGGTGGCGTTCTTCCGTGGGAGCACTGATAGCTGGGTGGGATGAAAGTGTATGTCTGGCCTTCAGCGTAAGCGACTATATTCGTGTCTCGAAGTCGATGCGAAGAGGGGGAGTATAAGAGAAACACGTCGATAAGGGAAGGGTCATTGTCAATGGAGAAGGTTGAGTCACTGACTTGCACTGTTTTAGTGGTGCCTGTGACAGGGTTTAGGCAAGGGACGCATTTATGAATGACCGATCTTCAAGGCCTCATCTGACGAAAAGGTTGACGGAATAGACGCATCATGATGTCAGTTCCAGAAATCCTCGTGAGGAGAAACGGAAAATAGTTCACCGAATTTGCGGCTCTTGCTTCCTTCGTGAGCTTTACTAATTGGCGGAGTCTAAATTTGGAGGTACTGGAGAATATCTTGGTCTAAGGTCTCCGCTGATTTAGTGACCATGCTTTGGGTTTGTATCTGGCCAAGCGGGTCAAGGACCTCAGGGCTGAGACTCGGATCGGGAGACAAGAAGGGCTCTGTGATGACTGGTTCTTCGGTAGGCCCAATATCATGGAAGTCTACAACTTCAGTGTATCTGGCATCCTGATCAGTCTGGAACTCGGTCAAGGATCGCAAGAGACTTACATCATGATTTTCCACTCATCGATTGAATGCGCCACTTCACTGAAAGACCAGTCGAACATTTGTTCAGCGACCGGCTCATCAGTGGGATCGTGATATACGCTCAAGTAAGGATGTTCCAAGGCTTTCGCAGCAGAGATCCGCTTGTCGGGATCAAATATGAGCATCTCTCCAAGGAGATCAATAGCTGCGAACAAAGCTCATCAGTATACAAGTACCTTTCACACACTTGTTTGATTGTGGAAGGGGTAGGTACCATTTTCATCAGAGTCTGGAAACAATGTCGCCCAAGGAGCTGGCTGGCGCTTTGGCAGTGATTTCACAAGGTCAAGGGTCTATATGATAAATCAGCTTTCAGGTAGACCAACGATCGACTCAGCTCTTACTGTTTTTGTACAGATCCTCTCAATGACCTCGTCGGGTGGGTTCCCCAGAGCATCTGTGATCAGGAAGAATTGGTTGATATGATCCTTCCCAGGAAACAATGGCTTGCCGCGAAGCATCTCTGCGACAATGCAGCCAGCACTCCAGATATCCACCTGCATTCCGTATTTTTGCCATGTCAACATGATTTCTGGTGCCCTGTAATATCTGGTTGAAACATATCCAGTCATCTGAGGCTCCTGCAGTCGCGCTAGACCAAAGTCACAGATCTTCAAGTCACAGTTTTCGTTGATCAGTATGTTGCTCGGTTTGAGATCTCGGTGTATCACGCCTGCGGAGTGGATGTATTTGAGGCCTCGCTAGGGTCGTTAGCAAGTCCGTGTCAACTTGGAGAGTTCGGCAGGCTTACCAAAAGCTGATAGGTGAAATATTGAACAAATTTGCCATCCAGAGGCTTTGAGGTAAGAAGGCGGTTCAGGTCAGTCCCCAAAAGATCCGTCACCAGGTAACTGCGTCCTATCGTCAGTACTCTTGCGAACAATTCGTTGGAATCAGCCATTGTGCTAGCCACATACACGTCCTCTAATGGTGAAATAAAAATGTCGCTCAGGCCAATCAGCTGTTGAACGTCAGCAGTCGCATGGTATTAGGAATGAAGTGCGAGGAGACGGACATTTTCATGACGCAGGTGTTTCAGGAGCTTCACTTCGCGGTAGGTGCGTTTGGCGAGGGTGGCGTTGGAGAACGGCTTCATCATTTTCTTGATAGCTACTGGCTGGCGCGTAATCATGTCATAAGCCGAGCTAGTGTGGCCGCACCGTGGTCAGCTAATCTAATCCGTATATTCAGGCAGAGCGACTACATGTAAAAGAAGGAGTGCTCGTACCAGACAAGCCCGAATGCACCAAGTCCAACAGGCTGGAGGTCAGAATATCTGGGCAGGAGATTAGTAGCTACGAATCGACCTTAGTAGCGAAGTGATCACTCACCTGTTGGTAGTCTCGAACGTAGTCCCCAAGATTTGAGATCGCAAGAACTCCGCCATGTTGTCTGACAGAAAGGGAAACCGTGTAAAACAGAGAATGGGTGCAAGAATGGTAGGTAGTAGATGGTAGTTAAAGGAGTTAGTACTAACTTAGCACTACTGACTCAGTAGTACTACCCAGTAGTAGTAAGTCCGTAGTAAGAACTGAAAGTGGCAAAGTTAAACTTGAAGACCCTGGTGATATATGGTTTTAAAGAATCAGGGAGGAGGAAGTATGCCAGCTGAGCAAAGGCAAGCCAGTTGCATCATGGACGGCCACTAGTGTTAAGGGAAGTTCCCGCCATGCACCTGTAGGCGTTGTGGTGGTGGTGAATAATGAATGAGAAGGAAGAGGAGGAAGTAGTAGTAGATACTCGAGTTAACTATTAACTACTTTAATTACTGGGAGTACCACAAGCGGTGCCTGGGCAGTGCCTGAATGGCCAGTCACGGCCTGCGATTGGCGGGTTGTTGGACCAGCCACCAGCGCGCCGGGGCTTTTCCATTTCCAAGATTCCCTCCTTTTTCTTGCTGCCGGGAAATCCACCGTCGAACGACTCCAGCGAGTCCAGCGTCACTGAGTCGAGTCCGTCCTTTCCCTGAGCGGGTCGCCCATCTGTCCACTCCCCACGTTCCGGCCGTCTCCGAGTCTATCCTCACCTCTTTCAAGGGGAATTTCGAGCTTCCTCAGGAATCCACATTCGCACGTCTTGCGCTTCCGCTGGCCCACTCCAACGATGCAGTGAAGGTCTCGCTTGCAGGGCCGTTACACAGACGACCCCGCCTGGTCGCGTGTGCATTCCAGTATCATCTTTTTTTTTGTTGACTCGATCGGTGGAACTTACGCGCGACATCGTGATTGCTCGAGACACGAAGTGCAAGGAAGAGTCGAGAAGACGGAAGAACCCAGCTGAGTGACTGGAAATGCGGGGGTCCCGGGCGTGGTATGGAAGTACCACTTGGGGACTTAACAGCAGTAAATTATTCTACTTTGTACTAACCTTCTCCATCGTCTTTACTAGAATGAACTATCGCTAGAGCCTCCGGGCCAATCAGAGTACGGGAGCAAGCCTTGACATCATCGCCAAATTCCTTGATTGACTGAGAAAACTAAATTATCACACACCACGTAGCAGCCCTATCTACCTATTTTTGGTGCTGGGGCTTATAAAACTCTAAGTCCTCTAGCCTCTGCCTTCGGATTTTCCTTCCAGTGGGCCATCAGATCTCCATGAGATTTTCTTCCGACAAGAGAACCGTGGTGTCGCGTTCCTGAGGACTCGCCTCGGGGAGAAGATCTTCATCCTCCTCTATTCCTGGTGTGGGCCGCGCTGCCGCGGCGGTCTCGGTAGCCTTCTTCAGCAAAAGCGCGTCGTGCTCCTTCGCACCTCCACTTGCAAACGCTTGATAATGTCTGACCGCTTCAGGATAGGGACTCGGTCCCTCCAGCGGGGCAGTGGAGCCCTGGCACTCATTGTGAAGACGTAAATCATCAAGTCGTGAAGCCATCTCGCAAGTGCACCTGCAGACATGGCTTATTGCACAGGGTTCGCTGCAGACGTGCTTGCAAGCCATGCGTTTGTTGCAAATTTCATTGCACTCGACCTGGTCATGAGAAAAGCTGTGTGGTTGCGACTATATTAGCTTCACAAGTCTCCCTTAGACTAAACTTATTGCACCTACCTGTGGCATTTGATGGGGCAGGGATGGCCGCAATCCAACACGCCATCACAAGGGGAATCACATCCGCCATTTATCTTGTTCCAGTCGGAAAGACCTGAGTTTCAGGTGTCAGCAAAACATCCAAACTGACACTACAAGCTCAACGAAGGAAATCCCAAACCTTGTATAAAAGTCGTCCGCTTGTGTTCTACACATGTGACAGGCAGCTGTGCTCCCAGATGCCGTGGTGGTTTGTTGTTAGCCATCAATGTCAGTACGTCCCGCCAGAGCCGGTTCTGTTTTACCAACAAATTTGCGTTGCCGAACATATAGAACCCGCGTCTGGCACGCGACAGTGCAACACAGACCCTGTTCGCAATCGACAAGAATCCAATGTCGTTTTCGCCACTCCGAACGAGTGAAAGAATCACGATTTCGTTTTCTTCTCCCTGATATGAGTCCACCGTTACCACCTTCACGTACTGGCCTTGAAGGTACGGATGGTGTCTCAAAACGGTCAGAAGCTTTTTTCTCTGGCCATTGTAGAAGGTCAGAATTGTTATATCTTTCACCGTGTTGCCATTCTGCACCAGGTAGACGACGAACTCGGCGATCATCTGGGCCTCCATCTCGTTGTATTTGGACGCAAGGTTATCTCTGCTCTCTGGCCAAAGATGAGTGAAAAAGTAGGAGCGAATGGTTCCCATCCCTTTCACTCCAGGACGCTTGCGTACTGACTCATGGTCATAAAGTTCGCCATAGATAGGCTCCAAGAGCTGCCGGATCTCTGGCGCCATTCTTCTCTGCCTGTTTAACATGACGTATTCCATTCCGTTCTTGACTAGCCGCTCAAACATGGAGACCCCAAGATTGTAGGGCTCGCCCCCGAGCTCTTGAACAGTACAGTGCCCTCTGAGCTGCTGGTGGTCACCCACGAGTATCATGTGCTGGAGGGAGTCAAAGCACGCAGCAACAATCGGTGCCTCGATAGCCTCAGCGGCTTCTTCGATCAAGACAACCTTCGGTCTGAGGCTAGAGATCAGTCCCCGATATTTACTCAGACCCGTGGCTGTCATTCCGATCACTTTTGCTGTCCGAAGAACGTGGTGATCTCGTTCCCATTTGCCAATGTGGAGATTCTCACAGTTCTTCGAATAGAGTGAGACTTGTGGGAGAAGAGTCTCCCTCATCTTTGTTTTAAGCTGTTTTCGGAGGACATCATACACTGCCCCCCGAGCCTCTTCTCTCACCTTCCACAGGTCTTTCTGCTTCAGATTCTCAATTGCGGAAACCTCGGAGCACGCGAGTTTGCATCCACAAAGGCCATCCCGAAGATTGATGAATTGTCCTTTGAGGATCTCGTAATCATCCTCTTCAATGCCCTGCTCGGCCTCCAACTCCTTTAATTGTTCGTACTCGAGATCTACCTCATCCTCCTCGAATCCAAAACTCTCTCTTTCATACTTCACTTCGAATGGCACCAACTTGTCACCTAGCCAGACTACCAACGGGTCGGTATCTTCACTATCAGTGGGACGAGTCCAGCCTTCAGCACCTTTCTTTAAATTGTCGAGCTGCGTCTCCGTCAAGAGGCCATACTCAACAAATAGAGAAGCAGGAAGGGGCTCGTGGGCATTTTCGGCGTTGAATGGCTGCAGAATCCTGGCAATGGCTTGGGTCAAGAATTTTTGCTCCTTTCTGGCCCCTCCTAGAACGCTTCCATGTACCGTGACGGCGGGTTCATTCTGTCTGACACAGTAGAGAGTCCGTCGTTTTATTTCGGGGTCGTTGCTCCGAGAACCGAGCCGGATATAGCTTGTTTCGAAGGTGGCGACGAGCCTTAGAAGTTGATCCAACGCATGGTTCGTTTGGGAGGCTAGGATTATAGGAGAATCCCCATACTTCATGTTTAAAAGTAATACTTTTAGTGCAACAACAGAAACATATGTCTTTCCTGTGCCAGGAGGGCCTTGGATGAGCGAGAGCCTCTTCGTAAGCATTTCCTGTAAGGCTTGCCATTGTGTACAGTCCATGGCCTGGCTTGGTTCTCGAGGCCAGTTTGTGAGGATGTCAACTTTATCTCCCTCGGCAGCCTCGGTTACCGACTGTATGTCATAGATAGGATTCTTCTCCACGTATTCTGGAGCTCCAACATGTGCGTCAAGCAGGCAAATGTGTTCAGAAAGAGGAAATCTATATTATTGTCAGTTAGAATGTGACTCAAACAGAATACTTTGTGCATATGCCACCTAATGGCCTACTCACCTTTCTTGTTTCAACTTCTGAAGTGCTGCCATAGTGTGCCTCACAGATTCGTAGTAGCCATCCTTGGCTTCTACCATGATCCATTCCTTCTGAGGGTCGAACTCAAAATCTTCAGGTCTAGCAAGGAAGATATCAATCTCTGAAGGATACTTTTGGACGCCTTCTAGTGGTCTGGCAGCAACAATAGCAACAACGCACTTCTGCTGAAACACGTCATCTGCTGGACTAAGAGCAATGATGGAGCCGCTGACTAGACGCTTGGTATATTCCCATACGATGTTCTTCTCGGCTCGGCTAGTGGAGAAACGGATTTTGATTCCTAGACCTCTTTGCGCGAATGTGATACCGATGAAGTAGACCTAGAGCAATAATTTAGATTGTTAGTCAATCCTAGAAGATTGGCGTGTCAGATAATCTACCTTATCATATATGGACACAAGCTTGGAGTCAGTCATCTGGGGGTCATCTCTGACGTATGCAACAGCATCTCTCAGAGGAGCAACTGCGTCTTCTCGAAGGAGCTCATAGTGGGCTTTAAGGTACTCATCACTCGACTTCCAAGGACCTTCAGTTTTGTTCGGTGTCAACTCAATATAATCATCTTCTCCGGTACCAGAATTGCCTAAGATCTCATCTGCCGATGGGATTTCTGGCCTCTTTAGCCATTCCTCAGCATAGCCCGTAGATGGCTGGGCAAGATACTCTCTGATGTCCTTATTGACAATCATGTGAGCGTTCACATCTTTGTTTGATAGCTTGGGGGTTGTTCGTGTAGTCCCGGGCCGGTGGTCTTCCTCTGAGTCCATATTGAGAGGAATCTACAAGTTCAGAAAAGATTCAATAAGCAGGTTTGTGCAAGTGGCTATATTAGAAGCCTCGGTATGCCAGATGGAGCAAAAGTAATCGGCTAGGAGGTAACAAATCAGATAATTGCTTTGTATGAAAAGAAGGACTGGTGGAGAGAGTCCGAAGAGATGAGGAAGGAGGGGGGAAGTAAGAAGTAGGAAGGGTCTTGCCGGGTACTTATGATCAACGCCCCCAGTTTCTACAGTGTATGCAGTGCATACAGTGTCTATAGTATTTGTAGGTAATATACCAATCTGCGCTCTATTCACTTGAATAACACTGGGCAGATTCCATACCTCATATGCACTTCAATCACTTCTTCCTTCACCGTTTGTATGTGCTCGGCTGCCACTTCCTTCGCTTCTCTTTTGGTTATGCCTCAAACTATAGTTGGGAGTAAAGTGAGATTGACAGGTGTACCTAGTGATTGCAAAGTTGACGTGTGGCTATGGTGTAACATCAGCCATCTGGCTTTAGGTTGAGAAAGCGCGGGTACTCCTCTGTTTGCAGGCCAGATCACGTTGTTCATTCAGTCACAGTAACGCGGGAAAGCAAAATTCAAGCAGGAAGCCATGTCTCCTTTAGTTTTATCATCCAACTCCTTGGCTTCCACTGAGCGCGAACGGGGGAGGCATTATATGTGATCTGTCGTATGAGGCCTACGCCTACTAGGCTAGACGAACCTTGAAAGCTCTGGATGCCTGCCATTAGTGTCACTATGAGGAGTTTCCCGCTATACGTCGGATTAGAGTCGTTTTCTATCGGCATCTAGACTCTGAATGATACTACCTTTCAAAACGATGCCCAACTGAAAGCTAGTACTAATATGATACCGCTATGTTTTCTGACGCACAAATTTCCAAGATAGCTATGGTCTGTGCTCACACACCAGTTGCACGAGCAAATCAAGAGAGACAGTCCTCCAGCAATTGCATCACCTTGTGTCTTGGGCCATTTCTAAGATCACCAGTATTTAAAGCTCGAGCTCAATAAATGCACCCATATGCGCTAACCGGATAGAGACCCTTATTGCCTGAGGCATCTATTAACCGCGAAACGTGACCGAACCGGGGAAGGCCATAGCGGGCAGCAAAGGATCAACTTACCCCAGAATCCAGCGATAGCTACATGTCGTTCTTTGTATTGTTCGGCGGACTTCCCTGTTCAGTGAAGGCATCCTTACGTGCGCGCGCTTATTATTAGTGCAATAAGGTGTGCGAAAATAAGCTATGTACCCTCAGTCTGCGGGGTTGCTTTGCGTTCATTGAAATTGTTGCGCCTTGCCTGTGAAAGGACCCCGATCTTCACCACGCGGTCACTGGGGAGTCGACACACGCATCTCTATTCCCTGCATCATCCACTCACATATCCAATTGGCGAGAAGCCTAGTCTTCTTACTGAACCATGGCTTCGATTGAAGATGACGACGATCGCGACCTTGCAGGTAAGCTTCGTGACTTCCTCCGGTTCATCTGGGCAACACTGATAAGTTTTCCCATTTTTTAGGCTCTCAAGACGGAAGCTCGGACAATGAAATGGAGGATACACTTCGGGATGCAGACGATGGGGGTAACGACAACGAACCTGATCCCGACGCGGACGCCGACCAAGATGCGGAAAGCCAGTCCAATGCCAGTCATGCATCGGAAAGCGCTGGGGTAGCGACGCAACCGAACCCTGATGTCGAAATGTCTAATACAACTGCTGCGAATTCCTTTTCTGATCCGAGAGCTGCTTTCCATCCGAGCGTGCGGGAGAAATGCCTGACGGCGCCTACGTTCGATATAGTCCCAACTACGGCCGCCCCTCACAGTACTTCGATCAATGCGGTAACTGCGACCGCTGACATGAGATGGGTTTTCAGCGGCGGCTCCGATGGATACGTTCGGAAGTTCAATTGGGTGGATTCTGTCAACAGCAAGCTGATGCTCACTGTGGCGCAAAGACACCCTTTCGTCGACAGTGTCATCAAGGCGGGTGTGCTAATGACATACTGGGAAAACATGGATGGGAACACAATATCGCCAGTATACTCTTTGGCTAGCCACAGTGAGGGTCTATGGTTGTTGTCCGGCTTGGAATCCGGTAGCATCCGTCTGCAATCAGTCCGTCACGATGAAGGAAAAGAGATCGCTCTTCTGCAGCAGCATACATCCGCAGTCTCTGTACTGAGCTTGACTTCAGATGAAAAGTCCCTACTGTCCGGCAGCTGGGACAAGCGAGTTTTTGACTGGGACCTTAACACAGGGCAGACGCGACGCGCATTTGGGTCTAGTGCCGGGCAAATATCTGCGGTCGAGATACGACCAGAATCCAGTCTGCCAGTTCCCAGGGATACAACCGAGATCCAGCAAACAAATGGAACATACTCGTCCAATTACCAGGCTCCTGAGAATGGCAGCTTTAACTTCATGGATACGTCGAACGACGGTGAAAACGGCGCTGGTTCAAACCCGCAGGCGGGCTCTCCGGCCGATTCACTCTTCGGCGGGGCCGACTCGCTATTCGGCGACGAGAACGGGAATGGAGGCGACGAGGCCGGCGCATCTGGAAATGCTTTCGGCATTGATGAGGATGATGAGTTTGGTAAAGCTCTAACTAATGGAGTGTTGCCAGATGCCGATGCCCCTGGAGAACCGGAACCGAGTCAGAACGGCGTTGCAGAGGCTCCTGCTGCTCCGGCTCCGGCTCCGGCTGCGGCTGGTACTGAAGCCGCAACTGTTAATGATATTGCCGCCACTCACCCCCCGGCGGAGATGCCTAATGGCTCTTCTCAGCCGATGATCAATGGACTACCACATGCCGAAGAGCTGGAGCCGCCTAGCCATACTCAAGAGAGTGCTCTTCCTGCGTCAGCAGAAACAACCTCTAACACCGATAACCTATTCTTGGCTGCATCCATTGATGGTACTATTCGAGTGTGGGATAGAAGAGAGCCAGACGCCGTTGCTCGCATCACTTCTCAAAACTGCCCACCTTGGTGCATGAATGCCTGCTGGTCTCCAGACGGCAACTATATTTATGCAGGCCGCCGTAATGGCACTGTCGAGGAGTACAGTCTCCATAAGGGCCTCAGGAGTGCAGAACGGACCTTCAAGTTCCCTCAGGGCAGTGGTCCGGTCACGGCACTCAAGGCGATGCCTAACGGCAGACACATTGTTTGGTATGTACTTTCGTCGTCATTAATGCTCTACTTCCAGTGACATATTGGGCTGACCGTCACTTTGCAGCGCATCGCATGACATTCTGAGATTGTACGACCTCAAACATGAGCAAGTGACTCGCCACTCGACGGTGCCTTTCTTGATTATCCCGGGACATCGTACCGGAACTGTTTCCCAGCTATACATTGACCAGGCGTGTCGCTTCATGGTCTCAACAAGTGGCAACAGAGGCTGGGAAGGTAATACCACCGAGGTCTTGCTAGGCTATGAGATTGGGGTTCCTGGATAAGCGGTCTGCCTGCTGCCTTGTAAAAGGGTAAGTGTGTCGTATCATCTGTGGCCTTGAAGATATGTGAACACTAATGGTTATATTTGGGCATCAGTGACACCCTTTGGGTATACAGTAGAATTGGAGTTCTTTCTTGGACATAAGTTTGAGATGGAAACGATGACCCAGACATCGCCTCTGCCACGAAACATGCATGGATGACTAATGTGAATGACATGAATGCAGTCCCCTGATACTAGACAACCTGATTTCGATATACGATAGTATCTTGGCATAATACATGATTCATATACACATGACTGCATAAAGTATCGCCACGTGCCTCAGAGGACACACATAAATATGGACACGAAAACCACCAATATTCCCGATATATATACCTCAACTCCCATGGGAACCTGGAATGCCAGTGACTCGCTTTCTTTTGAGCCATCAATACAATCGCCTAAAATGAAACCCGCAAACGCCATAGAAGCCAGCCAATATGCAAAAGCAAAGAAACAAGAAATTCACAAATCATAGTCATCGTGCACTGCATCATCAAGGTTGAGGCCTTCGCATACCTCATTTTGCCCAACCCGCCAAGATCCGAACAATGGGTTATGGGTCCATTTAACATGACCTTCATCATCCTGCTCAAAATATACATAGCCTGGTTGCTCATCAGAGTTGAAACCATCTTCGTTGGGCGACATTATGCCCTCAGGTCCCGTGACCAGATGACTAAATCCGGGAACATCTGTGCTTGGAACATGGCCACGAGCTTCGATATGGCCGTTTTCCACACTGTTCACCGTAATCAGGTATACAGGAGGCAGGGCTGAGTCTCTCTCTGCTCTCAGGGGCATAGGGAGCCAGGCTTCATTGTTGAAAGATTCGGGTCTGTTCTTGTCATGTCGCAATGGCAGCGGTCTGGAGAGAAGCATAGCATCCAACTTGGCGGTGTCGAGCAGCAAACCAGGCGTTTGCACATAGAGGACACTGTCATATTGCATAAACTGAATCTGTCCCAGCCGCAGCAGCTTTGTATCGGTAGGCTTGTAGCCTTCAGAAGTGGCTAGCGTCATATCAATGGGCAGAAGCCATATGCCGTACTCAAGACTTGCCGTTCTCAGCAGAGAGAGGGCCGTGGCGACCGGTTCGGTAAGCTCCTTAGTGGGCATCAGGTCCCACTCACGCGGATACATGAACAGCCTGTCCTGGACTGCAGTACCATTGGTCGCTAGGTGCTTAAAGAAGAGGATGGCGGAGCAGATGTTAGACGGATCGGGAGTGGAGAGAAGCTGGAGGTATGCAAAGTTGCCTGTCGTTGCTTGTGTGGAACCAGCATCATCATCCCTCTTGTGCTGCTTATCGGCGACTCTATCGGAGAGGAACTCTTGCTCGGCCCCTTGGTATGTTCCCACCGGAACCGCCGCCGGGGGTGGAGGAGGCGGTCGGATGGCATGCTGAATACTTCGGACGGACTGCTGTTGCAGGACATACCCCGAAAGGAAGAGCAAAAAAGTAAAGGTACAAATGACTGCAGTGGATATGATGACCGAGACCGTCGACGAAGTAAGAAGCACCATGACTGTCTGACCCCCCGAATTAATCGCTTAGTGCGTGTCTGTGTATACCCGTCGTACGTAGCCTGTGGAGACTGGATGGTAGGCAGCACTGTTTTGATATGCACTAGTAACTGCTTCGAAGTGCCCGGACTATACAGCCAGTATACGAGTAATTTTCAATTCGAACCAGATGGGAAATCCAGCGATCATGATAGTTGATAGCAGCATGAGTTTCCAACCTGACACAGGCAGACGATGATCACAAACATTCACCGTGGCGGTGCCAAGGCCACCACCATGTCTCAGCCTGTTGATTGTCTCCCGTTGGCCGTGCGACTATCGATAAGCTGCGTCTTGGCACTTCACTGCGCAGTAAATAGTATGGAGCTTGGCCATTACCATCACCTTTCTAGATGATAACATGTGAGATTAATAACTTACTATGCGTGTGAGAGTATCCTCATTACTCAGAATAAGACATACAGCTACTCTATCTTTACCACTACCCGCCTCCACTTCAAAGCACAACTCCATATCTTACTCAACTCTCCTCAAAACTGTACCCCAATACTCTTCCCCTGTTAATGCGGAGCCCCTCCACCGCTATACAGCCGGCGGCTACCATCCAATCACACTAGGAAATCTCCTCCATGATGGACGATACAAAATTCTGCATAAGCTAGGATGGGGCGGATACTCCACTGTCTGGGCCGCTAGAGATGAACAGTACTTGTCAGTTTCTATGATTTGACTAGTTACTGATTATCTGAATAACCGCTAATAATGATACAAATGATCACAGAGAAGGGAGATATGTCGCTATTAATATCTGCGTATCGGAGAATCTTAGTGATAGAGGAGATCGACAGATAGACATCTTGAAGAGTCTGGCTAGTTCCCAGCATGTCGTGCACATACTCAATCACTTCGATATAGAGGGACCTAATGGGATACATTCCTGTTTGGTTCTCGAGATGCTGGGATCAAGTGTATCTGATTTGGTGGAGGAGCGGTTTGCAGATGGGAGACTTCCGGGACATATCGCCAAGTCTGCTGCCAAGCAGGCTATGATGGGACTTAATTCATTGCATCGTAGGAAGATCGCACATGGAGGTTAGTGCTAGATCTATAGTATCTGCATTATACAGTCCTAACTGACAGTGTATAGACTTCCATATCCGCAACCTGGCCTTCACTATACCCTCTATGGCCAACGTCCCAGAACATGAATTCATCGATATACTAGGAAAACCAGACATCGGAGTTGTCCGCAGAAATGACGGCAAATGTCTCGAGCCTGGTATACCCGAGTACATTGTTAGACCTGCGAGTTCACATACACGATCGTGGCCATTGTCGGATACCATCAAGATCGTCGACTTCGGTGAATCATTCTCACCGGATAATGTGCCCAAGACACTCCACACCCCAGTAGTAGTCCGGGCACCTGAAGTGATATTCAAAGATCGGCTGGATTATCGTGTGGATTTGCGGAGTCTGGGCTGCATGGTATGGAGTTTTCCTCCCACTAATGATCATCCTTGTTGTGACTGATGGGTATGGTAGTTATTCGAGTTATTTGTGGGCCAACCCCCCTTTGATAACTTCTTGATTACTCCCAAGATCCTTGTTGAGCAAATGCAGGAGATAACGAATGAAGCATTGCCGGAGAGGTGGGTACCTTTATGGGAGTCAATGCCTGGCGACGATGCCACTGCGGATAATGGGCCTAAACTGCAGGAGTGGCTAGAAGAGACGTACTTTGATGGTGAGCGAAAAGAGGAATTGACGAGAGATGATATCGTGGAACTGGGGAGGATTATTCGGGAGTTGTTACGCTTTGAGCCAGCTGCTCGTGCTTCGGTGAAAGAGATCTTGAATGATCCCTGGTTTAGAGAGTAACGAAGGTCTATAGCATGCTTCTGCCATGAACATTTGAGTACCTAAAATCGATGAAACTCATATCTGTCTATCAAATTCCATCCGTGATAATATGGCGATAGTAGTTTAAACCGAAAGAATAGTATACAGCCAACACTACACCGCCCTCGCCCACCACCCACCACATCCAAGGCGGTACCACCATCCAACCGGCAGAAAAACAATCCCATCACCATCTCCACCGCAGATAGACAAGCTAGTGAGCTCCCTCAGCTTCCCCAAACCAATCCTAATTATCCCAACCCTTGACCTTCCTAACCACCCTCCCCCCTTTTATCCGACACAAAAGACAAAAAAACAAAACAATGACCTCCCACCGCGCCGACGCCAGCACCTTCCTCGACAACCGAGGCTACAGCGGCCCCCTAGTCCGCGGCGTGAACCCAGCGACTCTGTTCGAAAAAGCCGTTCGCGACCGCATCACCGACTCCTACTACTGGAAAGAGCAATGTTTCGGTCTCAACGCCGCGACGCTCTGCGATCGCGCCGTGGAATTGACCTCCATCGGGGGTGTCTACGGCGTATCCGAAAAGCCATCCCCATTCCTATGTCTCGCATTCAAGCTCCTCCAACTCAACCCAGAGCGGGATATTATCCTCGAGTATTTGAATTTCAGCGATCCTGCCAACGATGAAGATTCCACGGGACACGAAGAAAGAGAACACGATGATGGTGTTGTGAAAGCACGCGGCGATTTCAAATACCTTCGCGCACTAGCGGCATTTTACGTGCGGTTGACGTTCGAGCCCGTGGAGGTGTACAAGACGCTGGAACCGCTGTTGTTGGATTATCGGAAGTTGAAGAGGCGGGTGCGGGATTCGTTTACGTTGACGTATATGGATCAGTTTGTGGATGAGTTGTTGACGAAGGAGAGAGTTTGTGGTACGAGTTTGTGGAAGTTGCCTGCTAGGCAGGTTTTGGAGGATTTGGATCTGTTGGAGGTCAGGATTAGTCCGTTGCAGGATGAGTTGGAGGAGATGGAGAGAAGTGACCGGGAGGAGGAGGATGATGATGAGAAGGATGATGCGGATGAGGGGAGTGAGGAGGGGGAAAGGCAGGGTGATGATTGAGGTATCGGCTTGGTGTGTGGTGATTTTTGACCTCTTTTCTGAGCCTGGGAATTGCGGTGCGGCTGAGCTGGTTTATTGGCCTGAGGACGCAAGCAGAATGCTGCGCAAAAGCCTGGATCCCTGAGGCTGTCGGTTAGACGGTGCGGGATTGATGACTATCAGATCCATGTGGTGGTCCACAGGTTGTGCTGTCTAGCACCTACTCTCGCTGCTGATTTGCAGCCATTCGGGACCGCTCCAGCGATATCTACGTTCGGTGAAACGATACGTAAAGTGACAGGCTACTGCTGCAGCTACGGATGTACGCACCTGGTCAGTACTCGGTCCTCGTGGGATCTATTGAGTAGATTGCTCAATTTCAGAATGCGCTAAGATAGCCTCCATTAAAACACAGTCTTAGCCTCCATTGAAGCACAACGCATGGCATAGTCGGCGATAGAAGGAATGAAACAGCCTCCCATATGTGCAAAACTCCTCCACCCAACTGATCTACATTCATAAAGGATTAGAATCCCTGCTGGCGATGCCATTTCTCCTGCCATCCCTTGTACCATGGACTGTCATCCAAGGTTGACACCTGCCAATTCTTGGGGACATGTCCCTTGTCTTCCTGTTCCTTGGCCCACTCTTCAAGCTTTGGGATTACAACGTGCTCCACATGCCAGGTGCCTTTGTAATCCATCAGATTCTTTTTACCTTCCTTCAGAATCTTGAGCGTCAATGCAGGCACACCTGGCTCATCTCGGAATTCTGACACCGGGGTGAAAAGGGCCTTGAAATTGAAAACAATGGCGGCGGAAAGAGGAAGACGACGAAGAGTCTGCCAGTCGACTCGGAGATGACAATTGTCCAGCTGAAGGTTCGGGTCCTGGGAAAGGCGTAGTTCCTCGTGAGGGTCCCCTTTGGGCATGTACAGAGGCTGGCCGACCTCGAGTCCCCAGGATCCTCTCTGGATGGGCTTGTCGGCAGGCATCTTAGTGAAGAATCTAGGCAGTTCATAAGATTATCCATCCTGTTTAATTCTACGATTGAACCAACTTACCGATCCATGGAGAATTGCATCTTCTCTTTGTAGTCGGGAATATCCTCGTGGATCTGATGCAGCTGAAGGCCAATCTTGGTCCCAACATTCCATCCCAAAGACGAACAGATGACGCCTGCGCGTAGGAAGTAGAAACCTGTCTTCTCATCGCGCATCATAATCCCAAAGTCCTCCGGCACATTATCGATAAGAACCTCGAGGGGATGCTTGGACCGGATATCCTCTGTCGTGCCTAGGATGCGATTGTGCAGAATCTGATAGTTCTCGATGAAAAAGCACTGCGGATAGCGAGCACAGATAAACTGCAATACCATTTCCATGAGCTCCTTGCAGGCCAGTTCTGAGCCAGGAAGATAACCAAGTACGGAGCTGCCGTGTTTTGCGTACAACTCCTTGCGCTGTGTTATTCGTTCTCTGTATGTGTTCTCGAGTTCGATCCACCAATCGGTCTCCAGCTTCGTAAGGGCTAATAAGTTGCAGGAGGTTAGCTCGCGCTTCTTGAAGAGATCAAGTACAATATGGGGGTTAACGTACACATTGTCTGATGGTAGGACCACCGGAATGGGCGATAAGGTCGTGGCAACGCCTTGTCAATGTCGAACTCGTAGTAAGGCTCCGGCAAGGGCACACCACTGAGCTCAGCATAGTCAGGGAAATCACCCAGTGCCTTGACCTCCGCCACAGAGAATCCTGTTGGAGTATATCTCTTGTCCGTGCATGTCTCATAGTTCGCAGTCATGGGCAGTGGGTACTTTGCAATTTCTTCCTCGTTGACATTTTCACATGAAATCGCAATTTTTGACGAATCCAGGAGATGACGACGTTGCGGTGGAAAGACGTTCACGTAGGTTCCAGAAGGCGGTCCAGTTGATGGCTTCTCATCGGTTGCTGCTGCCCATGGCTGCCATCCACGTTTTGAGAACCTGTTGTTGCGAACGCGACCCAAGAAACCGCTACCCTGCAATCTTCCGGTGACGAGGAGGAACCCAGCGAGTGAGAGCATGGCAAGGCCGACCAGCCATAGGTGACCCTGGTTGCTCAGCACGTCCATATTGGATATCTGTTGTCCCACAACGCCCGAAAAGACAATGAGACAAGAAGGGACTGTAGCCACAGGGTTGTAGCGGATCGGGATTTCCGAAAAAGACGCCAGAGGGAAACAGGAGCAATTATACCGCACCTGACAAAGTGGAGGCGTTACGTGAATGGCAGTCTGATGCGGTCGCCATAACGTTGGCACACAGCCATACTAGGAAAGCTCAGTCTGCGACAGAATTCTGGGGAAATCCCAGCCGATAAATCGGATAACCTGCTGCATAAAGGTGGCATCCCTCGACAGATTTTACTCTGTTTGGTGCGGCAATGCAGATAAATAACAAAGATAAGGACAATATCAGTCAGATACGACGCAGAAGCTTTGATAACCGACATGCTTTTCCCCGTGGCCAGCGGTCAACGACACGATAACAGGCTCAGGCGCAGACTCATGACGGATCGGCGCAACCTTCTAGCTGAGAGACGCGGCTGATTCGCCAGCTCAAACTGCTCTTCCATTGGGACGATGCGCCGAGGGTTTTAAAGACGTGCCTATAGCAATGTCATGTCCCACCATCTTCCAATCGGTGCGTACTCGAGATAACGTTGGGACACAACGAGACCGATCCAGAACACTACAAGGGATGAGTACATCCGCTGCAATGTAACCAGCAACGGTTGGTTCGCCAGCTTCAATCATATGTATCACCCATATCGCTGCGCCCTGTGGTAATCCTTAGGTATACAGAAAACCGCCGGAAGCGAGTTCCCTGCACCAGGTGAGGGGGTTTGAGGTTGGGGGGCTTGCGACAGGAAAGAAATAGGCCCACGACATCATCATGATCGCCCTAAGCAGGCAGGAGACGCAGCAAACCGAGGAATAGCAAGATGCTGGATTCAGCTGACGGAAGAGGGAAAGAAGCGGCGTTGAGAGGAGAGAGTTGGATTGCCTGGAATGGCAAAACTATCCCGCAGCGGGGTAGTCAGGTGCCGCCAGGTTGTTCCCATACTTCCTGCTTGCATATTACATCACTTCACCACCGTGCAATGGATGGGATTCGTCGCGGCAACGCACCGGATTTGACCTGTCTCTGCACAGATCCGAGAACTGATCAGCCATGCCGAGATCCTAGCGAGTGACTCGACCGTTATTGGGGCTCCCCAAGCCCCGGGATTGATATCTCGGGCTAGTATCTCCAGAATCGTTTCTACCCTGCCACAAGAAATCTACAAAGACGTTGCTCAACATAAGATACCTCTAGTTAAGCCTGTTTGGGAAGCTTGGCGATTATATCCCCAAAAAAAAAGGGCATAGCCTGGCAGTGTCGTGCAGATATTGACCCATACTTGTCCGACCCTGCTCAAACACTCAAGAGGTATCTAATCATTTTCATATAAAGTCCGAAAGCGACTATCTGTGGCAGGCATTACACGCAAGCTCCGTCTCCCCAGACGAGTATATATCCAAAAGAAACAAAAGGATCATCAGAAGATCACACCCAAAGCGTATCAGATCTCTCGTGAAACCAGGCAAAGTTAATCACAGTTCCTCTTCATTCAGAATCGATCCCAAACAGACCATTGGCAATGCGCACGTCCAAACTTCCATGAACACAAGTTCTTCTAGGCACGCACAAATTACCGGGGCAATGAATGGGACACGAAACAAGGCCCCTCCCTGTCTACGCATACAACCAACACAAGAACCGGAAACCAGCTAGCTCCACGCAAGCTCATGAACTCGAAACAACTAGGTGGCAAAACTTCATTGGCAATGCAGGTACCCGGACAGCATGAGTAGATAGCTCCAGGCCGTGGGTCCATACATACAGATAAACTAAGGGTAGGTAGGCGTTTCGTGGAAGTGGCAAAAACCTACATGTGGGTTCGGCAGACGTGATTGGTATTGGAATGATCTCGAACTGGGCGCGGGAGCGGGTAATCCGTGCGTCGGAAGGTTTAGCTGTCACTTTATGTTCTGGGCCCGGCGCGACTTGGAAAGAACCGGAGAGAAACCGGTTTGTTCGAGGTTCGATTGTTGGGTTGCGCTGGGGTTTGGGTCTGGGGCCCGCTACGATGGGGATTGAGGGACCAGGGATAGATAGAAGATGGTACTTTGGTAGTGGTATGGGGCGGATGGGAGGGGATGTGTATATGGAAACAGATCGATGCCTTTGTATTCCGTCCGGTATTAATTCCACTGCAATACCTCACTAATGTAGATGCACTGCATCGTTCGCTATCAGAACAACTTCGCTCCATCATCGTGGTAAGATTACAGGTTGAACCCAGTGATAGCGACATATCTCACACCGACCAATCTTTCAATGCATTCATGCGAATTTCAAATGACGCTCCATGTAACCCTGACACTTGTAGTAATAAAAACACAGACAATGAATATGGAAATGGAAATGGAACAGAAAAACAGGGGCTAGATGACAAAAGAGGTTCGAAGTAGGAAAACAAGAGCGAGGGGAAGGATTCTGGTTAATCCATTAGAGTATGTACTTCAGCTTGTAGCACAGGTCCCTGTGCTTCGATATACACGGAGGTCGACAATCAGGGAAAAGAATCGATGGAATCTGAGAAGAGCCACGCCTGATGACGTGGTTTTGCGTAGTAAGTTTTGTTGTAGCCGCCAGGCGGCTGTGTTTTTCCACCTCCGAAAGGCGAATGAATGGGGGTCCGTTGTTTAAATGCTTTTTAGCTTCCCCGCCCCTCTACCAAACGCACCACCGTGAGGGATGCATGACGCGTAGACATCGTGATGATCGAAACACCGGAGGTGGGGGTTTATGTCGGAGGGGTGGGGCTGTCGAGTCCATCGTCTCTCCTGTAGTCGAATGAAAAGGAAGTCAAGGATTATGTGACAAATGGGTATCATAACACCGCTGTTTTCGCCGAAACACGCAAATCGAAAGACATAGGAGATGCAAATGCAAAACGCGAGGAGATAGGGTTCTGCGACACCCAACCGTTAGTCGGGGTTCGTGAGCTGCGTCACGTGTTAGCGTTTGAATAATCGGCATCACGGAAACATGGGAACTGACCCGCAACACAGGCCGAGAATAATCTTCATTATCCTGGAGTGACACATCGCTATCTCGGCGGCCATTCGCGTAGAGAACGGTATCGGTTTTCATGCGGTTGTCCGTAAACGTCGGCAAGCGGCTGGCAGCGGACCCAGCAGACAAGGTATGACTATGATTGTCGGAAAACATGCCCTTCATAAAACTCATCTGTGAGCCTTTGCTTTGTCTTCCATCCAGCAGGATGGACTGTACACTTGGATCTGGGCTGTTCGACCGCGATTTGCGTTTCGCGAAGAACAACACGAATATCAGGGCTAGGATGGCGAGTGCACCACCAACGGAGCCTACCACGACACCAGCGATGGTACCCGAGCTCATTCCAGAGTTGTTGTCACTCTTTGCGGATGAAAGGTTGTCCGCTGCAGACGTTGAAGTTGCTTTTGTGGCAGCGGGAATTGTGACCGTTTTGACCACACCAGAGTCGGTTGTGACCGCCACAGATTCTCCCGTCGTCGTAGCGGCAGTAGTTTCAGATGATGAAGATGTCTAGAAAAGGTCAGTCCTGGTCAGTATCATAAGCATTGAGGCTTGGCAGGTCATTGCGCACTTCAGCGATCGAAGCAGCCATGGCACAGTTGATAGCAACACTGTCAACAAGCTTGTTCGCTGTGCCAGAGAAACGGTCCATGCGGGGAACGTCCAGCCATAGAAGGCTAGCATGCCTGGCGACTCGAGACATTGGCAGTGCGCAATTCACGACCACAAGACTCCGAACGAGTAGGAAAGGGCTCTACTGACCGAGGTAGAAGATGTCGATGTCGTAGAGACGGTCGCTGTTCCGGACGGCTGTTGTCCAACGATCGCAACGTAACCGTAAAGGCCCTTCGAAGTACTTCCACAGCTATCATCGGGGTAACCAGGACAATCCTGGCTACACTGCGAAACGTTCACGTTGGTCGCCTCATTGGGAACAATGTTCGAGCACCAGCAGTCGTACCCTTGAAGGATTCCAAACGCATAGTTGCTGCAGTGGTCCTCGCAAAGACCATTGGACTGGTAGGTACTTTCGTCTGCGTGAGGTTAGTGACCGTAGGATGATAACGCACGAGTATCACATACTTGCTGCCTGCGAGGAGCCTGTATTTGCCGAAGAACAATAGGTAAGAGAGGATGCGACCGACACAGGCCAAGCAAGCAAGGCAATCACACCAAGCAATGGTGGAAGAAGGAAGTCGGCCCGCATGGCGAATATTCCGACCGTACTCGTTGACTAGCTCCTGGCGTTTTCAACGATGGTGTGCGAGCGAATGGGAATTATAAGGTGGCTTCGATGCCGGATTCGATTGGTCCACGCTCCCACTTGATGGAGGTGTCTTGCAAAGATGGCCGAACTCCCCACCGACGGTTCTAAAGATATGTCGAGTGTATTAAAATGGCTGGCGAAATCCAGACCGCTGCTATAGCCCGCACGTCGAACGATTGATCCGTCAGGCCCGTGCCCAAAGCGAGTACTATAACGACAGAAGATTCGGGTAGACGTCCCGCAGGTGTGTAGGTAGACCGAAGATAGCTGATGCCGATCAGCCACGGACCTCCCAACGATAACTTCGCAAGCTCGACTCCGAATCAGTACATACCAGAGATTCAGATGGACGAATTTGGTGTCGGATCAGGAATGATGAAAAATGAGCCGGTTCAATAAAGGGGCGTATTCAACTGCGAGGGAACGCCGAACCAGACATTGGAGGGAATACGGGATCAACACAGTGCCGGGAGTATTAGAAAGTAATCGGCATCATCCCCTCCAACCAAGACTAGGGGAGGAGTGTGAATGGCGAGAACGAGGGGGTGGTGTGCGTTCAGGGCGCAGGTGAAGTGAAAGGTAGAAAGGGGGGGAGAGAAGTATAGTAGAGGAGAGGGAATAGAGAAAGACACAATTGAGGTCAGAGAAAGACAAATCTTCTCGGGGTGAGTCGAGCAGGCCCGAGGGGATGGGAATGGATGAGGAGGAGAGGTGGATTAGACTACGGCGACGCCAACGGGAAGCCTGCAAGTGGGAGAGGCCGTAGTGGTAAGGAAGAGTTGAGTAAAATGCGAGTACCGAAACGGAATCAGGCTGGCCCAGTCCCGATGTTCCACACCAGCGTGGCCACTGGCAGTAACCGTTCTAGAAACCTGCACCTGGAAATTTTAAATAATTGGGGCCAGGTCAGTAAGTAAAATATCGCTCGGAGTACGTTCTCCGTGGGCGCGAGTAGCAGCAGCAGAGCGAGAGAAAGAGGAGGTGGTATATCATGGTGAAATGGAAAGGAAGGTAACGGTACTAATTATGTATGAAGTATGGGGAAAAAGAAAACAAGAGGAAAAAAGAATAAAAATAAAAATCCGGCTTACCCGCTTTGCAGTGGGCCGCTGCCCGCATCGGGTCTAGCGGGCTGACCAACCGTCGGGTCCATACGCGTCGCTGTACGGAGTATTCCTCCCGTCGCTTTTACCTGTTACCAGCCGATTTTGTGCTTTGGTACACCCGGATACACTTTTTCTTTTGGAGGGGCTGGAGTCAAGCATTTCTCTCTCGGTCTTTATGAGGGGATCTGCCAGGATGCCACCAAGCACTCTAAAAAGGCTTCCGCCAACGTGGATGACACGCTCACGGGGAATAGAGACCCTGTGCTTACCTTTCACCAGGAGGAATTTGGTCGCACTATCTTATTCACACTCTCGCCCCCAGTCAGTGGTAACTATTATCCCCATGTGGACAAGCTGACGCTCCTGTCCCGAATTCACGTATTTGGTAAGAATCGGTCTACACTCGTACGTGGACAAAATACAAATTCCGATCTGCTAGGAGTCTCCTACAGTATGCTTACGGTATGGCGCCACCACGTTAAGAGACGAGAAAATATTTGCAAAGGTCAACGAAGCCCACCGTAGAATGTCTTTTAAGGGGGGGGACGAGTAAGGCAGGAAGAGTGGAAGATAGCGAGAGTGATGAATTAAAACACAAACACATAAAGAATGAGCAGGACCATCAGTCAGTCATGCAAACAAAACTTTAGAATTCAAGAGGTGTTGAGCACTCTTTAAAGTGACCCGATCAAAGGAAACGAAACAATTCTTATTAAAGAAGGCAAACTCTATCTTTGTGGTCAGTGGCATGTAGTAGTAAGTAGTAGTCTGCCTACTGTATGGTGTGTATGTATCTGCTTCCTGTAAATTCTAAACTCAGGACCAACGCAATCCTAGTCTGAAACCACTATCTATCCTTTGCATGGGGCCGCGATCCTCCCATCCCAGAGAGATACACATTCTGGTTTTAGTTGCTTATTCTCCTTCCTTGCCTACTGTAGCTTACTTGGATCGGGTTTCCGGTACCAAGCCAACCAGGAGGGGACTAGCTGCCTATTTTCTTGCCTGCGTCACTTTGTCTGACACAGCGGACGGGCACTTGAGAAGCTTCTGTGTGAAGTGTTACTGGCTGGGTGAGGGAGAGGCCCCGACCGTAGATATGGAGCAGCCAAGTGGGCGGGCATCGATGTTGGATATTACATTTACAGCGTACCCAAGGAAAATGGATCTACCGGTTCAGCCACTTTGTAACCGAGCCAGGTATTCAGCGTTTGAGACAGGGCCACGGCCGCAGATCCTGAACCGTTGATTGGTAGTGGCTGGGCCAGCACTGCGTGGCCCGGTGTAGCTGTCGTCGTACCTGATACGTAGGCAGTCACCATTGATTCTGCCTCGAGGATAGCCATGCTATTTGAATTGCTAATAATTAATTTTGATTCTAAAAAAAATTAGTGAGTTTTATTTTATACGGGGATGTGAAAGGAGAAAAAGAGTGACAACAAGTCGCTGCCTAGTATTGAGAAGGAGGAAGAACAAGTCACTCCGTCACTGTAAGAGTAGCTACCAAACTAAAGGTGGGGGTAAACAATTCCAGGAGATGATGACTATTTTAGTGTCTAGCTTGCGATAGTAAACTAGGACTATTCCGGGCTAGTCAAGCAAAGATGCAAGATACAGACTGGACTGTACAGTAACAAACCCGATGCAAGGTAAGATACGTAACAAACAAATCATACGGCACTCGCCACCGCACGGGACAACTCCTGGTCTTAGAATCCGCAGCAAGTGGAGTTGCAACCCGGCAGGAAGGAGAGGTCTAGAAGGCAGGATCGGTGGTGCGCAGACCCGATTCCCGCGTATGATGTAAATTATTCCGCTGCCTCTGGGCTTGGCCCTGTCGCGTCTCTGTTGGTCTGGCCGTGGCTGGAACGGAGTCGAATCTCAAAGGTAAGGAAGGGTCAAGGTGAAGTTGTTAACTTGGATATTTATCTCCCTGGAGAAAGGAGATAACCAGTGGACCGACGGTTTCAGCCGGCCTATCCCGTGTGCTTTCCCAAGGATGTCCACCGTAGGATCCACGGATATCCGAAAGTTGGTCAGATCCAGGTCTTAGTTAACCACAGTTACGACCTAACTAATTTACTACTAGTAAGTTAATCGAAACCAACTGCTTAGGCAGTAGTGACAAATCATGTGGTCGCATCTCAGCTCTTTCCACGGTTAGGAAACCTCGTGTCATGGCGCAGGCACGCCCTGCAATTGGATGCTCGTCTGGGATCGCTGCCATACAAGCTTTGCACCATCACAAACTCACAAACCACCATGTCGCTTAGATGCTGCCATCCGGCATCATGATTACATACATCCTTGACTTGACTCGGCCCATCATCGTGGGAGCCAAAGTATTCTTCCGGTGAAGAGTTTCGGGCGTGATTCAGTCCTGTAAACAGGTGGCATGGGACCGACGGGCTCCCTCCGGAGCTAGGCAGCAAGGTGTTGTTGCTCTCTTCCTCCGTACTTCTGTTGCTTGCAGCAAGGTATCGGCATCACTGCACTCACTCCCTGCGAGGTAGCACGGAGAATTTGTTGCATTGCACCCTGCGGCTTCATCGCCAGGATCATGAAACGATCGCATCAATCGCTACTCTAATATATCAAGGCGTGTCTCCTATTGCCAGGAACGATGATGAGAGAAGATCGACAATATTCGGCTGAGTATCGAAGGGAATCCAAGCCTTGCGATCGATCATCGTCGGGTCCTACTGCGATATATACATGATATGGTGTCCACGGCCCTCGCGTAATTCTTTGCCCCTGTCAGCAAGCCCTCATCACCACTCAGGCCCTGAGATCGCCTTGTCTGAGCCACACCAGATAAAAAAATACTTGTGGCAGAGAAATGAAGAGTCTGGCGATGTTCTCTATCGACTTGAGCATTGTCCTAGAGCGATTAAAAGCCTGACCTTCCATGGCATTGTTTTTGGTTGTACTAACGGCACGGAACAGTAAAATGATAACGCGCTAGACACATTCTTGCTTGGTGCCGGACATGCATCCATATCCCTGGAGTTGCACTAAACTACTGCACCGTCGATAGTGCTAAGCTATTGGCATTTTCGTCGTCTGGCCAATAAGCTGTGCAAAACCCATCTACACGGACAGGCGATGCGAGGATGACGCCAGTAACTTAAATTTCTGAAACCCCGCCTTTCAGGTTCTACCTTCCTATCGCACTACTATTTTATGGTGTGTTTGACCGAGTCAAAACTCCCGGTCATATGGTTTGCAGTTGGACTACTGTCTGTCTACATGGCGGGGCACGTTCAGCGCTCGCCCAGGTCACCTATGGTATTGGTAGGGGCCGTCTATCTGTACCCAGTACTTCCACTATACGGTCGATCGGAAGACAGACTATTCCTTTTCCTGATGGAGCCGCATGATGATGGCATGAGCAGCTGAACAGCTGAACAGCTCGGCCGCCCAGGATTGACTCGCAGCGGAATGCCCTCTGTCCTTAGCCTTCCAGGCAGATATGAAGGGGCACCCTCACGGGAACTACGGAAATGCCGACCGGGCGACAGCCAGATCGCTAGCCTTATCTGTGAAGCCATCCGCAAGGGGGGTTGATAGCATTGATATCGAGGTACTAAGGGGACATAGTGTGCCAGTGAACCATGGAAACCAAGTGTGGCTGGTGTAGCATCAGAAACAACCCGGGACACGATCGGACTATCGCAATGTCAGCCAGGTCACCAAATCACACACACACACAAACAGAAATTGCCGGGCCGTAGTCAGCCCAGTGCCCATCGCACTATCCTTAATATCGGCATTTGGTATCACCTACTCCATGTGGAGGACTCCATCACGATGATCGCTCTTCCCGCCGAAGCAATGTGGCTGAAGGGAGGAGCGAAGCAAAAACCGGAACGGAATCCAGGGCGTGAGCTGATTAGTCACATGCCGATCCGTGATTCGTAAGCGGGGCGCGGTCCTACTAACTAAAAGTAGTTACTCTCACTTTCAGTCAGCAGGCATCTTTTTCTTCTCGCACCTCCTGGTTCCGTGTTGTTGTTAGGTTGGGAAACTGAGTAGAAAGAGCTTTCTAGCATTGCTAGATGGTTCAATAATAAACAAACAACACTCTACCCCCATTCTATCGCAACAAAAAGAAATTAGATAGACAACAAAGACCCAAGCACAAACAACAATCAATCTACGAGTCCACCCATACAAAAATAGTAGCACATTGGCCATCCCTTTGGTGGACACTTAATTTACTCTAGCGGCGTATTTTTCATCTCCTGGCAATTTCCTCCGTCCGGTCCTAATTTTGGTCAACGGTAAACAATAGCAGCACCACCTTCTCATTCCCCTACGATGGAGCCCGGAAGGGCTGCCTCGCTATTTACTATTTACTGTCTTACAGACCAGTCAAGAATAACTCTCGGACCTACTAAGAAAGTGGATTCATAGCTGTCACTTGATCCGATACAGTCACTATACTCCGTAGCTACTGTTCACAGTATGCAGCATCTACCCGATTCCTATGGGTTTATTTATAGCTGTACTATCTACTCATGAGATACTCGTCGTACTACACACATACACACAGTGCACTGACGACACGACATAATTAGAACTACTATACTTTCATCCTAATGGTAGGGTCAGAGCAAAACAGAGCCCTATAGCTTAGTAGTTATACATCATCCCTAAATAGCATCATTCACTCAGAAAATCAATAGGAAATAGGCATGTCACATGAACCCTCTCATTATCACTCACTTTTTTGAGAAACCAAACGACAAGCCAAACACACACACACACACCCACCCTCCCCAAGTAATGCATCCCACAGTGAAGCAAGCAAACAGAAAAAAAAATCATGTGTGACTCGTCAAATTAGATGGGGGCGGAATCCCCGAAATCCTGAAACATCAGGTACTTGAAAGAACATATGTTACTTTTCCATCCCTGTAGATACACACAGATACAGTATGTGTGTACTCTGTATGTATGTATGTATGTATGCATGGCAGCTGCATGGACGGGTTGTGAGGCTGATTTGGGTATTTGCTTTGCTTTGCTTTCCTTCTTCTTTCGATTTAATCTATTTCCTCTGGTAGACGGGTTGCAAGCGAAGGATGGATTGGGGCTGCTACTGTTGCTGTTGCTGTTGCTGCTACAGCTGTTGTTGTTGTTGTCGTTGGCGTGGCTTGGCTTGATTCGGCTCGTTGTTGTGGGTGAGGCGCAGCAGCAGCAGCAGCGGTGCAATTGTGTTGGTCGATTTGATTGCTTAGTGGGTTGGGGCTGTTGTTGGTTCCTTTGATTACTTGTTTTGTTGTTCCTCCTGTTTATGGATTACTGTCTTTGGGTTTAGGTGGTTTAGTTAGCAAGTAAGCAAGCAAGGTAGATACTATTCATGTACTGCTTCATCCAAGATGGGGGGTATATAGACAAGCATGGTGTGGTCTGGAGCCCGACAATAGCAGAAACATGGGTTTCTGGGAATCAAAACAGACTCGGGTCTGCATCCGATCAGGGTATATTGGAGCTGTAGTATAAGTCCAACAAAAAAAGTCCGCTGTTTCACCACCGCCCTGGGCGCTGAGGGCCCCTCCAGCGGTTGCCCTCGACGACCAGATCCCGCTCCTTCTTTCTCCGCTCATCCCGAACGAAGCGGGGAGGTGGTGGTTGGTTGTCGAGAAGCAGGGGCGCTGCTTTGTCCGCTGCAGGTATCAGAGGTGGTGGAGGAGGAGCAGCTACACGAGGCAGAGATGCTCGCTCACGGTGGATCTCTTGAATTCGACGACGGCGTGCACGCCGAATCTCTTCCGAGCGCTCAATCAGTGCGTCGACGTCGTTCTATGCAGGTCTGTCAGTAGGGGATAGACAAGTGGCACACAAAGAAAAGTGAAACATGCCTGCTCGAGGTAGGAAAATATGTAATAGAAGGACTCGGTCTCCTCATACTCATAGCCAGACCGCTCAAGGGCCTCTCTCACTATCAGGTCCTTCGTAATTTCTGTCCAAAGGCCGTCACGACGGTCTTTGAGCCCAACGTATCGTCGTCCTATTCGCCCAAGTTGTCGTTCCGGGATATCGTCAGACTCTTTCACGTCTTTAACAACAAGCTTAGACTCACGATCTGCGTATCGTGGAGGCTTGATTTCTTGAGTAACTATCTCAGTCCGTTTCTCTTCCTTGGGTGCAGCTCTGATAATATCCAGCTCTTCCACGGCTTTAAGGTCCTTCCTAGGAGTGCGATGCCCACGGAGCCTGTAGAAATCCTCTTCCTCGAATTCTTCTTCGACGAGAGATTCCCGGCTACCATCCCGCCGTATCACTGTAAGCCTTTCCGTTTCGCGCTCCATTGACCTAGGCCTGGGAGGGTCAATAGGTACAACCTTTTCCCGCCGAGGTTGGGGGAATTCCTCTTCGTCTCGTCGAAGAATGAGGACCTCTTCCTTGTCCATTCGTCCTTTCCGGCGTCTCTCACTATCCATGAGTGAGCGGCTTATAGTTGAAGATACAGCTTGTCCAGACATACCGTTCGCGAAACTCTGCTTCTGTAAGTGTAATCTCAGGGCTATGAGCTCGAGACATGCTAGGCTTTGTTCTATAGCCTACGGATGAAAGTGAATGAGCAATGATGGATCACATAGGGAATGAAACGACTCTTACCATCACGAATGGGTCTACCATGCCCCGGCGACGGCACTCTAGGAATTGCAATTTCCGGAGATGACGACTTTTCCCGTCTTTCAAAAATAACCTCCTTCTCCTCCACACTCCTTTCAGGTCTTCTTTCCCTAGGGTCCCAGAACGAGACTTCCTCCTCATCGACCTCTTCATCAAGCTCGTCGTCGGCATCATCTATGCTTTTGTGACGGTGTGATCTGTGCCTGTGTCGCGAATGTGATGATCTCTCATAGAAAGGGCCACTGCGGTGCCCTCTATGGTATTCCTTCACATCGGGCCTTCGAAGCCGCACGTCATCTTGCTTGTAATCCAGCTCGCGCAATCTTCTTTCCTCCAGAAGACTCCGACTGCGTGGTTTAGCTGGGGCCTCTGGAATCTCGTACCTGCGTCGATGCACCGGCCGTTCTTTTCTCGGTACAACAACGATATCACCGTCGGACTCGCTATCAGAGTACCTTCGGTCTGTTTCCTCACGAAACATGATCTCTTCCTCTATATCCCGTTCCCTCGAACGGGGCCGTCCGCGGAGAGGCGGTTGTTCCTCCCACTCTTTCTTCAAGCGGCGAGGTCTCTCACGAGGAGGTAGTTCAAGGTCTTCTGGCTCGCGCCTTAAGATTGGTGGCGCTAAATCACGGGGATAGCCATGAGCCTCGCGTATCATTTCAGGTTTCCTTTGTGCTTCAAGGTGCAAGCGTTCGAGCTTGTCAAGCGGTAGTCCCTCTGAGCCTCGACGCTTGTATCTTATATCCTCCTCCTCAAAAAAGCGCTCATCCCTGCCTCGTCGTGGATACACATCACGCTCAACTTCGTACATGTCTTCCTCATCGTATTCGCGAGCACGACCTCGTCGAGGCATGTTGTGTCGTTAAGAACAAAGGAAGGGCCACAATGGGTAAATATATGTCCGCGAGAAGAAGTTCTCAAAACGCGAATTGTAAAGGATAGACAGCAGGTTCTCTCCAGACGGTTAAGGCTGGTGTGCGACGTTCCTAAGCAGCTGCTGTATGTGTGACGAAGCAGGCAGGAGGCAGGACCAGCTGCTATGCGACAGAAGCACGGCACTAGCAGAAGACGATCAAGTCATCCCACCGTAGGAAAATAAGCCTGACAATAACGTTAGTCCTATTATGTCAGTGATGGAAATTCTCTGGTTGCGAGATGATAGGCATCCGAGCGAGTCCAGCCTGGAAGCGACCCCGCGGCTGAGTCGGCTGATGTCATGCTGCAGCACGGGTTCTCTGCCCGAGAATCTCCCCAAGGCTCGTTGGATACGAGCCACCACATTATCCTTTGAGGTGGTGGAATGATTCAAATGGCGTGTATAGATCTTCAAGCCATGTGGAAATGATGTAGTGGTACTAAGTATCGAGAAAGCCTCGCAAAGTCGTGGAACCGTGGTTCAGCTGGCGGGTTTGTATATTGTTGGCTGAATGAGACTGCTATGATGACATACTATTATTCATCGCCTCATATAAAGCAGAGTGAATTTAAGCAATGATTGGCGATGCTGGCACCCAACTACTTTCTATCTTCTTTATTTGGATGATATGCTAGACACAACTGATGTTGATTATTGACTCTGCGAGTAAATTCATTTCGTGGCTCGCTTATATATTGTGCAATGGTTGGTACCTTGAATCTAGAACCACATGCACAGCGTGCAATTCTTCAAATACTCTGTAACTTAAGGATCCTGGCTGTACTTGATCTAGATTTATATATGATTTGGTACTATTTCGCTACTTAAAGTTTAGGTCTTATCCAAATCTAAGACGAGTCTGGCCCTTTTCTGGTTTACCCCGATTGCTACGATTGACCTTATTACGAGCATTAGATGCTCCGGGTCTGTTTGCGGGCACTGGAGCCTGTTGAGGGCCGCTGGATGCCTGTCGTTCTTCATCTGCCAGGTCTTTGGCAAAGTGCCAATCATCATGCTCGCCCTTCTCATGCTCTGGTAGAACGCTCCCGCAGCGACTGCAGGTATAACCCACTGGCAACGTCTCTACCGGCTCAGGAGAGAGCTCCTTGGCCTGGATGACAGAACCTGCATGCTCATCAATTTCAGTTTCCATATCTCCTGGTTCAGGACCATTTTGGTCAGGCTGTAGGTCAGTCTCCGGCGGCTTGAGGAAAAAGCGCTTAATGCCATTGTTCTCCAGTTTCCTGCGTTTCTCATCAGGTTGCGGAGCATCCGACGACTCTTCAGCCACCAGATCCCTTTTTGGTTGTGAAGATTTTGCCTGTTCACCCCGAAGGAGGAAAGAGTCTATTGCCCGGTTCTTCGAGACACCGTCTTCGAACCCACCAACGCTGAGGGAAAGATTGGCACACGGCCATGCGCGTCCATCTGTCATCACCTGTCGGAAGAGTGTTTTGCCAAGCTCAAAGAGTAATGCTTCATCGATTGGTACTGATCCGGGAATGGGGATTTGACGGGAGCGAACCTGAGCTCCTTGACGGTGATGCAAGGCAACTGTTTTCGGGCGGCGCTTGTGCTCAAGAACGCCATCCTCAACAAGGCGGCCAAAGATATCGGCCGCGAAAATACTAAGCCATTTGTCTGCCTGATCAACGGAATTTATGCTCGGCCTGAAAGACTTGGCTGAAAGCATCGATTTGATTTGGGTCCGCGAATTGACCTCACTTTTGTCTTCTCCCCGGATGATTCCATAAAGCCAAGTAGCAGTATCGTCATCTAATTTGGCGCGAAATTGCTCCAGCGACACCTTTATAAGGTCACTCACTTGTTCTGTTCCAAACATTGCAGTAACCTGGTCACCAAGTTTACCCCCAAGCATCCTAATCTTTGTAAATTTGTAGCCACCGAGGAATCGTTGTACAGCACGATTCCGCACAATAGTCTGCTTGTTCGGCTTGTTGCACGAACTCCCTAGTTTTGCCATCATTTTGTTCTTCGCAACACCCGCAGAGCAAGTGTATTGGAGCCGATCCCAAACAGCTGCCCTGACCGACCGAACAATTTCAGACCCAATCAGCATAGCAATGTCATCCCAGTCAGGATCATCGACTTCTGTCTCATTCTCATCCAGATCGACCAAGCAATCCTCCGAGTTCCACTCCAACGCAGTCGTAGGTGGGACAGGAAGCGGAGTGACTCGATCATCACCTTGCAGCTCAGCTCGTAGCTCGGGATACCGCTGAAGAAGGACACCGTGCACGAGAGATGACAGGTCAATGAAGACTTCGTCAACGCTAGCTTTCTCAAGACCAGCGTGCTGTATGGGAGATTGCGCACCAGCTCCGTGTTCACCACCAACTAGCTCTCTTTGCCATCTTGACAGTTCCTCCTTCATCACCTTCAAGATCTTGCGCGACTCCGCCCGGTATGGATCGAGACACACCTTGTCGGTATTCATCCGCTTGAACGCATCGTTTCTGTATGCCCATTTCCCACCTTCTCCTTCCCGAAATGTGGCCACATGTTGTAGGACAATCTCCGGACACAGCTTCTTAGCCTCTGATGCTGATATCATCCTCGTTATTCCGAAGGATCGTGCCGGATAGTTGATCGCAATGAGCGAGTCCCATTGTCGTACAGCTAAGGGCACCGTGCGGGGTGTCCTAAGGCGTACCATTTCACATTGTGCGTAGAAGGCATCGAGATCAATATGAGCGATCACTCGCAGAGGGGTTGCTGTTGAACTTTGACGGAGAAGCTGTAGGTGACGGTAGGTGTAGCGTGATTCGGTCTTCAAGGAATCGCCGGACGTAAAAGTCGACGGGACGGGTTCCGGGGAAGAGCGTGACATATTGAAAAGGGTAGTGCTATAGTCATTGCGGAACGTAGAGTAGTTGCTTCAAACCAAATGAGATCGTATTGCTGTATCTTGGATGTGACACCTTCGTCTGTGTAGAAGTCGGGCTGCACTTCGCGTTGGAAGCCATGATCTGAAGTTGCACCCGTTGACTCGGCAAGACCACTTCCCGAAAGGGATTAGCTTAGATTTGTCGAACGGCTGCATCGCGATCGAGTCAATCTAATCGACACTTCGAGTGTCCTGGTATGTCTCCCTTTTGCTTGATCTCACCTCACTCTGGTCATCTGCATGGTTGCTCCAGACGACCTTTACGAGACTGTTTTAGTTCGATGATACTAGGCACCTCTACAAGCTTGGATTTGCGCATGCTGCTTATTAGCTTTGCTTACGTTTTACGAACTACCAAAGTAGCAACTGACGATTTGACTATATGGAGCATAAAGCGTTTATGCGTGTTCCCGACCATACAAGAAGGATCATTTAGCTAATACAAATAAGGCATCAACCAAAGTCTTTATTGATACAAATCCGATTTCATCCCAACGGTCAACCTGAAGTCATGAGGTGCATGGCGAACCTCTGATCAGATGAAAGGATGATATCATTGCACTCAAATTCTCAATAGATCTCAAGCTTGGGCGGTCACATGGCCCTCATCAGCGTTATTGGCATGATCTTCCCATTGCAAACACAAACAGTGTCGGGCACCCAATTCCTTGCCCGTCGATATGTCCTTACTCAAGACAGCTGTCGAGTCAGTGTTGTGAAGGCCACACTATCATTCGATAGCTTTGAGTTTCTTAGACTGCAAGCCTGCGGACTGTAAAACAGACTTCTTTTGATTGAGAATGCAATATCTTCATGGTGCTTCATGCTTTTCAAACTATCAATCTTAATGCATGAGCCTTCGGTGAGACTAGATGTGATCTGATTTGAGCTGCCAGCATATGCATGATCACTACAGCATGTATGCCTCTTTCTTCACCTGCGAACTCGATAGGGTTGATGCAGCCACTATGGAGACCATGCGACAAAGTAGACACTTGGTCGGATATCATTCGAGCAAAGGATGGGTCCCCAAACTTGGTACATGGGGTCTCACCGCCATGCTGATACTATACTATACGATTGGGAACGGCAACCCCCCCCCGGTGGTGGGAAAAACTCCTTGTCGGTCCTTGGAAATGGGTCGGAAAGTGTGTGACACTCCATGTCGGACACAGTTGGCGTGATGGGAGGTTTTGTGTGAAGGAGGGTGACAGCCGCGCGAAGCAAAGCTAAAAATCCCCAAGAAGGCAACAGGGAGCATCTGATGGTGTTACAGAAGCCACCAGAAGCATGCTTCGAGACCGCAAAGACCGGTTAAGTGGTTAGGTCAGTCGGTGGCTGTTCATCTCTGGGGGTTGGTTGCGAATCAAGGAACATCCGACCAGTTGCTGTAAGGGAACCGAGATGGTCGATCATGCAGCTGGCCAAGGATGGTCAAGTGTTCTTGCCAGATTGCTTTATGGGGAGGAGAAGGGGGCTGTGGGTGTGAAGACGTACTACGGAGTACGTCCTCTCCAGTGTGTCCTTACAGTTCGGACTACCTAAGAGGGATACGAAGTGGAAGGAGAATTACGAGATGCTGCTTTTGGTCAATCTCTGATATTCATCCATAATTTCCCTTCTCTTTGTTGGAATAATAATCAATTTTTTTCCTTCTACACCGAAAAGTCTTCTCTATCCTTCGTTATCCACAATTCGATCCATTCCAAAGTGGGATGATTCATCTCCTTCTCCGCTGCCTTCATATAGATCCCTGTCAGATAGACTCACAAGTCACCACGTTAAATTAGTACCAAGATTAAAATTCCCACCGGGAACCAAACAAGCGAGCGAGCCATCACAAGAAACACCCCCATTCCGCGCTCTAGGCGGAAAGAATGGAAAGTTTTCATTCATGGGTTTGCCCTTCCCAGCCCACTTGAATGGAGGATCGAGGATGATCCTGAAGGAGGAGATGATGGAGTGAGGAGGGTTAACCTTCCTTTGGAGGGGGGGGGAGAAGTTGAGTGGAGAAGGGGCAAAAGAGAGATGGAAGATTAGTGGCAGGGACACAAACGGGCGGATGAGTGCCCAAAGCCACCACACATTCCTGCCCAACCTGCAGTGTCCACCCCGCGCGCCAATTTGACTGGCTGTGACAAGGGCGGGTTCGGCAGCGACAGATCCTTGGGTTCCTTAGCTGCAGATTGAGCGGGAGCACAAAGTACCCAGTCGACTAGTTGTACTTTTCTCCTCTGCGTGAGCGAGCTAGTTGCTACCTTGCAGGTACCAGATGCGACCGATTTGTGAGAGAAAAACCCTTGTCTGGGCTACGGAGGACTCCGTGCCTAGCCCTCTACGACTAACGATGGAGTTGGTAGTACACAGTACTTCCGTCGTCGTTTTGTGTGGGTAGTAGGAAGTAGCCGTTCCGTAGCAAGTCTCTTGCTTTGTGGTACTTTGGTTTGATTAGTTACCAGCCCCCTCCATCAAGCCGATCAAGCTGGGGGTGATTTCGTAAGGCAGGCAGCCGCTAGTTAACTACTCAATATGTGCAGCAATGAAAAGATATGTGACAGAAAAATGGTAGCAGAAGCCTTGAGGTTGTCAGTTGTGCAGGCGCACAAAGCAATAGCGCCCAGTTTGAATGTAACATCCAACCAATAACTTTGAATGGTTCTGATATACTACTACCCCGTACATCTCCCTGAATGCATTTTGATGCCTCGCAGCAATGATTTTCGACTGCAGCCTTCTGCCATCACTGTCACCGCATTAAACAACATGGATGCACAGTTCACTATAATTGTGCCGGTACTCCGTCCTCCGCACCACTGGGAGTAAATCTCTTTTTTTTGTGTGCAGTTGTGGCTGAGTCATCCAAACGCTGGGCAGACCGACGAGAGCCGGGGGAGCCGTTGAAATAACTGCAAGGTTCCTCTTCTCCGTCGTGCATCCATCTGGTTGGTGGGTGGAAGCAAGCATTACTTGTGCAGGCTGAGAACTAGTAGCTTACTATTGAATGGGAGCATACAATAATGAGGCTATCCAAGCTGCCCGCAATTATAATAATATAATATGATATTTCAGAGTACCGTAGAGCGGCTATCCATGGATCCATAGCCGGATACCCAAACGGGCAGAATTTCTCCGCGGTTCAATCAACCGTGGCTCGTGATTCTTCGGGAATATGTAGAAGTCTAAGTAAACAGGGAATCTTTTTAAGTACCCAACTATGGGACTGACTGACCACAATGATGATCATAATGAAGGATAAGAATTAGAGACATCTTGTAATAACAAGATGAGGCGGAGTTCATGTTATTGTTACTGGTTACTGCTCTTCACTACTCCACTACTTAGTTAAATGTCAGTAGAAAATAATAGTTAATAATACTATTAACTGACTCATTTCCCTCTATTAACTGAATGTGATTTTAATATTCACAGATATGATCAAAATGGAAAATAGAAAAAGATTATGTCACCAGTTCGCCGCCCTAATGGGGGATCCTCGAACGCCATCCGCATCATCATCACCCATGGTCAGCGTCAGCATCCCCCCCCAGCTGCATCAGCAATAAGACCATCCATCTGCTTGAGCAATAGTATTCACAATCAAGCCGCACGGGTAGGGGCAGGAAAATCGTCTGCACCCTCGCCTTCCATGACCCCGGCGGCTACGCCTCATTAGTCGATGCAAGTTTCTAGTGGGAGTCATCGCGCGCTCATCGTGCTGCCGGGGAGGGTCTAATCGTCGGGTTGGGTGGAGTCAGTCGTGGCACCAGACATGGCCAGGCAGCCCAAAGATGGCCCAACAGCCCAATCATCCCAATCATCTCCTCGGCCAGCTTCACCATCCCGAAACCCACTGGCTGGCCGCCCCCCTCCTCTCTTAGTAGTAGTCGTCTTCTCTCTGCCTCCTCTCCTGTGTCTTGTCATTCATTAGATACACAGTAACTTACTAGACTAGTTAGTCGCTGCTCCTCTTTCGCCGCCCGCCCTGCAGGTTTCTCGCCCTCTTATCTTTTTTTCCCTCCCCGGCTGTCTCATTTTTTTTCCCTTTTCTCTCTTTCCCCCCCTTCACTTTTCGCCGCCGTAACCTCCCATACAAACCTTCTTCCTCCCGTCCCCTCCACCCCCCCGACTCCGAAACCTCTCTCTTTCTCTCTCTCTCTTTCTTTCCTCATTCCTCCCATCTCTCTCTCCCCTTTCTTCACTCCCTCCCTCCCTCTCTCTCTTCCCCTCTGGCCTGGTTATTCCCTGCCAGTTGAAAAGGTAATAGAGTCTGTGTCCGGGAGCGTTGAAGTGAACAACGAAACCCATCCACTGTTCAAAAGAACCGGAGATTCCATCCAGGAGAAGAATAAAGGCCTTTTTTCTCCCTCATCTCCCTCATCTCTGATTCACCTGAGATTATTCTCCAAGTTTTTCCGAAGTTCACATTCACACGTTGAACTCTCGTCTCTTCCTCACCTGCCGGACCTATTGAAGGACGTTACTGTCTCTTTCGTTTGCGACTTGCTTAATGCTGGAAGTGACTTATATACCTTGCATCCATCCTTGACAACCACCGTGGACAAGACACGCTCTCGCCGGGATTTGTTTCTTTTATTCTCTCGGAGCAAGAGCCATATAACCAACCCTGGGATTCCACCTCCTCTCTAAGTCGCCTTTCGTGTTCTGCATGTGTGCTTGTGTCAACCAAAAGTCGGATTAGCCTTATTTCTCAGCCTTGGAGTTTCCGGACGCTGTCTCATAGAACTGTACTTCGTGCTGTTTCTTCTTCCCCTCAATCAACCCCCCTTCTCCCAAAGAGACCACCTGCAACCACTTTCCTCTGGACCCGTCGGCTCTTCCTGATTTTCCCGGACCTCATTTGGCCATTTGGACCCGTTGCCTATAATAACATTAATCACTGGAGACCGTATCCTGGAACAAACAAAAACAAAAATGACTGGCCGTCTTGGATATGAGGGGCGCCCGGAGCGTCAGAACGAATACTTCATTCCTGGCGATGGTATCAGCCGGGAGGTGATCCAAGCAGACATTTGCCGTTACCTTGGAAATGATGCGCTCGTAAGACCCGGAAACCACAATGTCTGTGCCCCGCTGCTTTTCCTATGCAATTCTCTAAAATGATACGAACAATCACGCGAACATATGGGCGGAATATGCCTTCTGGCTGAATCAGTAACTGACTAGATGGGAAACAGGGTCGTCAGGGTTATTTCATTCGCGCCTACCGGAACCTCACCTCTGTATGTTGATTTTTTATTCCGTGGTGTTTCCCTAGGCGAAAAAAGAAGAAAATGTCCGACTAACGAATGGCCGTGTGCTGCAGGAAATGATTGCTGACCTCAAGAAAGACTCGGCTCGGTGGGAGGCCGATGTTATACGTCGGGCTGACCAGGGCTATCCCAGAGGTAGCTACCAACAAGAATTAAACTATTCCCAGGCACCCAGCATGCCCACGGCGTCCTACCAAGTATCTGCCGTTCATGAAGGACGTCAGCAAGGAGGGCCATCCCCTCCGCCTGCCTACTCAGCACCTCCTCCGACTCAGCCATTCGTGGTGGATCCATATGCACAATCGTACCAGGCGACCCAGAGTCCCCCGTACCCACCTGCATCAACTTACACCGGCCCAAACCATTCACCCTATGGATCTGCCCCGAACCCCTACCCTAGTGGTCAGATCCCCTACACTACTTCCAGCCAACCTCCGGTGACTGCGGAGATGCACCCGTCGTCATACACGTATGGTCCTGGCTATGTTTATGAGAATGGAAGGAGCAATGCCCCCAGGTATCCCGGGCCTGGCTATGAAACCGAACAGGACTATTCTCCAGTTACCACCGGGATCCCTTACCCTACTACCACAGCCCCGGACCCTCGGATAGGAATGGATCCCAGATACACTCCTGAGGCATCATACCCCCCGGCAGACCGCAATAGGCCACAACCAGCCAGAGGCGGGGAAGCCCCTCGCCGGACTAGGTAAAGAAAGTCAATGTTTGCTTTCTACGGGCATATATACTATGAACCTTTTTTTGTCCTTAACAATCTATATTGTACCTGGGATCTTGCAGATATATCCATACTTCTGCTTATCCTCAGAGCCCTGAAGGACCAATCTTCCTTTCTTTGCGTATAGGAACATGAGACCGGAAGGAAAAGCGTGCATCATCATTTGTCGGAAGCAATTTGCAACTACCGGAGCCACATCCTAGGACCATCGGATATTATTTCTCCTGGACACCCATCCATGTTATCTCTGATATACTCTTGACATTCCACCCAACGTCCATGGAGACGTTGCCTCGCGCTCTTGGCTGGCCTGGTTATCGCTCCATTGCGCGAGGCACACGGCCGTCTTTTTCTTTGGTGTAAAGCTTGGTCGACCCAAGCTATAACGTGATGGATTTACGAGGAGGCATTTTGGCTTTGTCTGTTGTAATTCCAGCCATTGCTGTGCTTTGTCTGTCTTCTGCCTTGCTGGGTTTTGGTTTCCATTGTCTGGTTATTTTGTGGTGTATTGGTCGTGGAATTCTCATGCGTTTGTGCCACAGTCTTCATTCTTCGATCGGTGTTTTTCGACCATCTCCTACATGTTCAGTCCGATGGAGCGCCAACTGATTTCAGGAAAATATCAGCCGGGGGCTTTTGATGACATACAGTGATGCTGTTCACGAGCTATATGTAGATATGAGCATATACGGCGTTATTTTTTTGTGGTTCGCTGGTTCTTCGATGGCTATCGCATTGACCTATGGGTTTAATAATCGACTTACAAAGTCAAGCCTGTGTTATCTTGTACTTGACCCCTTGCCTGCTCCCACCTTAAGCACTGTTCAATTGCAAGTAGCTGTCTGCATGCCTTGGCATTCTGGATCCTATGCACAGAAAGCTAATTGATGTAAATCATAGAATATCACTTGCTGAAGCAGCACGACTCCAATATTTGCCGTATCTGCTTGTAATGATGCTTTCACGTTATCTTAGTTGCCTTCAGCACATTGTGCGGCCCGATACAATACGTGGGAACGGCTTGCGTATTCGTATCAGCTGCGACGGCATGCGGTGTGAATGGCCCTTTCCTTGTATACAACTTTTGTATACAACTTCTACCACAGAAGCCAACCTCACCAACTGTCCTTTGTTCCAGTTTGTGCCAGTGATTGCTGATCGTAACACGCACCGAATTTGGGCCCCTGTTATTTGATTCACCATATAACACTTGACTATTGTATAACAGAGATCCGGACTGGTATATTGTGAAGCACCGAACAAGTCCAAGGCAACGATGCAATCAGTCACTTCTATTCTCTCGGCGTCGTTCACAAGGCCACCTCGCTATAAAATGCTCATGATTTTCATCCTGCACCGTTTCAGAGACTGCTTCTCGCACTGCTTTGGCGACAAGTTCCTGATCATCATCATCAGTTACATCCAAAATGCCTGTCTTGGACTTTCCGAACTACGTTGATGGCGATGTCAAGCTCACCATCCACCCGGATGTGTACCGTTTGCATTTAAACGTACTCTCCACACACTCCAAGGTTCTGAGGAGCCTGCTAGGGCCACCGAACGAGGTTAACCCACTACAACACATCCAGGGTATGGACCATCAAGGCGCCTATAATCTGAATCTTATCGGCGAAGCTGCCCATAAATTTGGGGTCTTCCAGCTCCAGGCAAGTAGACTCCTTACGATCACAGAATATCTGTGTCGGCTGGGTTTCTAACGAGCACTTCCAGGTCCCGCAGCAATTCACGAGCGAAGCCAGAGGCTTTCGGGCTGTGGACTACATCCCAGTCTGGCCTGTGAGAACCCGGAGATGCTGGGAGAACATTTTCAGGATGTTCTATCTCTTACCTCCTTTTCTGCATGATGACGGCCCTACCAGAAACATTCTGGATAACAGTTGGAGAGTTGTTGAGCTGGCGACAGACCTTGAAGCAGAAGATTTAATTTTACCTCTTCTCGGTGCAGCACTTGAGGGGTATGGACAGGAGCTCTATCGTTGCATATCCGATGATCCCATCGGCTGGGTGAACCTGGGACTGAGAATTCGGTCAGTCATAATCTATCAAGAGTCAGTCATCCACATCGTCGGCCGGTGGCACTATTTAACGGATGAGGGCCACGCCTTGCTCTCAGATCCGATCCGTGAAATTTGCCAGAGAAAGTATAGAGATCTGCAGTTTGATAAGCAGATGACTGACACAAGCATCCTCAACCATCCCGTCGATGATCCACAGAATAGAGATGTCTACACCTGGATGGCTAAGGCTTTTTATCAGCAGTGGCTATGCAATTCCATAGCTGATCATAAGACATATCGTTCTTTGGACGGCGGAGCGGCGTTCTACCGCGCCATCAATGCTGGCGGTAATGCCTACCTCCAGGTGGTCGACCCCGAGGCCCACCTCGTCTTGCTGCCCATTGAACAAGACGAGGTTGCAGTTATGGAACACCGGCTCGGTCAAATAAAGGACGCCGTAAAACATCTTGTTGCATATCTGCTTGAAAATCGATCGCGGTTCAACCCTGGAGTATGGGGAGAACTACACTATCTGACATGCTGCGAAGTTACGCAGCGGGATATTCCTTGGCTGACAGATAGGGCTGCACAGGAAGAGGTAGCTCTTCTACAGACCATGAATAATGCTTTGCCGGCCTTCTACATGGATAATCTCCAATTTGAGAACCGAAACGTCCAGACGCCTCAAATTATCCCCCCGATAGTTACCGAGCGTCCCTTGCCTTCATGGTCTCCAAAATCCCCCGAAGGGTATCATGATCGCACCCCTACTCAGGCCCGGAGTGACGTGACCTCGGTCGTCCATGAACCAGACCTGTCCGACGACATTTCAGTGAACAGCTTCATCAGCCCGCCTCTGTGGGATGAAGACGATTCGACGGCGCATACGGAGTCCGAATTACCAGCGGTCCCAGCCGTCGAATCACTGACCGCGGGATGTCCCCAGAATTGGGATGAAGGAGATAATGGGTTGGTTACTTATCCGAGCCCTATCTTCATGCAGTCTCCTGACGATGTTAAAGGCCACAGAGATGATACTTAGCATCATGGCTGACCGGTAGGGCTTTTGCTTATTGTGTACACTAGTCTGTATTTTAAGTCTGTGCTTCAATTCTGTCTTGTCTGTTTCGGTTTCCTTGTTTTACTACTACTTCGGTCTCCTTGTTTGACTATGTTCGTTTTCATGTTTCAATTTACCATCATGTTCGATTTTATGTCTCGGTTTCTCAATTTCGGGGGTTTATTTTCTTCCTGTATCCTGTACTTCAGATTCAGTGGCTTCTTAGGGCGCAGTAAGGATCCCCCTGGCCATCACGCATCTATTTCGTGATCATTCCTCTTTACCACAAAAACCACACTCTAGATACCAGCACAAACACAAATGAATAAAAAAAAAGATAAAATTATATGAACTCCGCTCTGTAACCATTTTCACATACAATAAATACACACACACATCTCATACCCCACCTACATCACCTTACCCCTCCCTACCAAAAGCACAAGGGTATAAACATGCCCGTTAGGAAGAAGGCGGAGGGCGCATGTACGTAGGAGAAAGATACCCAGAATCCAGATCAAGACTACCTCCGGACAAGCGAGGCCCGCCGATACTTGCTCGTTGATTGACAGCCTCCCTTTCTTCTATTCTATCGGCGCCGGAGTCACACTTGGCTCATCATTCAATGTAGAGCTAGTCGTCGGTCACGCAAGTCCGTCCACCCTATCCTTTCCATATCGCTATATCCCGGATGAGGTGATTTACTCGTCATCGTAACCCTTGGGGAATGTGCGGGGACCGGAGGGGACTATTAATCGCGAGGCGCGAGAACATTAGTATACACTGCTTCCCAAGACAAAGCAGGGCCAAATCGATTGAAGACAATTGGAAAGCGGGCAGCAACATACTGGGATAAGACATGGGGATAGTCTCCGGGTCAACGTCACCCAAGGCACGTCTGAGCGGGGGCAATCCGACGAGGGCAACGGGGCCCATGGAGCCGATAATAAGGGAGTAGAAGATAGCGGGACGTTCGTGAGAAGCCCAGCGGAGGTAGCGGAGAGGCGTGGACCAGAATTGAGGCGTCGACATTGTAAAGGATTTTCCGTTGCGGAGATGTTCGGGAGGGAGGCGTTAAAAGGAAACCGGTAGCGGAATAGATAATTTTTCAATCTGCGGGATGAATCCTCCAGGACAATTGAAACCGGGAATTGATTGAACCTGCGGAGAGGTAGGGGCGATTGAGGTCGGGGTAAACCAGGCGGATTGCGACGGGCGAGGGGAAACGATCGATGGAGGTTGATTGAAGGTGACGAAAGCCGCCAAAAGTGGATTTGCCGGGTCTTGGCGTTCGGTCCAAACACGTCGCCCGTTTGGGAGTGTCTACGTATGTACTACTACTTCCTCTTCTTTCTGGACGAGCTCTCCTCGAACGACAAAACATCATTCTTTTGTGGTTTGCTCGCCGGATTTTGTTTCTCATTTCGCTCCTCCGCTGTGCGGATATTTGCCAACTCAAGATGCGGTGGTCTCTTTCCCTCTTTCTGTTTGGCTTCTCGGCTGTTGTACATGCGCTCAGTAGTTCGGGGAACCGCCTGCTGGTTGTGTTGGAGGATGGATCGGAGAAGGATCTGTATTCTACGTTTTGGAGTGATCTAGAAGGTATGAACTTCCATTTGGACGTTGGAAAAAATGCAGATTGGAGGTGTGCTGACGATATATGCAATAGCTCGCGGTTATGACCTCGTCTTTGAATCTCCCAAGAGTGACAAGCTTTCCCTCTTCGATCTGGGTGAGAGGGCTTACGACCACCTTCTTCTCCTGCCTCCTAGGTCCAAAGGTTAGCGGCGACTTTCAGGATTCGAATGTTAGCTACAAGGGCATGCAATTGACCGTGTGACCAGGATTTGGACCTTCTTTGAGCCCCAAGAACATCGTCGACTTTATGAACAAGGACGGTAACGTCCTCCTCGCGCTCTCGGGCAAGTCCACCACTCCCAGCGCCGTCAGCTCGCTGCTTCTGGAACTCGATCTTCACCTGGCTACCGACCGTTCGTCTGTCGTTGTCGACCACTTCAACTACGATACCCTGTCTGCGGCCGAAAAGCACGATGTCCTTCTCCTCCAGCGCCCCGGCCCATTGAGACCCGATACCAAGGCTTTCTTCGACGGGGAGGGTGTCCTGGCTTTGCCAAGGGCCGCTCCTCACACGCTCGGCGACCACGCTCTCATTGCGCCTATCCTGCGCGCTCCTGCGACTGCCTACAGCTATAACCCTAAGGAAGACTTGTCTGCGGGAGAGGATGTCTGGGCCACCGGCTCTCAGCTGGCTCTCGTCTCCGCCATGCAGACCCGTGCATCCTCTCGCTTCACCCTGCTCGGCTCCGTCGAGAGTCTCCAGGACAAGTGGTTCTCCGCGACCGTCAAGGCGCCCGGCAACGGAAAGGAGACCGGCACGGCCAACCAGGAATTCGCCAAGCAGTTGACTGCCTGGACCTTCAAGGAGACCGGTGTCCTTAAGGTTGGCAAGATCGAGCACCACCTGGCTAAGGACGACCTTACTGCCGAGGACCTCAACCCCTCGATCTACCGCATCAAGAACGAGACCGTATGTGCCCACTAACTCTTCCGCAACCTAGCCGCCAAACCCCTGCTGACGTGTCCCTATAGGTTTTCAGCATTGAGATCTCCGAGTACAGCCACGACCGGTACATTCCTTTCGAGGTGCCCGCCAACGATGCTCTGCAGCTCGAGTTCACCATGCTCTCTCCCTTCCACCGCCTGAAGTTGGAGCCTACCGCCCGCACCGAGAACAGCACCATTTACAGCACGCAATTTACCGTCCCTGACCAGCACGGTATCTTCTCCTTCCGGGTCAACTACAAGCGCCCGTTCCTCACCAACATTGAGGAAAAGCACGAGGTGACTGTCCGCCACTTCGCCCACAACGAGTACCCCCGCAGCTGGAAGATCAGCGGAGGATGGGTCTGGATCGCTGGCCTGTGGTCTGTGATCGGCGGGTTCCTGGCCTTTGTGTTCGTGTGGCTCTACTCGGAGCCCGCCTCGGCCAAGGTCAAGAAGACCCAGTAAAGTAATGTATCATTTGAAAGATCAGTAAATGAAATCTGCTGCACAATGCACGCTTTGAGAACGACGATGCGAATCGTAGAATGCCCAAGTCAGTCTGCGTGGTCAGACGAGACCCATACATTGCATATGTACAATCTAGTAGTATAATATGGTGTAAATCCCCATAACCTGATACTCATACACACTATCAGGGCTTGGGTACATGAGCGAAGTAGTCCCAACAATCAAACAATCATCCAAACTCCAAGCCAAATGCCAGCGAAAACAACAAAAGCACAACATGATGTTACAGTGCACTAGGGAAACCAATCTGTGTCACCATCACTCAGGACACCAGATATAACGAACCCCCCTCACAGACCACGAGTCTTCTCCGGATCCATCTGCACCTCATCACCGCTAATTTCCTTGACCGTCTCAAACGCCGGCTTGCCCGCATATAGCTGCTGGGACGAGCTGGAGCCGCCGCCTTCCGTCGTCGATACCGAGATGGGCTGGTTTCCGCGGAACCGCTTGCGCATATCGATCAGGCCGCGTCTATAGAAGGACAAACAGTTAGTAACCCTGATGACTTGGCGGTGATTGCGTTTTACAAGAAGGTAGCGGCTCTTTACTCACTTGCACTCGCTGAATCCCTTCCGCAATTGCTGGCATCGCATGGGAAGCTCGTCGACGTACGGCTCACTCAGACATTCGCGGGGCGAGCGCCGTTGCACCATGATGCAGTCTGATTCTTGGAGACATTGGGCCAGAGCATTTCCTGTTCATCCAGGTGAGATTGATTAGAGAGTGTGGAGCTGAAGCTGAAGTTGGGGACAATGAGGTGGTGATCTCCGTTCGGGGATACGTCGAGTATCCAAGCCGCAATTTAAGAGTATGGTAAAGGATATAAGGGTCAAACGTACTGATCTCTTGGCAGGAACTCGGCATTTTGGCGAACAACAATGGCCGAATTGCTCAGCCAACTGACAAGCAGGAACAATACCGGTCTGCGGCGGCGGACATCTGGAGATAATTTGTCTGATCGGAAAACAAACTCAACCAACGGGCCTTGCCCCGGATTAGGTAAGCCATCACATGAAGAAGGCCCCCATGACGTCTGGGGGGAATCCTGACTTGCTGCTTGTTCCGCTTGATTTATCCTCTTCCCCTAGTCATGCGGTCTTGGGTCTTTGAAGCATTGCTTCGGCGCATTATGGTTCACTACTACTACTGCAGGTGATAAGTATTTTAGTTGGTTGATTTGCAAATTGTCCATCCCTTTTCGATAATAGGAGGTTTGGTCTTAATCGTCATGGCGCGCGTTCCGGTCATTGGACGGCTGTTTTGGTTCGAGTATTTGGCCCTTTTTGGGTCGCTGATTTTGGTATTGCTGGAATGGGTTATACATATTATCACATTCTGTCTGCGTAAGTAGTGTGTTCATTCTCTGGAATTGTGGTCTATGTCGAGGGGCAAGAGCTAACTGACGCAGCTGAACCTGTTATTAAGTTCTGTTACGATCGATCCAAGACTATCTTCAACGCCTTCATTCCTCCCGATGACCCGGCTAAGCGCGGTAAAGAAGAGAAAATTGCTGCGTCGGTTGCTCTGGCGTCGGACTTCACGGATATATGCGCGCTGTTCGGATATGAGGCGGAGGAACATATCGTCCAGACAGGGGATGGCTATCTGCTTGGTCTGCACCGACTGCCCTATCGGAAAGGAGAGGAGGGGAGGAAGATCAACCAGGGCGAAGGGAGCATCAAGAAGAAGGTCGTCTATCTCCACCATGGTCTCATGATGTGCAGTGAAGTCTGGATCTGTCTGTCAGAGGAGCAGCGATGCCTTCCGTTTCAATTAGTCGAAAGGGGCTATGACGTGTGGTTGGGGAACAATAGAGGAAACAAGTACTCGAAGAAGTCCGTCAAGCATTCGCCCCTGTCGAACGAGTTCTGGGACTTTTCGATCGATCAGTTCTCGTTCCATGATATCCCAGACAGCATCAAGTATATCCTGGAAGTGACAGGGCAGCCCTCCCTGTCATACGTGGGGTTCTCGCAGGGAACAGCGCAGGCATTTGCGACGCTGTCCATTCATCCTTTGTTGAATCAGAAGATCGATGTCTTTGTGGCTCTCGCGCCGGCAATGGCTCCGACAGGTCTTCCAAATCATCTCGTGGACTCGCTCATGAAGGCTTCGCCGAACTTCCTGTTTCTGCTGTTTGGCAGACGCAGCATCCTTAGCTCAACGACGATGTGGCAGACAATTCTCTACCCGCCTATCTTTGTTTGGATCATCGACACGTCACTTCGCGGCCTGTTCAATTGGAGGTGCAAGAACATCAGCCGCTGGCAGAAGCTGGCAGGGTACCTGCATCTGTTTTCCTTCACTAGCACCAAGTCGGTCGTCCATTGGTTCCAGATTATTCGGCACCGGAATTTCCAGTTCTACGATGACGAAATCCATGCCCCGCTCAGTATTGTGGCCAGTGAGCGATTTTACAAGCCGGTCAAGTACCCGACTAAGAACATTAAGACGCCCATTGTCCTGTTGTATGGCGGTAGCGATAGTCTCGTTGATATCAACGTGATGTTGTCCGAGCTCCCTCGCGGGACCGTGGCGAAGGAAATCCCGCAGTATGAGCATTTAGATTTCTTGTGGGCGCGTGATGTGGACCAATTGGTATTCAACCATGTCTTCGAAGCGCTGGAGCGGTACAGCTCGGAGAATCAGAAAGGGACATTGATGGAGAAGGTTAATGGTGCCGCGGGCACATATGTACCGACATAAAGTACGAGGTCCTGCACCAATGAAGACACGCATAATCTTAGAGGAGATCCATACCCACCATCGCCAAATGTGACAGCTTGCGTGTTTTGACTCGCGGGTCTGACTGCCTCAGAGCAGATCGCGATACGAGAGACAAAGGTCATTGTTCGCCTTACTTTGTATAATTGTTTGCCTATAACTTGTTTGTTAAGCCTTGATTGTTTCTGTACAGCATACACTATATCACAGTCTAATATAACCTCAACACCACCAATCACCTCGCCAACACCATGCGAAGCAACGCAGACCGGATGCCTTGAAGCTGACAGACCTCCAATGGCCTTCATCGGTACTTCAATACTACTTCGTTGCCTAGATAGATCCATGAGAGATCGGCTCCTGACCCCTTCAGTGACATACGTCATATGTATCGACCGGCAGCGCTTTTCTTCAGATCCATATGCAGGGAGATGGTCCCAGTGTCGGGTCTGGTCTTGTTCTTCCCGTCCCCGACGCCTCACATCCACATGTGATGCATAGACCAACGCGTCCCCATCACATCTGCACTTTTCGCAACCAAGCACGACTCAAACCAATGTTTGTGCAGCCCAACCCCCAGGGAATATCTCTCCCAATGTGACACATCAGCTTGGCTCTCAATCATACTGATACAACCACCAAGTACCATGTCCCCCCCTCCCCCCCGGTCAGGTGGTAATGGGATGGCGATGGTCTGATGCCCTAGCGCACCATCAATGCGCGTGCACATCGGTCCAATATAGATTACAGATTATAATAAATTAATGATAGGCACACAGACAGCCAACCTCCCGGAAGTTGGGGACCGGAGGTCCGGTGCGGTGGTCCGTACTTTTTGTCTGCCGTGGCCTCAAACGATTTAGTCAGGATTTATCAACCCAGTCTACCAAGTGGTCCTAAGGCTACTTAGTGCTGATGAGCAGCAAATGTGCTTCCCGCTTAGTCTCGGGGGTGATTCCGTCCCTGGCAGACTAAAGTTGGGTTGGTTGAGTTGGCGTCGGAATCTGCTTCCGGTTCCTGGAATCGGGCACATCCCGATGTCCCTTTGGATGATTTCCTTCTTCTTCCTTTTTACTGGTAGGAAGGGCATGTCTGGTTATTGGCTTGGTCGCTGCTGACAGGTAATTTTTGGGGCTTAAGTAGATGAATGACCTGCATGGCATCGTATGGGGGGAGGTTCTTTTGTGATTATGATGGAGAGCGAGAGGGAGGGAGGGAGATTATTGTTATGAGAGGGGAAGATCGATCATTGTGCTTGTCTTCGGGGCAAGGCGGAGGTGGGTTTGGGACTTTTGCGTGATATTCATGAGTTCTCCTGTAGAGAGACAGTGTGAGTGTGAGTGTGTGTAGAAAGCACTCTGTACCATTGCTAGTTTCTGGTTAGATAGCACATCCAGTTAATATTTATTGATCAGTAGTCGCCATGGCCTGCCTGCCCGGCGTCTATCTATCTGCTTTCCTCGTCCTTGCAGCGGTTACTAGCCTTAATGATTCCCCCCGTTTCCCTGTTTCTGAGACAATACTAGCAATTGGAGCCCGGCTGAGTGCATGTGAAGCTGAGTGTCTTGTGGGCGCTGAAGAACTCGAGGTAAGGTAAGAGGGAATAATCCAGTTTCAGCTTCCAACATTTATCATGTCATCCCCATCGTTCTCCATCAATCATCCTCTCCTCCTCCACCCACCCCCCCCAATCCTATCTGAATCCACACACACACACACACCTCCCTCTCTTTCCCCTTCAAACATGCCACATCCCCATCTGCGAGGCTCTGCTGAGCTCATCAGGGCTGCAGATCTCGGGGGGAGGTGGTAAGAGAGATGACTGTCTGAACCATTCGAGAAGAAGAATAATCAATCGGATCAGGGGATAAGGGGAGGGTGCGAGATTCAATTATTGGCCAAGCCATGCCGCGCCCCCCCTTCTTGAGGGAGGATGGATGCGCTGGGCTTTCTGCCCCCATCCGCAGTGATCATTCTACGGTCTACGGTGTCCTGCCGAATCGGAGGGAGGGAAGAGGGGGAAGAGGGGGGCGAAAGAGCAGGGGATGATGGAAAGAGAAAGAGAAAGTGAGAGGCTGATACGATCTGATCTCAGACTTGGAGAGAAAAGTGATGGTGTTGTTTCTCTTTCTGCCCCCCCTTCTATCTGTCTCTTTCTTCCTCTCAGTAGGAAAATGATGCCCGTCAAGATGGGGGTCAACTTCCCCCTCTAGCTTATAACCACACAGCACCTTGCTCTATTACTACTGTTTCTTTTCGTTCTGGATCATCGGGACCCAAGAAATTAACCAGAACCTCCCTATCGCCAGCTGCTAACCTCGACTGTACTAGGGGCTTAAGGTTTAAGAGCGGCCGCACAACAAATCGCCGTTCGATTCGAGGCTCACCGCCGCAAATTGGAGAGAGACCCTGCCGTGCCTTTTTTTTTTTGACTTTTTTTGCTTTTCCCTCTCGTGCAGTTCTTCAACGGGGAACTTCAGGGATCAGGAAACAGACGAAACCGAGAAAAGAAATTTCAGAAGGAATTGATTTGATCGTCTCTCCGTTAGGCCGTTATTGCATCATATCATCTGCTGTCCTCGTCGGTAAGCCAAATTCGACGTTCTTCTCTGCTGCTCTTCAATGGAACTTACCGATCCTTTTCCTGTCCTCCCCACAAACCGGGACCAAGTCCGTGTTCGCTGACTTAGCTTCTTGCTACTGCTCTGCTTGTCTGGTTCTCACTCACTCATCCTCTCTCTCTCTTTAAACTAGTGTCTCCCTCCCCCCGAAAGTCACCGACCGATCTGTCGACAGCAGCTACCTATCCTTTCCTTCTTTCCCTCCTCTGCTCTCCACCTCAACACCCGCGGCCTTGCTTCAAACCGTCCCTTTCTCTGGCGCTTCCATCCTGCCAGCTCCCGGGGAATTGGTCGGGAATTGATTGGCATTGAGACCGATGTAACGGATCGCGTGTTGCTGCCCTTGCTCTCCCAGCACTTCCTCCCCGCCCACCCCCCTCAAAGGGAGTCCAGTCCACCTCCTTCTCTCCTCCCCCCATTCCCCAATCTGCTTAACTCAAATCAAATCATCGGCGCGCATTGAATCTGGATCCACCGTCCACTCGATACCCTCACCGTGAAACAACCCTTATCTGTCGCAGCATTCGGATCGGGTTAAGTCTACGTTCCAGCTTCGACCACTGATTCCGCCCCAGGATCAGAACAATATAATTGTTGGCTCAGACGTTACCGGAACCCTATCGGAGTCGACTCTTTCACTTTCGCATCGAATTATACTCTTTCAATCGCCGAATACGCGGCTACCGTTACAATGCGGCCACAGTAAGCTCCGCCTCGGACTCTCTATTCCGCAACAATCGATCGGAGGTTGTCGCAGTCGCTAATACACTGGGTTCTTAATAGGCGGGAATACCATATCGTTGTTTTAGGTGCTGGTGGGTACACACATCTGTGACAGACAATAAGAAATGTTTCACCGCTGACCATCGGTCGTTGTCGGCGCAATAGGAGGTGTGGGAAAGAGCTGTCTTACTGGTATGCTCCTGGTCGCATATATCTACCTGGTTCTTTGCCATGATTTGCTGATGCTGAGTAGCTCAATTCGTGCAAAATGTCTGGATCGAGAGCTATGACCCTACAATCGAGGATTCATACCGGAAGCAGATCGACGTGGATGTAAGTTCGGCTTCGACCTTGTCTGGATATAGTCACTTACACTCCTAGGGCCGGCAATGTATTCTGGAAATGTATGTGTTGTGCGCAGCGAATCTGTTCCACAGCGCAGTTGCATCACTACGGTGAACCGAGATAGCTGACTGTTGTATCCAGACTGGACACTGCAGGAACAGAACAGTTTAGTAAGTCTTCGTGGACACGGTAGCATCCAAGTTCTCTGGTACTAACATTTTCTTAGCGGCCATGAGGTAAATGCGCCCACTCAGGACTCCCTCCTCCCGCCAAGTTATACGGCGTATTTACAACCGTTGCCATTTCGGGCCCCATGCTGACGTTGGATTGCATTCCAGAGAGTTGTACATGAAACAAGGCCAAGGGTTTCTGCTCGTATTCTCAATTACGAGCATGTCCTCGCTGAACGAGTTGTCCGAGCTACGCGAACAAATAATCCGCATCAAGGAGGATGAGAAAGTTCCCATTGTCATCGTGGGCAACAAGTCCGACCTGGAAGAGGACCGCGCTGTGCCACGCGCGCGCGCATTCGCCCTCTCCCAAACCTGGGGAAACGCCCCCTACTACGAAACCTCGGCCCGTCGACGAGCTAACGTCAACGAAGTCTTCATTGACCTCTGCCGACAGATCATCCGAAAGGACCTGCAAGGAAATTCCAAGAACTCCGACTCAGATCGCAAACGGGAAGGTGGCAATCGGCAGGACCGTCGAAAGGACAAAAAGCGCCAGACCCGGCGCAAGGGACCCTGCGTGATCCTATAATTAGTCCTAATCGCGACCCTTTCCCCGACACGACGAACGTACCACCAAATGAACGAGAGCAAGCGCATGGGCTAGCCCCCCTGACCACTTACTATCTTACATCGCTCACCATTACGCACATGACTTACCCACTGCACACTGCACATACCCCGTCTACAAAGCCTGTCTAATGTCGAAACACCTACTACTACTACTACTACTACTACTATTACTTACTACTACTACTACTTATTCACCCAACCCTTACCTGACCTTATCCTATGCCATGTTTCATCATACGCCTGTCCACGTGCTCCCACGATAGATATATGTGACTTATAGCCTCGAATATTTTGTTTCTTATACTTGTTCTTTTCCTATTGCCATGTCTAACATTACATCTGTGACTTTTTTTTGCCGGAGGAATGGAAAAGTGTAAATTTCTTATTCTCTTTTCTTCTCTACCGATTTAGATGCTCCTCTTTTGCGAATGTGAACAGCGAGACTTGCTCTTATTTCTTTCTTTGTATCTTCCTTGCTTCCTGGATATTGATCGTGAGAGAGAAAAAGCAGAAGCAGAATTGGATAGATTGCTCCACAGCGATAGGAAGTTCGATGAGACGATCCCGATTGGTTCCAAAATAGATATGTTACTTTTCCTATTGTTTCTTCGTGTTACTCTTAGACATTTCGACAGCTTGTATGCTGCATGTTTTGATCAAGCGGTGGAAAAGAACGAATAGAAGTATGTCTCAGGATAAGTCACCTAAGTGTATTGCATGTTCAGGCAGTGATGTATTTTATGACTTCAAATCTATCACCAAGTACAAACGCGGTGTCTTCCTACTTTACTATACTATAGTACTGTTGCTCACTTCCTAATCTGATACTATCATATCACAGGTAGATATACCCGCGAGTGGCCCGCAAGTCACATGAGTCAATCACAACAATCCAATTATCTCACGAGGTGCTTTCTGTACAGCACCGTAGCATAGGCATTCGTCAACTACCAGCCTTTCCATACGCCGAAATTAAGTATCCAGTCGCGTATCCCTAAATCCAAAGTCCTTTCTCAAAACTAAGTAGCCGGGCTCTTCAGAACCCAAGCATACACTATAACACCCAGAAGCGCTGCTCTGACTACTATTGATCTAGCCAAGACCCCCCTGCTATCAAACACACAAGCACTGTAGTCAAAAGCCACGCATCTATTTAAAGTCCAATTGTTGTAAGTTTATACCGAACATAATCATCAACGCGAGTAGACCCATTCGAGCAGATTCCCCCTCCTTCTTCCATTTCTTCCATGTCTTGGATGAATTTATCGAGATATTCGCCGGCAGCACTGAAGTGAAGAATGCGCCCGATAGAATGATGGACTTTCAGAAGTTGAGGGGATGGTGGTTCTATACTTCCGTTGGGGGTGGCATAGAGCGTGCGGGTGATAGGAAGTCTATGGATTCGGAACATGCGGTTTGGGTCGATATAGTTGATTGTGTATGTGTGTGGATGATCCTGGACTTGTTCGAAGGTGATCTCGAAAGCACGAAATGATTGATGAAGGTCGTGAGTTAAGGTTAGCGTGTTTAGAAGTTGTTGGTTAATGTTGGTTTTGTTGATGAGGGAAATAGTTTTTGGGTCGAACATCATTAGGATCTTGTGAGTAGCCTAGAGGATTAATTAGCAGAATGCTACAAGCTTAAGTGATAACGTACTAATTTCGATTCTCCAGCAATATGTATGTCACTATGAGACATGAGAGAATGAGGAATGATATACGCTACTTCGAGATAGGTCATGCCTTTAGCTTCCTGCAGCAAAGGATTCCCGTCATCGTCTTTCACGTTATCTCCATCTAGTACCTTGCATCTCTTTTCAGCCTCCCGAATATCGAACTTTCGGGTCACGACACATCGATGGCGGTCACGCGTGAGACAGGCTTGTCGTAGATCAGGGATGTGCTGTGGAGTGCCAATAGTTGGTTCTAATGAATCTATCATCGTAGGTTGAGTAGCCTTCGCGGCTGTTAGTTTAACTAAATATAGACGGAGTCAGCATCCTGCGGTGACTAGATATGTCAGCAACATACGTGGTAAGAAGAAATTATCTATCAGATAATCGGCGAAGTGGACTAAACATTGAAGAAGGATGTTTTGCTCTTCGGAAGTCCATCTCTCAAAAGTGTGTAACCTTGCTAGGACCTCAGCTACTCTGATTTCTGTTGTGACTCCAAGATGATCGTGTTCGATGAGAGTGAAGAAGAGGATCAGGAACTCATCTTCAGCAGAGACCTCCTCTTTCGTGAGGCGTATAAGTGTTAGTGGTCTATAATCTTTGTTCGATGTCTGTAAAGGCTCGAAACGTTCAATTAGCTTGTCAAAAAGCTTCGTGGCTTTATCATGCTCTTCTGGTGTCAAGCATTGCTGGTCGGGAAAGATGACTTCATCCAAGGATGAGCAATGTCGGTGAAGCGGAGAAGCCATGATGGCTGGTAACCTCCGTTTCCAGTTTTTGGGCTTCTGATAAAGAGGGTTGTGCCGATATTATCTCTAATCTGAGGTATTGAGTGGGGATGGCAGCTCTAAATTACACAGTATAGTTAGTGACTGAAAGATGCTCGTCAACCGAGCATTGATATCGATCAAGCCCGGCTTTACTAGTATTTCCGACACCCAAGGAAATCTAACTGCTACGCGAGTTTCACAAGGGATTGTATTAGGTAGCACATGCACCAAATATATTATATGGCTGATGTAGTATTTCGAAATGATAAAAGCAATCTACTTCTATTCATTGAATCATCCATTGCCTCTGAAGAAGTTTCCATGGAATGAGGTAGGGAAAATTATTTTGCGAAAGAAAGACACCATTAATTCAATAGCACAGCAACAGAAAAGAATCACTCCCTCAAATTAATGACCTCGAGATCAAGATTTGATAGCATAAGTCCGCCGATACACCTCATCAATTTTCTCCAAGTAGTATGTTCCCGGTGCTAGGGAGGCTATGTCTCCAGATGGAGTATAGTCATTGCTTCCGTAGGCTTTCAGTCGGAGTGTACAGGCCTTGATATACACTGTATCAGTATAGAGCAACAACTTGATCACCAAAGGATCGAGAAAGCTACATAATTCTGTTGGCTTACCTCTTCATATTCCTCGGGCGTAGCGATATGTCTCTGATTCAGGCGGTTCATGAGATCGATTTTCTCAACCATGGGGTTTAGGTCGCCGGTTACTTTGAAGGCGAAGAGAGTGCTGGCTAGACCGCTGCCGTACTTTATCCACAATATGCGTTAGAACTGATGGATATATAGTTCAATTTGGGGACATGGGTGTGACTTACACTAAACATGCCAATAGTTTTCCCCTCCGCAGTGGCAAGATCGATATTACTGATCAAGCTGATGAGTGAGCAATAGAGACTGCCTGTGTACATATTTCCACACAAAGAGGGCGCAGCGATGCATGGCTCGACCCGTTTCTTGAACTGATCTTTTGTCAGAGCTACAAGGGTCTTCTCTAGATTTTTGTCTTTGAGGGATTCTTCGTAGGTCAGGGTGCGGAGCTCAGGTGGGATTGCAGTCAGATCTGTGTCTGGGTTCGAGCTCGACTGGTGTAGAAGGTCGTCATATTTGAGTCGACCGTACGACTTGCTGACTAGCTTGCAGTTTGGAGTATGGAAGGCCATGTAGTCGAAGAGGTCGAGGACATTCTCGACGTTCTTGTTGTTCGCGCTTCTGCGACGGAGGAGGTCCTTGTGGCATCCGTCCAGGGCGCGGATATAGCAAGTGATTGATTCATGGCCATTGACGAGAGGGAACTCTGATTTGAGGTCTGGTTTGTAGAAGTCGTACGTGTGTGTCATATAGACTCCTCTAATGCTATGGTCCAGGGAGAGGAGCGCGTTGGGGCCCACGAGCATGGCAACGCAACCTGCACCACCGGTAGGACGACTGGAAGACTCTTTGTAGAGGGCAATGTCGGATGCTACGACGATGGCGTCTCGCCCGTCCCAGGACCGGGACTCGACCCAGTTTATAGCGTTGAAGAGAGCATTAGTTCCGCCGTAGCAGGCGTGAATAGTGTCAATACCTTCAATGCTTGTGTTGCCGGAAGGCTCGAAGAGGGTTGTAAGAACGGACTTGATGGACTTGGCCTTGTCGATCAGGGATTCCGTGCCTACTTCGAGACGACCGATGGAGTTGGGGTCAATGCTGTATTTCCTGAGGAGGGAGGACACGGCTGTTAGTGCTAGAGAGCAAACATCTGAACGGTTGGTTAGTTGGAATTCTCAGTACTTGAAAAGACAGGATGGTGTATTTTGATTAGAACATACCCTCTCTATCGGTGCAGTAATTCATGCACTTGAGTCCCAGTCCGATGGTGTACTTGCCGGCTGAGACACCTTGGTGTTTCTCGAAGAGGATTTGATCCAGACACTGTTTGATCAGGCAATCAGACAGACTCCTAGGAGATGAAGGATTGCATTACCTGGGCTGGGACATAGATCTCCATGGCCTTAATGCCGACATTCTCTGGGTAAGATGCCATCGTGTGAATGAAAGCAGATATGGAACAGAAGCTGTGTTGGGATGAAGCTGCAGGATTGAAGAGTTGAAATGCAGTAGACAGATGCCCCCTTTATAGCCCAGTATCACTGCTGCCTGTTCTTCAGTATGTATTGGAAACGTAGGTGAGTGGGTTTGAAGTGGCTGTGAGCTTCTAGCCGTCCATCATGTTCAGACCCATATGATCATAAGCACCAGGAGCAAGGACACAGTACGTTGGTCAGACCACGTAGTAAGGACTAAGCTGGTACTGCAGAATTGTATTGGACGAAAGAACTCTTGCTGGAGTTACTAGCTGAATCCTATATTCACGCTTCTAGACATAGGATGGGAAGTACGGCGTATATCAGGTCCTGAGTATGGGGATGTCAGATGCACCAATAACGGTTGGCAAACCCAATGGCGGGTCTATTAGTGAGATTCCCCATCTGTTAGCTTGCCTCTTTTGATCATCATGGCGCCGGATGAATGGATGTGAAAACCTGCTGGTCTGTTGTGAACATCGTCATAGCATCTGCATCCGAAACGTTGCAGGTCAACACCAAACCCAACAGCCATGGACGCCGCGGATCATAATGACAGATACGAGTGGGAACAACACGAGAAACTCTGTTTACTCAATCAATTGCTGATGGTTTGTCGTGATTACCGTGTTTGCCATGTAGGCAGGCGACAGGAGCAGCGGTGGGACCGGGTCACGGCTTTGGTGAGGCCGAAGTGCTGAGGCTGTCATTGAACCACATGATCTACATCTTCAAAAACCAATCGGTCTTGTTATAATATCGGAATATCGTCCAATGATCGTTCGGTTTGACGATAAGCTGCTAGTTTGCTTGGATTATCGTAATGCATGTACGGCAACCGAACGCTTGGGAATATAACATCTCTATAGACCACATTTATGTTGATATCTGATGGAGTTACAGTAGTACTTCCTTTGCAAGTATGTCGACGGTAATTGAAACGTTTCGTGAGTTATCATAGCCCCTAATCGAACACCACTGCTTTAGTATAAAGTGCTACATTGCGGGGGCCAACAGAATAGTTAGCTATTTTAAGGTTGAATTTTGAAATAGAAGCCAGTCACCGGATTATGATTCGCTTATGCCATAATCCGTACCCTGTTTTATCACAGCTAAAGAACCTCACATCCGGAACACCCCAAATCGAGTCTGCATATCAGCATCTACCCTTCCACCTACAGCAGCCGCCAGTCCCAGACCAAGGAACCGTCTCGTCTGCGCGGGAGGAATAACACCATCGTCCCACAGCCGTGCCGAGGAAAAGACCGCCTCCGATTCGCGATCAATCCGAGCCTTAAGATCGGGGTCCGCTGTCCGCCCGACAGCTTCCATGACAGCAGAAAGTTGCTCCGAGCCCATGACACCGATCTTGGCGTTGGGCCACATGAACAAAAGACGCGGAGAGTAAGCGCGACCGCTGCAAACGTAGTGAGTACAGGATAGGAAGAAGAATAATGTCTGACCGAGGACTTACCACATTCCATAGTTGCCCGCGCCAGCGCTGGAACCAAATACGACTGTGAACTTAGGGACGTCTGCGCAGGCCACGGCCGTAACGAGCTTCGCGCCATTCTTTGCAATACCGCCCTTTTCAGCATCTGCGCCAACCATGAAGCCAGAAATATTCTGGAGGAAGACTAGAGGAATTTTACGTTGCGCGCAGAGCTCGATGAAGTGTGCTCCTTTCAGGGAGGACTCGGAGAACAGGATACCATTGTTGGCGACAATACCGACTTGATGCCCGAAGATACGAGCAAAGCCAGTGACAAGTGTCGTGCCATAGTCCCGCTTGAATTCGGCAAACTCACTGCCATCGACGATACGGGCGATGACCTCGTGGACGGGAATCTGGCGCCGGAGGTTGGTGCCCACGATGCCATTCAGCTCCGTTGGATCATACAACGGCTCTCTGATGGCGTCACCGGGGATGTTCTTAAGAGGAACGGTCGTTTTTGGATAGTTGAGGTTGGAGATGGATCTCCGGGCGAGAACAATGGCATGCGCATCGTCCACAGCAAGATAGTCTGTTACACCTGAGATTGTGCTATGAAGCTGACCCCCACCAAGGTCCTCTGCGGAGACTTCCTCGCCTGTAGCAGCTTTGACAAGAGGAGGTCCGGCCAAAAAGATGGTGCCTTGGTTCTCGACAATGATCGTCTCATCGCTCATAGCGGGGACGTAGGCCCCACCAGCGGTGCAGGGGCCCATGACGACGGATATTTGTGGAATGCCCAGGGAACTCATGCGGGCTTGGTTGAAGAAAATGCGACCAAAATGCTCCTTGTCTGGAAAGACATCTGCTTGGTGGGGAAGGTTTGCACCACCAGAGTCCACGAGGTAGAGGCAGGGAAGCTTGTTTTCTTGAGCAATTGCTTGTGCGCGTAGGTGCTTTTTAACGGTGATGGGGTAGTATGTGCCTCCCTTGACCGTGCTGTCATTAGCAACGATCATACAGGTGACGCCTTCAACTGTTCCAATGCCTGTTATGATGCCACCTGCTGGGACGTCGTCAGAGTAGACATCATGGCCGGCGAGTGGAGAGAGCTCTAGGAACGAGGTGCCTGGATCAATGAGGGCGGTAACTCTGTCGCGAGGGAGCATTTTCCCTCTTGCGATGTGCTTGTCCTTGGCTTTCTGCGGCCCTCCTTGGGAAATTGTGCTATGTAGACTAGCCATCCGGTCGAGGAGCTCCTGCATTTGCTGGGCGTTCTCCTTGAAATCCGAGGACGAGGTGTCCACAGCTGTGGGAAGAGCCGATATGGCGGATGCATGGTGAGGATGGGTATAGCTGGCAACATATCTCGAGAATGCGAGGAAAGGAGTTCTCGTTGAGCGTTGTCGCACTGGTAGACAGCGGGAGGGAAGGGCGGGTTGTTTGGATCGCAAGCTCCGCAGGAGCGGAGACGGAGCACGCATTGCGGGGACGTTGGAGTTGGATGATCTGGGGATGCTCGGGCGTGGACAGGAACGTATTTGGGGAATATGCCTTATATGCAGACTACACCATGGCCGGTTCAAGCCGGAGGAAGTACACGAGGTAATATTGTCGTCGGCAGTGGAGGAAGATGATTGCAGACGCCGAATTGGCCGAAGCAGGCATGCAGCAGGTGACTTTGCCTGTCTTGAGAAGTGCGGAGAAGGGCGGCGACGATTGCCGCGATTAACCGTCCCCATCTTGATCAACAGTACGGACTACGGAGTAGTATTGCACGCCGTCAGCCGTGGCTGCATAATTCATTCCGCTCTTTCTGGCTGTCCATTGTTCTACTTCTTGTTCTCAATTTCCCGTCATTCCAAGCTGAAGTGCTTCACCAATTACCCTCCCAGTGTGTGTTCAGCGCTATGGCTACACTCCAGAGACTCCCATTCTTCGTCCGCCAGTCCTCACGGACTCTGGCTCGGTGCAGGAAACCCCTCATCCAGCCCCCCGCACTACGCACTCTGGTGATGAAGCACCCAAAGGACTTTGTCCCTCCCACAGAGGAGGACCTGCTAGAGCTTCGCGAGCGTGTACAGGAATTTACACGTGTGTATAATGGCATGCGAAATGCTCTGCTTGGGCCATACTAACCGTCTGCGAATCAAGGGCGCGAAATTCCCGAAGAAGTTGCCGCGCAGACCGACGCCCAGAATGAGTTTCCGGCGGAGATGTGGAAGAAGCTGGGTGAAGCTGGGTGGGTTCTCAGAATATCAACGAGCTATATACTTCAATTCTGACCTTATCAGGTTCCTTGGTATTACAGCCAACGAAGAGTACGGTGGACTAGGGATGGGATACCAGGCTCACTGCGTCGTCATGGAGGAGATCAGTCGCGCATCTGGTATGGCTTTCCTCCATCAATCGACTGGCCAAATATAGTCTAATCTTTATTGAATAGGAAGCATCGCCCTCTCCTACGCCGCACACTCGCAGCTCTGTGTCAACCAGCTCTCCCTTAATGGAACCCCCGAGCAGAAGGAGCGATTCCTTCCTGGTCTCCTATCAGGTGAGAAGGTCGGCGCTCTAGCGATGTCTGAGCACTCTGCGGGATCAGATGTGGTCAGCATGAAGACAACAGCCAAGGCTGTTGATGGTGGATTCCTATTGAACGGGACCAAGATGTGGATTACCAACGTGAGCTTGCATTGGCCCCTCTTCATTTCTCACGGAACACCAGAGCTAATCAAGCAATCTTTCAATTCACAAAGGGCCCTGACGCAGACTACATCGTCGTCTACGCAAAGACGGAGCCCGAGAAAGCCTCCAAGGGCATCACAGCCTTCGTAGTGGAAAAGACATTCAAGGGATTCTCCTGCGCCCGCAAACTAGACAAACTAGGCATGCGCGGATCCAACACCGGCGAACTTGTCTTCGAAGATGTCTTCGTACCGAAAGAGAATGTTCTCGGAGAAGTCAACCGCGGCGTCAAGGTTCTAATGGAGGGCTTGGACCTGGAGCGTCTTGTTCTCAGCGCTGGTCCGTTGGGGTACGTCCTTCAATTCGTCTTGTCTTCCATACACCTCCCACCAACATTGCTGACACATAACAGTATCATGCAAGCTGCCCTCGACCTCGTCCTCCCTTACACCCACGTCCGCAAGCAATTTGGCATGCCGATCGCCCACAACCAGCTGATCCAGGGTAAGCTGGCAGACATGTACACCAAGCTTGCTGCCTCCCGTGCCTACACGTATGCCACGGCGCGACAGATCGATAACTCAGCTGCAGAGGGATCTGGGGCTCTGATCAGGACGCAGGACTGTGCCGGCGCGATCCTCTATGCAGCGGAACGGGCAACGGAGTGTGCGCTTGATGCGATCCAGTTGATGGGTGGAAATGGGTACATCAATGAGATTCCTGCGGGACGGTTACTGCGCGATGCGAAGCTGTATGAAATTGGGGCTGGAACGAGTGAGATTAGGCGCATGGTGATTGGGCGTGCGTTTAATCGGGAATTTGCATAGATCCCATCCATGCCCTTAATCCGTTGATCTTATGAGGATATGTTACATATACCAGCAAGTCCTACCTGCTTTATCTGACTGACCATTTATGGATTAGAAAACTTGCATGTAACAAGTTGTATGTTCGTGTTCTCATGTACTCATTTCTATACAAAGTGAAATCAATTACTTCTTGTTTCTGGCCGACCTCCGCACTGGACCCGAAGGCGCGGGGTTACAAACCTTCGCCTCGCCGACTTTCTGTGTTGCGACGCGTTTCGATCTCGTCTTACTGGTTGCTTCAGGGACAGGTTCGCTTTCTTCTTCAGCCTTGCGCTTCCGGCCTCTTGTTGCTGGCTTGTCTGCTGATGCAGCAGCGACACCGTTTGGTTTCGACTTGGGCACCTCAAGAGAGTCAGACGGCTTTATACCATCGGGAAGGTCCTGAGTACCTTCCGTATTTTCAGTCTCAACCATGTCCGTGTCACCGCCAGCAGCAGGCACGTCATTCAGCGCACCATTGTCCTGTCCATTTGACATCTCCACCTCCACCCCATCCTCAATATCTGCGTCCTCCCCGTCATCTGCCTCCACATCCTCAGCACCATACAAATCCACCACTTCCGGTGAACCAATTCCTCTCCGTCCCACGGTCTCTTTTCTGACCCTAGCTCTTCCAATCGCGGGATTTGAATTCCGGAACACCTCCCGCCAATTCTTTAACAGCGCGACCTTCTCTCCCTCACCTGGCTCATGCAGCGCAATTTTCAAGTCGTCGGCGGGGCTTTTCCACACTACACCCTGGAATGCTGCGACATCGAACAGACCTTTGGAGGGGTGCTTCCAGCTGCGTTTTGTGGGCGGAATACCCGCTGAGATGGACTTTTGGGCTAGAAGGGCGTTGAGAGCACGTTGGCGTCGGACTGCGGTCGGATCTTGGTCGTAGTAATCGTCGGAGAGATCGTCCCAGTCGCTGAAGAATTCTTCAGCTTCAAGGGCCGGATCGTCATAGAAGATCAAGTCATTTGTTGCAGTCGCTGTCGCGGCGAGATCGTCCTACAGTAGTGTATTGCTGTGTTAGAATTCCAGGGTTCTTTACAATAATTGGGTGGGACAGACGTAGCATAGGTCGATGAATAAGGGGTGGGGACATACAGCGACAGTTGGGTCGGGTTCTTCTACCCAGAAAATGTCTTCGTCGTATTCATCATAGAAATCTTCGTCGTCGGACATGGTTGCCGATGTGAGAAAGTATTAATGTGGTGACGGTGGTGAAAATGTAAGCAGAATCGGGGATGTGGCCGATAGCGAATGAACAGGCAAAAGAACGAGTCGCACAACACAGCGAAGGGATAGAGAGTTCAATAGAAAGATCAATGGAAAGCGCTGCAATAGGCGACCACTCCAACACATTTAAAGGTACGTAAACTCGAAGCGCAGATCGAAAGCTACTCCTCAGGCACGGCGCAGGCGTGATGCAATGGTCTGGCTGGCTGGAATCTTGAAAAAACCGGCGGGTGGATCTCACGCATCACGTGCTGACTGCTTCCCCGCAGCTGCGCTTTGCGTCGGCTCAAGGGATGCGTTGCAACGCCGTACAAGAAGCTCGGCTGGGGGAGCTTGGTGTCTTTCCAATTCCAGGTCACTCGTACTTTTGGATATGCTAGCTGCTTTATGAATGTGTCCTTTCCCTGTGGTGTTGGATCATCTTTCGTGGCACTTAACTGATCAGCCGCCTCTCTCACAATGCCGCTCTCCTCTCTTCTCCGCACTTCGTCCCGCCTGGGGCCGCCAGTAGTTCGAAGGTTCAGAAGAGCGGCCTCCACCGTGTCCGCCACGACGCCCAAGGCTGAAAGATCACTGGACTCTATTCTAATCGCAAATAGAGGAGAAATTGCGCTGTGCGTCTGAGCTCCGAGGGAGCTTTTTTTCTCGAAGTTTTGTCAATAGTTAGTACTAACATTTGGTGATATGTTACAGTCGCGTTGGACGGACCGCTGCTCAACACGGAATCCGAGTAACGACACTCTACACGGATCCGGATAGCAAGGCTCAGCATGCGTTGAGCTCGCCATTTGCCTTCAACTTGGGATCCGTTTCCGCTTACCTCGACGGAGATCGAATTATTGAGATTGCCAAGAAGGAAGGTTGCCAAGGGATACACCCCGGTTACGGCTTCGTGAGTGCTGTCCGTTACACACAGGCTGCGAAGATACTAATCACTCCGACCGTACCAGCTTAGCGAGAATGCAGCATTTGCGCGGAAATGTACGGAAGCTGGATTGGTCTTCATTGGACCTTTTTGGAAGGCTATCGAAGACATGGGTGACAAGAGGTAACTTGATACATGTACTCCTGTGAGCATAGGCTGACGACCATAAGTCAATCTAAGAAGATCATGACCGCTGCTGGAGTGCCGTGTGTACCCGGTTATCATGGTGACAACCAGGATGTCAATTTCCTCGAAGCCGAGGCCGACAAGATCAAGTACCCCGTGCTGATCAAGGCAATCAAGGGTGGCGGTGGCAAAGGAATGCGCATCGCTCATACCAAAGCCGACTTTCAGGCACAGCTGCAGTCTGCCAAATCGGAGGCTATGAATTCATTCGGGGATGATCACGTACTGGTGGAGAAGTACATTACGACACCCCGGCACATTGAAGTGCAAGTCTTTGCAGACAAGCAAGGAAACGCTGTTGCTTTGGGAGAGCGAGACTGTAGTATACAAAGAAGACACCAGAAGATCCTTGAGGAGTCGCCTGCTCCGCACCTTCCCGATGCAACAAGAAAAGATATCTGGGCAAAAGCTCGATCTGCCGCGTTGGCTGTTGGCTACGAGGGTGCTGGTACCGTGGAGTTCATCTTCGACAATGATACTGGCGAGTTCTTTTTCATGGAGATGAACACTAGACTCCAGGTGGAGCATCCCGTCACCGAAATGGTTACCGGTCAGGATCTTGTGCACTGGCAGCTTAAGATCGCGGAAGGCGCCCCACTTCCCTTGACCCAGGAAGATGTGGAGGCTTTCATGGCTACCCGCGGCCATGCTATCGAAGCTAGGATTTACGCTGAGAACCCTGACCAGGGATTCATTCCAGACTCCGGCACTTTGCTCCATGTCCGTACTCCCGCCGCTACTGATGATGTGAGGATAGACGCCGGGTTCGTCGCAGGCGACGATGTCTCGGCACATTATGATCCCATGATTGCAAAATTGATTGTGCGGGGCAACACTCGTGAAGAGGCGATCCGCAAACTTGCGAATGCGTTGGAGGAGTATGAAGTGGCGGGTCCAATCACGAACATTGAGTTTCTGAAAACTGTCTGCAGAAGTCCTGATTTTATTAGCGGGAATGTGGAGACCGGCTACATTGAGAAACATCGCGAGGAGCTATTCACACGGAAGGCGATTGAGCCGGAGGTATTGGCCCAGGTGGCTCTGGCTTGTCTTCACCACGATTCAAATCCGGGAAGTGGAACGCAAGCCAGCTTTGAAGGCTCTGCCGTAGGCTTTGGCCCAGGATACCAGGCACGACAGATCTCGCTTGCCGAGCTAACACCAGGGACAAAGGGCGACGCCAAATTTGACGTTAGGGTGCAACAGACGGGTGACGACACATTCAATGTTGATGTTGGAGGACGTTTATTCGAGCAAGTTGTAAGCCATCGGGACCCGGATTCGAAGATTGTCACCTCATTCTTCCCTCACACACGCCTGGACACGACGGTGATCCGCGATGAGGACACGATCATCGCTTTTCAGCGGGGAACCCAATACCGGTTGACGATCCCACGCGCCAAGTGGATGGAGAAGGCGTTGGGAATGAAGGATGTCACGAACAGCGTTCTCGCACCGATGCCGTGCAAGGTGCTGCGTGTGGAGGTAGAGACAGGCGATGTGGTAGAAAAGGATCAGCCACTGGTGGTGATTGAGAGTATGAAGATGGAAACAGTCATTCGCAGCCCACAGAGGGGCACCATCTCCAAGGTGGTACATAAAGCAGGAGTAAGTCACGCGGCCCCTACCCCTTCTCAGTTATGACTGCCAGTCACCCCTGGAGATGACTGCCTCGTCCCGAAACTGGGTCAACCAGAGCCTCGCCATATTGGAACAGCCCGGGCACGGTTTGCCAAGGGACATCCGGATTCTCTCTTCAGGCCGCAGGCATTGACCCACTCCAGCTGTCAATCTGCATTCTCACTTCAATGCTGGCGATTGCTAACAGCTACTTTACAGGACCAATGTAAAAGCGGGACACCGCTGGTTGAATTCGAAGAGGGCGGTGAGTAAGCGATACGTGGTTCAACTCTTACAACGTTGGAGTGACTAGAAGCCGGAAGCTTTGTGGCATGTAACCAGAATATATGTTTTGTGTGGGCTTTTTATGGCAGACAATCTGACACGTGCAGCGATTTGACTACTTGCATACTCGTTCTGTATACCTTTCCGTTCGAAACCACGCCACGCATATAACGCATCGAACCAACCACGAGTCTAGTGCCTACACAGCAGATTTGTACAATTGAATATCATGGATGGGTCCCAAATCAAGTGGGCTGCGATCCTCGACCCATCAGACCCCACCCCGTACCCACCCGTCAGTGTTAGCGCACTTAGACCAAAACAAGACAACTTAGATAATAAACTACTTCGTATACAGTAGATAGATGGTCCTCACTCATCACAAGTTGATCCATCAACACAGTTGACACTAATGTAATATACCAATTAGGTTGGGAGATATGAATTGTAATGGAGAATAAGTAGTTGTCTGGGACGGGTAAGGTTATGTCAGGCCAGGCCAGGTTTGGAGCTACAGCATTGCCAGCATTATTTCTTTGCGCGACGGCGTGGCTACTCTTGATCTTACTTTTGAAAACCGGGAGGATGCACATAAATGGACAATATTCCTAATCTGTCGCCGCTCTAAAGTAGAGCTTCGTACTATCTATGTAAATGGTATTCAAAATGGAAGGAGGGATGGGGGCGGCATTCGAACAGTCATAAAGTACATGCAGGATGGGGTTGTGCTGTGAGGTACTAACTTCCAGGGTAAGTTAAGTTTGAACCATGGATCAGAACTGGGGTAAAGCATTGGGCTAGTTGTTCCTGATCCTGAGTATAGGGTAGCCCAACCAAACTCCAAAACAAGGACAGAAATAAAATGTGCTCAATAATCTGAAGGCTGAAATATTGATCATGTGCCCATGTGAGATTAAAGACCCACAAAATGGATACGGGTAGTAAGTATAAGACATGCCGGTAATTGCGTAGCGTCTGGTGGCCCGATGAATTGAGTTTGACATCTCGCATCATCCGTAGTGGCAGCTACGGGCAACTTTGAGTGCCCAATGCGCGCCGGGAGCTTCGGGACTTCTCCCGGTGAGTGTGTTGGGAGAAGATAGGATCCATGGGGCAATGGGGACAATATCGAGTGCCGATAAGGGGCAGAATTTCTGTAGGGAAATAAAAAGAAGGCCAAAGAACCTAGCAAGTCCTCTGATACCAGACAGTCTGATAGCAGTGGCGTAGAGGCGAGTCACGCGGACGGCAAAGGAAGCTTGCAGCTCCAGTCGGGGAGCAGATCAGCATCCGATCACTGCATGGCGGTTGGGCCTGGCCCTGGCTGGTATCGGCGCCTGACATCACGTTGAAACAAGAGAAAGAAAAATACGGAGTTCACCGTCACCATGCCTTCCTGACAGCCATGCTAATCTGACAGGTTTCTTCTCGCTGTCCTTGGCGGATCCCCAGTTTCACTGCAATTCGCAGCGGTGCTTGTCTAGGCCAGATCCTCTTATTATCGCCATGGATGTCCTGATCCATCGCCTTCCGAGGAGAAAAGCTTGGAATAATCCTTGATTCTTCTTCCCTTATCTCTGTGTTTCCCTGATTTGCCGCCGCGTGTATACAAGCATTTTCGTACTCTAAGCATACTCAATCCCACTTGCCCGAGAATTCTTCTGTGACTATCGCCCCTTGTATCGTGTGTGAAAGGTAAGCTGAAGAATTGTTGTCAATTCCATCCTCCTACGACTCGTTCTTCACTTAGCCACAACTCCGTTATGTCGCTGCAGTTGAGCACCACTGACGCCAACTCAGTAGCTTTTGAAGAGCTATCCCTTCACGTACACAATGTTCAGATCCACCATCGTTCGTCAAGCTGCCAAAGCACTTTCTCAGTCACCACGCCCCGCTGTGTTGGCAGCTACAGAACAGCGATCTATAGATATCTTTGTCCGCTCGCTTTCCTCGACAGCTCACCGTTTGAATAAAGATGATGATATCAAGAAGGACCCCTTTCTAACAGCGACCAACAAAGCTCCTGAGGGTACATTAGGCGAGACAGAAGGTCGTTTTGCTCGTACTGACGAGAATGTCAAATTCGAATATCCCGATGACGAGAATATGCCTCGGTCGCCGATCGTCCAGGGTCGTGGTGGCATGCACTTTAAGCGTACACTGGCTCAGTTCTCCCTCGAAAACAGGGTTACTCTTGTGACTGGTGGTGCTCGCGGCCTGGGATTGACCATGTCCCAGGCAATTGTGGCCTCGGGGTCGGATGTGGCTATTGTTGACTTGAACAGTACGTGCTAAACATACCAGCACTATCGCGTGAAATCACTGACACAACTGTAGGAGAGGAAGCGCAAGACCAGGCTGCAAAGCTCGTGGAACAATTTCAGAAGGAGAATCCGGGTCTTGAATCTGATCAGTATGTTAATTATATCGTAGCAGTCAAACCAAGATGCTAATAATCGTTCAAGATTGCCCACCGTCACCGCTCACTACGCCGATGTGTCCAACCCCGAGTCTGTGAGCAAGGCTATTGCAGAAGTCATCGAGAAGCACGGCAAGATTGATCACCTAGTGACTTCTGCTGGGTTTACTGAGAACTTCGACGCCATATCCTACCCTTATGACCGGATGCAGAAGTTGTGGGGCGTCAACGTGGATGGCACCTACCTATTTGCTACCGGAGTGGCCAAGCACCTCATGGAGCGCAAGGCACCGGGCAGCATTGTCATGATAGGTAGCATGTCTGGTGCTATTGTTAATGTTCCCCAGCCCCAAGCTCCATACAATGCAGCCAAAGCTGCTGTCCGTCACCTTGCCTCTTCCTTCGCCGTTGAGTGGGCCCGACATGACATTCGTGTTAACTGCATCAGTCCCGGATATATGTTGACTGCGCTGTAAGTATTTGGACGCTGATATACTGAAAAACTGCTAATGTATACTAGTACTCGGAAGATTCTCGAGGAAAATCCTGACCTACGCGACAAGTGGATCTCCCTGATTCCCACAGGCAAGATGGGCACCCCAGAAGACCTGATGGGTGCTGTTACCTTCCTCCTGAGTGATGCTTCCCGCTACGTAACGGGTGCGGATCTCCGCGTTGACGGTGGCTATACCCTGACCTAAAAAACAACTGACTGTTACGATGCTGTTTACTGTACGAAATAAGATTTGCATGATATAAGATTTTCCAGAAACCCGGCTGCTTGATAAATGAACTTGTTTATTCTATGGTGAGGCGTGCGATCTATCATTTCTCGCGGTATTCGTCCATAGAATGCAATTGATACTGCATGTTAAGCCGTTTTCCTTCCTTGATTGTTGGGTAGTACATCAATGCATAGCCTAGTACATTTACTTTTGCGTGCATGAATTCAATAAAAACGCCATTCTCCACCGCAGTATCGCATTGTCAGGCGACAAGAACGGTAACGTGATGCCTAAATACATATAGCAGCTAGTATGTAAATGATACTCCCTGTCCAGCATATAAATCTTCTAATTTTGCAATATAATCCAGTCAAATCTGAACAGATACCTATATTGAACCCAGAAATTCTCCATACACGCAAGATTTACGAAATGATTCATACACATACATACCTTAGGCTGGACGCCTCCGGGACCCAGACCTCTATTTTGTTTTCCTGTTACCTTTCATGTAATTACGTTCTACGATTTCTATATAGGAAGTAATCCTAAATAAACCTAGCTCTAGATCTAATTATCTATAGATGTATTTAAAACAATCATCTAGGGACTATGTTCCCCTTCTTCTATACCATGGATATACTTTATGTTGGGTCCGGTCTAATGTCCAGATTCCAGAAGGATCAATTTCTGCTATCATAATTAATTTTATGGGAGTGTTTGTTGGTTAAGAATATATTCTATGTATCGTGTTAGATGAATACTAGGTGTTGATGGAGGGATAAGTACTGTAGTAGTTAGTAGTAGTAGGTTTTGTTTTGCTGGATGCATCAAATGATGATGTTTACTTATATATAGTAGGTTTGGTTGGGGTACTTCAATCCTCTCTCAATATATACACACACTGCAACTGACTACACCTAGTACTATATTCGTCCCCAAAATACTTCGTTTCTCTATTTCACATTCGTTGTAGCCAAGATGGCTCTCACTATGGTGCTCATTTTTAATGGAGTTTAGCATGGTTTCACAAAAGTGAGATAATAACCTTGATTTTACTGTCGATTTAGAACCAGCACCAAAAGACTGTATGCACTGTAAGATCGTTGCGACGGATACCTGCTCAAGCAGAATGTAGATGAGCAGATGAACAGACAGCATGTCAGAAGTAGATGTGGATATTATACAGTACAGTCTGAGAAAAGACCCAAGAAATTGTTTCTATTTCTGGCAATTGCAATGATATAACAGTATTAGACACTCCAAAAACCTGGAAATATGAAAGGACCAGCTTAGTAATTATTCAATGCGGTCCTACTCATCTGATGTCAAATATTTTCGTCGACCTCTTCAACACTTCTTCCTCCATGTTTTTGACCACCTCCCCATTCATCACGCCATGGACATATGCCTCACCAACGAGCTCATAGGTATCTTTCCCTAGTGGGCGCAAAATAACCGGAACACTGCACCCGAACAGAATACACACTTTATCCTTGATGGATGTATTTCTTGGGCAAATACCAAAACAGTCTGCCGTCCTTTCTGAGTTCGACTCCGCTTCTTGTCCAGACGTGTAGTTGCGCCCTATTTTCTCCGAAGGTGTGACCGTCAACATCTCCATGTTTGGTTCATTGTGTATGAGGACATTCGGATAATCTACCCCCTTGCTGACATGTACCGGATTCTCATTTCCAGCCTGTTCAGTTGCTTCTCCATCCTGTACGAGCTTTTCAGCATCTATAATACTCAAATCGGTATCGAGATTTTCTTTGTGTTGAATTTGGTCTGTAATTTCGACCATAATATCAGGCATACCATCGCCATAATTGGAAGCTTGCAGTTCGACCTTGGCCTTATCGTCACCTGTAGCATGATGCTTGTCAGAGATATGCGCATCTTCATGACCCGCTGCCTTGAAAAAGCAACGATTCCATGTCACTTCTCGGACCCTTCTAAGGTAGTCCCGCACGAAGACTACCTCATCTGAGAGTTGTCCAGTATTCAGGTCACCACCGCTAAACATGTCAGCTATTTCGAGACTTCTCAGACAAGCTCGTTGATACCAAGGGGGAGGGGACAGTCCGTTCGAAGTTCTATCCGCAATCAAGGTCCGCCATATCTTAGCCGGGACAACCTTGGGACCATGGTCGATTCCTTCCCAGCCACCGAGCCTGAGAGACTCTCGGAAGACCACGCCTCCACTACAACGCGGGGAAACTTCTTCCACCGTTCCCAGAAGCAAGCCAGTCACTTTCATAGACATTGGCTCTTCGCTGAATATGACATTCTTTGCTTGCATGTTATTGGAGGCGTTGTAGATCGGCTGGCCTACCGTCCCGACAAAGCTTCGTCCATTCTTTCGACCTTTGTGTGACTGTCCAGGGCCACCAAACTCTGCGTTCTCCAGCAGAGGAACCCAGCTTGGAAGTAGATTGTTGTATAGACATTCCTCGGAAGTCTTGAGCAGAGACCATTCCTGGGATTTGGGTTTTTTCGCCCAAGGGCGACAGATGATGTCTAGCGAGCCGGATAACTTCACGCAATATTCAGTGAATTGCTTGAACGCGGTAGGGATGGGTGTCCCATAGTCTATGTGTAATTGGGGCTGGGTTTGTTGCACCTTTTCATAGCTCTGCTGCTTCTCTGTGGGCTGATCCAACTCTTCAAGGCTTTGCTGCTTCTCCGTAAGCTGGTGACCCATTGTGATCCTCCCCTCTGAATAGTCACGCGAAATATGCACTAGGGCGTATATCAGATCGCGTGGGTCGCTGGCGTCGAAGGTTTGCAGAGTTGTTACCAGGTATTCCAGACTTTTCAACGGTTTGTGTTTGCTGCGGTCCTCGGTAGTTGGAAACAGGCTACTTATCACCTCGAGAAGAATGTTTGCGCTCGAAAACTGAATCTCCCCTAGTGTATTGCGCCCATATCGCCATTTTGAAGGATCGAACAAGGCTCTGACGCGCTCTTCGTTGGCCACCAGAAGGGCAATAGCATCGACAAGCACATCCCAATGGACCATCTTCTCACCACAATATACAACGGCCTTACTTGCGAGTGAGATCTCTTGGACAATCCATCGTCTAGCAAACCAGGGATCTCGGGTAAGCTCTGAAAGAGCCGCCCACTGGTGAGCATGGTCCTTGCCGTCAGTGTTGGCGTCCAAAGTCGCCATGTCTACCAACTGCGGGATGAAATCCATCGCCTTATCACTTCTTCTTTCATTGTCACTCTCACCCAGCCAGATACAGACCATCCTGGCCTGACCATAAATGTCGACCATGCACCCGAGCTGGCGGGTTTTCTCTGCGTTATTTTCCTGGTCAATGCACAAGGCATCCACCCACAGGGTAACATTCTGGTCTTTCCTCCGTAATCGGTGCAATGCACAGAAGAGGTTTTCTCGGATTGGCAGGGAAAGTGAATCCTCAATTCGGTCGGTCCCCTCTGGAAGCAAGTAGATGTGGTGGTCCGCTGACCCATCGCCCCAGGAGTAGGAAAGCGCGGCGTAATCTCTCTTCTCATCCAGGCTGTCTACGTCAGAAGCCTCCTTTCGGAATATGTCCTTTTGGAGACGGGCGATGAGGGGGTGATATTTGTTGGGTGCGCTGCACAAAACAAGCAGCCGGAATTCACGATCTTTGAGATCTCTGTAGATTGTTTCTTTTGCGTTCTTCAGTCGCCTGAGTGGCTGGGCCATGAACAAAGCACAGTGAACCTTCAACAATTCATCAATCTCCTTGTCAGTCAATCTTAGCTCGGGATTCTGTTTGATTTCAGCCCTGAGTGTGGCGAGGGCTTTTTCCTGTTCGTTGTCGAGATGCTTCGCTAGTTTAGTCTTCGAAAGGTGATCGATAACCTGCTGGCGCAGACCGTTTTCGGTGCCAGAGACCTTGCTGGCGGATGTTTCTGGCTCCGGAAATTGGTCGACAACTTCTGCCTGCACCTCCTGTGCAATCCGGGATACCGCCAGTTGTAAGGCGTCTTGTTGTTTCTTGGCCACTGTTGTTTCATACCCAAGCTTTTGCAGATCCTGCATCTGCTCCATTTTGAAGTCCATCAAAAGTCTCTGTTGCTCTTTCAATTTGCCAAGTTCCCCCCGGAGTGCCTTCAAATGCTGGTCCAGTTTTTCTCCTTTCACTCTTGTCAGTGCACTCTCCATTTGCACTTGCTGATACTCATGCCATGCCTCGTCGCGGCGCTTCTCTAGTATCTTGTTCTTAATTTTCTGCTCGTTCACGGATTTCTTGATACTTTCCCAATACCCCTTTGTGAACACAACCTGGTCATCTGCATTCTCTTGGTCATGATCCTGCTGTGTCTCATCGTCCTCCATCTCCTTCTGCTTTTCCTTCGTTTCGTCGTCTTCGTCGTCCTCCTTCTCATCTTCGATTTCCCCCTCCTCACTTGAACTCGTCCTGCTTGTGTGATCCCCTCCCTGCTCTTGTAAATTTATGATATCTGTTGTATTGGGATCCATGCGTTCTGCTGCCCGATCATGCTGGACCTTCACTTCTGCCTCCGTGGGTCCATCGATCATACCATCTCCCTCATCAACATGGCCTTCAGCCTCATCATTCGCATCCTCTTCAACACCTGTCGCTTCTTTCGCTTGACCGGACGTGTCTTCTATTCCGTCACCTGCACCTTCCAAATGACTGACAACGAAATTCTCACCCTCTTCCAAGTCAACTAAGGTTGAAATACCGATCTGGTACTCATGAGCAGCCTTGTCCGCCTTAATCCTTTTCTCACTGAGAGACTGCTCAACCACCCTTGGGGGTGGGAGCTTGGATTTACTGCTTTCCGTCTTTTCAATACGTGATGCGAAGTCCTGCATTTTCTGCAAAAGCTGGCCGTCAGCATTGGTGACTGCATGGATTTTGGCCTTGATATTTTTGATTCCCGCTGATCGGGTTTCAATCAGCTGGGTCAGGTTTTCTTCCGGGTCGCCATTCTTCCAGCCCCCCAGGCGAATCGCCCATCGCAGCTCTTCGAAGGGTGCCTGGTGTTTTTCTGATTCTATAATACCTCTCCATAGATGCTGCTCCCGACAGAAAGCATCGCCGGGCTTTCGAAACGCAAGTCGACCAGGCGCCAGGTCTGGCATCCTGGGCTCCTTTGGAAGGCCACCATAGTCCAGTATGACCGGGCTGGAAGCGCTGTCCGAACGGCCCTGGTCATATATGGAGATTTGGTTGTCGGCAATCAGATCGGCGGCTTGTTTGATCCACGAGTCTGAATTTTGGATCAGCTTAGAAAGATCACCGTCCCTGGGAAGGTCTGGAAAGATGGTATCCTTGGAGCCGTCGGACTCATTTCCACTGTCGAGCTCCTCCGTTATATCGAAGAGCCACTCTCTCCACCTCTTGCTCCGATATTCCTGTAAATTCATGGAGACTTTCGTTTAACAGGTAAAGGCGATGAGTTCTATAGCTCTGAGGCGAAAAGAGAGCCACGCCTCTGAAAATTGGCCCAAGGTAGTCTAACCGACTTGAAGGGCTCAAGCAAATTGGCACTTTTCCCCCGTTGGCTGGGCTCGGGGTACTCGGGGTACTCGGGCTCCATCGTGGAGGTACTTAAGCAGTTGTGCCCCGCACGAACCCCTCCGCCAAAGATGTTTGCATTTGGTGGGGAAGACTTCAGCTCTCCGACACTAGGGCTAAACTTGCATATGCACCTTATGCAGAGCCAATCGTTGCCCCCAATTTCTTGCTTTTCTTTCCCTTTTCATCCCCAAAGCTGGTAAGCATCTCGCTGCTAGACTCTCTGACTCGTTCCCCTTCTTTCTGCACTGCCTGGACATCCTTGTTATCTTTTCAACCCCGTCGCCACGTCAGCCCCCGCCAGCAAGGACCCCACCCAGCTGAAGGTCGCCGACCTATGTGTTGGAGCTTCACCCCAGTCAATGATATTGACGAAATTCCCTGGAATACGTTCGCCCTCCGCTGCATCTTCTCCATCTACCCTGGGGATGACCGAAATCAAACCAAACCCTCCACCGCAAGTAAGAAGGATCTCGCACCGATGTTGCATCCCAAGCTTCCTGATTTCTCTCTTGACCTTGCTGGGGTGGTAGCCATTGCCGACCTCTCGACTGTCTCCCAACGCACGGTCATAACTGGTACGGCCGCCCTGCTAGACTGTCTCATTCTCTGCCCGGGCTTGCACCTCCAGCAGCATGCCTCCAATCTCAACAAGGGCGAATACCCGGCGGCCGCCGCGATGACCAGCGGCTATGTGTTCCGTATTGAGAACCCAGCCACGGTGCACTACCTCCAGAAGATCAGCAAGACAGCCCATCTCACCACCGTCGAAGTCATCAACATTGACAACCATATGAGCTGGGCGGGACAGGCCGCTAATGTCCTGTTCATCACGGCCAATGCCAACATAATTTCCGTCCTAACCTACGCGATAGCTGCTTCGCTGACCATTGCTGTCCTCATTTGTCTGATCCTAATGAAGGATTGGTGGGGCCTGTTTGTGATCCTGATCATGATTCTCGCGCGCGCTCTCAACGTGATATTGATCCGTCTTCGCAGCCGGCTAGGCTGGATTGGCGCATCCGAAACAGGCCGAAGCGATCTGCTCGTTCTACTGAGCCAAGACCGATGGGTGCGTATTCAGGGCGCCATCGACGATGTAAAAGCCGTCACGGCGGGCCAGTGGCTCCGCGAGATGGAGCCCTACGAGAGCTGGGTTGCCGCCATCGCCACTGTACTTACTTACCTCGATGCCGCTCTTGCCAGTAACGCAACTCAATTTGGAAAACTCCTCCTGGTCTTGCTGTTGATTGTCTCAGCTGGTTTGCTTGCTGTTGCTAATCAGTTCACCACTAAACTGCAGATGCACGGGAATGTCTTGGAGGTAAGAGGGAAGCCTCATGAATACCACAGACGCTTGGACATGGCCGAGCAGCTTATCGCGGAGCATGGAGGGAAGAGGGGCTGGGCACTTCGACTAGGGCTGATAAATTCGGAGGACTATTTTGATTCGGACGTGGAATCTCGAGGAGGTTCGGCGCTTCGTCGGCCACCGCGTTGGGAAGCCTGGGGGCCGTGCGTCGGAAAGCGGGCACGGTCGAGGGGATACATGCTGTCACGATGTGATAGCACAGAAGAATTCTTTCATGTTGTTCTTAAGAGAACGCAAGCCTTCCTTCAGCTAGTAGTAGTCAATATATTGCTTTTCAGCGCTGCGGTATGAAATCAGATATAAATAGTTCTTCCTGATATTCACCAAAGAGCACGGAAAGACGCGTTGCTCCCAGTAGCATCATGAAAGCCGACTTGTGTACGCCGAGCAACATTGATGGCCTGCTCACCGAACCGGGCGTTCTCATCAATAGCTCCCGCAGTGGTATTAAAGAAGCATGGTGGAAGACTGAGATTGAAAGACGGGTCTTGTGGGATAAGTTAAGAGAGCTGTAGAGAATATATGTGAACACAGCTAAGGAGAAATCGAGTATAGCAGGAGGGGTTGACTTCTATTGATAAGCAGAAAGCTTTGCTCTGTTTCTATTTATTGCACGGCTACTGCCTAGTACTGCCTGGCCTTATAGACGTCAGCTAAATGAGTCTGCCCAGTCACGGGCATCTGGATAGTCCCGGATACCATTGAGAAAACTTCGGTTCTTCAGTGACCAGAAGGACGGAAACTGAAAATAGGAAAAGAATGAGAAGAAGAACGAGGCGAAAGGGAAGGATAGTTTCGAATCAAGATAGTGATCAGGAGTATCCAGACAATCGAGTATGGAAGTTCCCCAATGTAGCTATTATTATCTCCCGTTATATCAACAGAAACACTGGAGTTGGCACATGTAATTATCTGATCCATACACGCAGGGCCCTAACTGGCAGATAGCACATGTTTAACCGCCGCCACCGTCGTTTTGAAAGATAAGCCAAGAGTTTTTGGATAAAAGATAATTAGATCCTTAAACGAGAAACAAAAGAAACTACAATATACTTCATCACCTGCTAGTATCAGGGAGTGGCCTCAAATTATTTAAGCTAATGAACAGGTAGAGGGATATAAACGGGATCTGTAACCTGCATGAACTCTAGCATACTAGTCAAGCATTAGATGCCCATATCCCCGCCACGGGACGGGGCGTACCATGAGGTTTGCGCAAACCTGCTGGAAGTTTACCTTGATCGTCCATGCGCGTGTGCTGTATCATCTCCCAATTGGTCTGTAGTAGTAAGGATTGCCCATGAAGCCCAAAGTTCTACTAAATAATGGGAGGGGTGGTTGTGGATCAGACTCCACGTACACACCCTACTCTCAATTGCTGCACGGCATCCGTATCTCTAAGCTCCATTGTAAGCCAATCAATGATGTTTCCAGGTCCCCGAACACTACTTAGTAAGTAGAAGGGAGAAATGGTGTCCCTGCAGGGAGATGAACAGCGCCCCTTGTAGTCAACTCCGACCACGCCAAATGGTCTCGATGTTTGGCTTGTTGCTCCTTCCACTTTCTGACTTAGAGGTGAGTCTTCTCGTTTGATTCATTTTAGGCATCCTTCTATATGACTCTGGGCTCAGTCAATGATTCGACATCTGGTAGCTTGTTAACCCAAATCTAGCGGTCAATAGCCGGTCTCTCAATTCTGGCAAGCCACCTCACTCGACCCGGAGGGCCACCTCGTCAAGCAGACGTAGATAACCATCTTGAAAGAACTACAATTCTCGTTTCTCATATGCAGTCTACTTGGTGCGAAAGAGAAAAAGCCGCATGAATGTCTTAAGAATTGAAAGAGCTAATGAAAACCAAGAATGGTCCCTAGCAGCGAGGAACTAGTCCACACAGCCGTGAGAGCCCCAAGGTTTGGGGGACAGAACCTAAGTCCAGCTTGTTAGTCGATTTTGACCGAGATCAAGTGTTGCGTATGCGGGAAATACGTACTCATCTGAACTCAGACCGATAAATCCACCCCAGAAGAGTATTTGTGCAGCCCAAAGAAGAAGCAAGAAAATGGTTGTAGCCGCATACAATTTCGCGAAACCTGGCCTCGGGGGAAGCGGGGTGTGGTGAGCCTTGACAAGGAGAGGCTCATAGATTGTGCGATTGCTTTGATCCCTTATTAATGGTGCTTCTTCCGGGGACCTTGGCCTTCCAGTCGCCAGATGGGACCTCTTTCCCGTTGATATGTTGAAATATTCTATTATTGGCGGCATTCCTTCTTCGGTGATGTTAAATGGCGTGAAACCGGATCCATAGGACTTTCCCATCCTGCGTCTAGCCTGGATCCATAGAGTGTAGTATGCTATGAGAACGATGACCAACCACATGAGTGCTCCGGCGTACATGGTCCGTGCTGGCATCCATATTTCCGCGATATTGAAATAGAAGTTGTGTTGTCGGCCGTAATTGATTGTTATGAGTAAGTGATAAGCAGATAGAATATGAAGGAGTATCTCCGCAAATAACAAAGACGCAGCCACGGAGAGGCTCTTTGGCCCAAACTGTTGTAGACCAAGTAACAACATGGCCAGCCAAGAAAGACGAGGCATTGAACAGCAGAGAAGAATCAGTTGAAATATGGGAACCTCTTCATAGCCAGGACTATGTTGGACCAGCACAAAATTGAGCCAGTTGGCAAAGATCTGGACTGTGGCGAGGATAATGCCCTTGAAAGCCGCCCAATCCAACGGCTGTGAGTGTTCTGAATGGATGTTTCTGCTTCGAAGCATGTGTTTCTTTTGACAGAGAAGCAATGCGCAGAAAGTAGCTATGTTAACAATAGCAAAGCTTCCAAGTTTCCATTGATTCGAGGGACATGCTTCGGTTGCTTTAGCGTCTCCATGCGGGGTGATAGGAATGTCTGGAGCAATGGAGGGCTTGAGAGCCCATTGCCATGGAATCATGTCGATAAGGGTGGGTGCAGATAACTGACGCCAGTTATCTGGCAAACCCTGCCAATCTTGGACATTACCACAAAGGTCGTGAAGCCACTTAATATAGTCTATCCGGGTTTCGAATACCTTACATGAGCCCTCGCAGGAATCGTAGCTGATCTTGTGGCAAAAGCAGTCCCTGTCGACTGCACGCGTTACTTGGCAATGTCCGCTTGAGTCAAGCTCACAAGCATCAGTTGCACACTGATCTGTGAGTTCAGTAACTTGCTTTGGCATATCTGCGACACACTTGGGCCAGCGCCAATCCTCGATAGCAATGAATGCGAATTGTGTGGTCATGAGTGTATCCGCCCAGTTATCGGGTAAGGACGTCGACCCACAGGTTGCATTGAGCCAGAGGCGCTCTTTCGTGAAATCTAATCGCCCTGAACCTGAACAGGGCTCCTTTCCGAAATCTACAGCGAAGGAGCTGCAGAAACAAGCTTTGTCAAAATAGTGATTGTCATTTATATGATGCCCGACGAGGTCATATCCAACTGTTTCTGAATCAAGAGCGATCATGGAATGCGCGGGTTCGTTATATTCCCAAGGACGGGCAGCATTTCCGGTGTGTTTACTTGTGCTAGTAAAACCACAAGAGGCTATTACGTGTTGGAAAGGCTCCCTCGAGACAGAACATACCGAGCCGGTGAGGCAGTTTGGCGCCGTGTTGATAACGTCCACCGCTGTGTATCCCTCGGCTAGTGAGGCTGGGGAAAGGTTTTGTAGCTCGTTCGCGTCGCCGACCTCAACAAGCCATTCTCTACCCGTGATGTCACGGATCCACGAGTACAATTGCGCTTTGGCGAGTATCGATCTACCGCAGTATGGGAGATACCTCGCGATGACATCTGAGGAAAATGCAACGCTGAGGCAGCTGAGCCGAGTCAACCATTGGTGATGAGTGCAGATGATTCCAAAATGAGATGTGCATTGTTTGGCGGTACACTTGGTCATGGTTTCCAGCCAGGTGGACTGGTCTTGCTGCGCTATGCATTGTGGCATAGAGCTGAGATCTTCAGGATTTACCCAGCCATTATAGTTGTTCTGAGGCGTTAGGAAACGATCCTGTCCGTCTTGCTCGGGAGTGGCAATTGGGAGCGCTTCTGCAGCATGTCCCCATCTTAGTAACGAAATGAAGGCAGCTGTCGGGAGCACTTACCTCTCAGGTCGGCACTATAACCCCCAGCCGCCAGCAGTACGAGATACGCACATGTTAACCTCATTTTATTGATATTGAGGCGTTCTGAACTTTGACGCAACACAGATGGCAACCGCCTGGGAGTCTAGAGATCCAGATATGAACTGATACTCAGGTGCGGGGTAGCACAAGGCTGCGAGTCGGATCAATATCAGACCGGTCAAGCCAACTCACCGGACAGGGGTGCTTTTGTTGGTTGGCGACGCAAGGCGGCTATTTGGAGTTGGATAGGAGTGGAGCAAAGCCTGGAACCGCCGGGTGTAGTATCTGCCTCACCCGTCTTTGTTAGTGGTGGGTATTATCGTTGGGCGAATACACAGGAGGTGGTATCTCTAATATCTTTAGAGTAAAATGGAAATATAGTAATTGAGTCCATATGAGCCACATGTCTCCTCAACCACGTACTTTAAAAAGTGATGTCTAGAGCCGAGTACAAGGCTGCAAAAGCCGGGTTTGAACGGCTTCTTGGTTGGACATTGACCGTCTGCTGGAGAAAATAACTTAACATTCCGGGGAAGAACACCAAATTCCCTTGGGCGGATCAAAAGGCTATGTCTACGTTCCTATCAGGAACCAAGGAACCGAGAAATCTCAGAGAAAGTCTGTCTATATTTATCACATTACCGACAGTATAGGGTTATTACCTTCCTGTAGTAGGCAAACTCTGCCATTAGCGCCACAATGCATGGAGTAATGGGCGCTTCTCCCAGGGGAATGAGGGAATGAATTTACCTCTTATCCTAACTAAAACATCAATGAATCTGAATATAATCCAAATATATAATTATAGTAGAATGTTTGTTGTCAAGATTCACCACCTCTCCGGTTCCAGATGTCGATCGTGGTTATTTCGTAACCAACATTGACTTCTCCCCTTCCAACATAGACATCAAAAGTAGCAAGCATCCCTCGGTTGAATTGGGTGAGTAGCATCATTCAGCTAATAGAGACTCAGTCCCTCAAAACCCCGTTGAAATTCCCGAATGGTCCCACGATATGCATTAACCATGGCACTTATAAGTGAAGCCAGAGTCTTAACTGGCGTTACCCTGGCTGATTAAAACGATGTTATTCCCACAACTATCAGACACGGCATGTATTTGGAAGCCCAGTCTCTGTGCTGTGAAGCATAGTACTTTGAATAAAAATGCTACTGGTGGAATCGGCAACAAGGTTCTGAGCTTGAAGTATGTTTAAATTAAGTTTTGTTCCTTCTGGATCTGAGCAATCTAAACGCTATCTACTACTTGAAGGTTTGTAGAAGGTCATGGGTTACCCAAAGTTCTTCATAGTCGAAGCGTAAAGATTGTGTACTACATCAGAAAGAGAACTATCTTGGATGACTAGAAGCTGTTCTTCAGATTATAGATCTCTTTTCAAGCAATGATAGTACAACATATCTTATACAGAGCTTTGGGTTATTAGAAGCTTGGTGCCTTTACAGCTGAGAATCAAGTACAGAAGAAAGGGCTAGAGGAATCATTGTTATTGGTTCTGCAGATCTTCCTTAAACAGAAAATTTCTGCAAGCGACGGGCGCTGCCAGCCTGCAGCAATCCGAACAGATGTAAATATGTTCATAAACACGTGGAGCATGCATTGTGGCTTTTAGCATAACTTACCCGACCGAGTGATACTAACAAAAGTGGCGATCACATATGTGAAGATTACTCTTACGGGGATACCCGTTTACAGTACCCATGATAACTACCTAACACATCAAGGTTTCGCACAGACAGCGGTTCTTGTGCAGAGATCTGTAGGAAAAACCACATAGATTGTATATATCGGCTCCGCCTAAAGGACTTGGACGTCATTGCTAGTAGTTTCACTGATGCGATTAGCTTTGGCAGCCACCGTCAGCGGCAACGTAGAAAATCGAGGAAATCATATGCGCGATGCAAAGTATAAATGAAGTCACGCCCCTTCTAACACGCTTTGGGGTCATGTGAAACTCCCTCATGGGACAGGCTCTATCGACATACTCTATCACAGACTGAGCAACGACTACACCAGAGGCAAGTCGTACTGCCTTGTCACTGGGGCCAAATTTTGGTGAGCATTCCGATACTTGATTTATCAACTTATGTTCCCAAAAAGCTTGTTATAGAACACTCACTATGACGTGTTCCTAGCCCTGGATAAAAAGCACTAATCTGCAGGCAGCTGTCGGGGGAGCATTGGTAGAGGAAATATCTCCCGGTCCAATGAAGTCGTGGTCGCAGCTGTCTGCAGCGGTGGAGCAGTTAGCGCAGACTTTTAGTTCCTCTCGATCATCATCACAGTCAATTGTACAAGAGATAAAGTGCTTGATTGGCAGTGGGTCTGATCAAAAGCAGGTATGGATATTCCTGTCTCGGTGGCGGTTATTGCTACGCCGAAATAACAATTGAGGAGTTTCCTGCAAGATACCGAAACGGGTTATGACGAAGCATCTCAACATTCATGGTATAGGACCTGCTTTATCGAAGAATATGCACCCTTCTACGGTCGAGCGGAAGGTTTGTGTGTATCCCATAACGCTATATAAGAATTACCTTTTGAAGTTGGACTGTTTCAATTCCTAAAGCAGTATATGATATCATTGTGATTCTTTGTTTTAATAGATAGAGAAGACAAAATAAGATGAAATTCTGATAATATAAATGCCCTATAATGAATTCTAGATAATCTCTAATGTATATATCCCCATATTCTTGATACAAGTATATTGTCATAGTTTCTCAAATAATGTAATGAATAAGATATAGTAGTTTCAAGATATATTCTATATAGTATCATAAGATAGGCTGCTCGACCGTGAGGGATGTATGATTATGGATTATGTTATTTAGCATATTACTGAGCTCAGCAGAATCTACATCATGCTGCAACTCTGTTTCAAACGGTTGTATGCTAAAAGATCAAGCCGTCGAGTATGTCAAGTGACAACATCATGCATACATCGCTAAATTAACCTGCCATATTCGGTTCGAACGACTGAAGACAATGACTGGACATCGCAATCCAAGACCAAGATAACTAGTGAGTGCTAGAGGACGCTAACCGATACAGACCTGGTAGAACATCCTAAAGAGCTGATGAGCAGAGGCCGCCTCCAAGAAACATGCAGTGTTACGACGTGAACACCTTACACGTGGCCATATATCCCAACAGCACACCGTGCAGGATGGGATGATGAGGGAAAATTGTAGGGAGATCAAGTCTAATGGCACCGCATGAGCCAGTGAATTCGTCATGAAGTTCCCCACGCTGGAATTACGTAAGTTTGTAAGTGCTACTATCTCTATTGAGGAGCGACCATTATCACTCTAGTCTCTCTACTGTTCGCAGAAACATGTAATAGATATAAAGAAGGTATCTTCATCGTTCATAATTTTTTATTTCAAGATGATATTCCATCTTTTCTACTCATTCTTTCAAGGAATGCCAAAGTCATCGAAGATTAAGATTCTCAGAACATTGAAATCAAGTCGCCTTCCGAAGAATTGTTTGGCTGCCACTCTTCCTTTCGAAATCTACATCTACAGTCCGAAAATCATACAAAAGGGCAGTCACCATGGGAGATATCGGAATTCCTTCTCGATGTAAATTTCCTGAGGTGCAGCAGCAAGTCTATCATGCTCAATGCGGAGACGATTCTTCTGAGCGAGAAGCAGACGATGCTCGGAGAAAAGTCGTGCCCCTTTTGGCAAGACTACACCGAGGCTCGGTGCTGTTTCCCAAGTCGCAGGGCTACATTTACTCTGTCTCTGTTGGAAATCTCCGCTATCGTCTAAAAATTCCTGCCGCTGTTGTGCATGCAGTAACAGTATGGGATGTCGTGGCGGCAGTCCGATTCTGCAGTCAAGAGAAATTGAAGTTGAACATCCGACGTGGTGGACACTCGAACGCGGCGCATTGCTTGAACGACAATGGTATCGTTCTGGATATGCGAATGTTAAACAAAGTGGTCATTCAGTCCAACCAGGAAAGGATCTATGTGTCTGGTGGTGCGCTGTGGAAAGACGTATATAAAGAGCTACATGATAAAGATCCTCGTCTTATCGTTGTGGGTGGTCAGTGTCCGACTGTCGGCGTGAGTGGCTTCTTGCTTGGCGGCGGTATAAGCCCATTCTCTCGCTCCTATGGACTGGGCATCGACAATATCGAAGTGATACAGATTGTCAAGGCGAATGGAGAATTGGCTATTGTGAGCGCAGAAAACCATCCTGATCTCTTCTGGGCACTCCGTGGTGGAGGTGGCGGTAATTTCGGCGTCGCAACCGGATTCTTCTTGAAGCTCCATAAGCTCAATCATCCTGAAGGACTAGTGACGTGTGGTACACTAGGATGGTCGATTGAGGACTCGACATCAAGAAAGAAATTTATCGACACGATGAGGAACTGGGATCAAAGTCCCCTGCCGGCAGCACTATGCGGCGACGCCCTCTGGCGATACAGACGAGACCGCGAAAGCAAGGAGAAAAAGCTCTGGGCAGAGATAACCACCATGTACAATGGTGGAAAGAGCGAGTGTATTAGCGAGTTGGCTAAGGTTTTGCGCGGTGAACCTGATGTGAACACCCCCAAGGAGATGAAATTCTATGAATGGGAAGTTGGGGGAGAGGCGTTTGCCAACCATTCTCGAGTCCATCACCACCATTCCTCTGTTATCATTGAGAAAGGTAATATGACAGCATGTTGTGAATCTCATTACAGAATGGATGATTTCCATAAAAGAACATGAGCCGGAAAGCGAGAGGGGTGGATGTCACGTTCTTTGGGATCATCTTGGTGAGCAAACAGGCCAATGGAAGCCGGACGAAACAGCCTTTCCCTGGCGTACCGGAGAGTACGCGCTTTCGATGAAATCAAGCTGGGATAAGGAAGAGAAGGAAGGCCAGATGATTCGAGAAGTGCAAAGACTCCGGGAGGAGCTAAAGAAATTTGCCATCGGAGGGAAAGCGGCATATGTGAACTACATCGACAACACATTGACTGACTGGTGGGATGCATATTACGATGCCAACTACAAGAGGCTCCGGCAGTTAAAGGAAATTCACGATCCTGAAGAGTTCTTTGAGTTCCAGCAGAGTATTCGGAAACCCAAAAGCGAACATCCAGCAATGCCTGCTATACCGTCATGCAATACTACAGACTATAAGGCGGAATTGGAAGAGAAGAACGATTCCGTTGAAGACGTAATCGAAAATACTACTCAGAACCAGGAATTAAGATCCCATAATGCCCCCGCTCAGTCAGCATATGCAATGAGATATGGCAGTCTTCAAAGTGGGCGTTGGTCTGCAGTGCATTTGAAGCGACAGTTTTAGATCTTGTTTCTAGATTGAGGTCTTGAAGATGTTTAATTTTGTTGCTATCTAGGAGCTTTTGAACGAAACATTTTGGAGTACTTGGTTACGGGTGATCTATATTTTGGAGGAGAGATCAACATCATAATTTTCCTGATATAGTACTGAGAGCTAACGAATGGACATTATTCTTGGCTAGTGTAACGCCAACAGCAACTTGAAAAACACGAAAGGCGTAGAAGGCCACTTTCAGATGGCTACCAGCATCATTTTTGTGATAACCAGGCATTTTAAAAGTTAGTGCACACTCAGATTGCCATATCAGGATATAGATAGCATTGACGGCTTGAAGATCCATCAGTGATGGTATGTTCTGGATTAAGCCTTCCAAAAGTAGAGTGGAGTAGTTATTGACTAGCGCCGACGGCTTTTTGTCACCTCGCCCAGGGCGGTCAAAAAGTGTGTAGTTTCCCATGGCACTGTTTTGCGAACTGTACTTTCTTAAATCCGCTTAATTCCGATGATTTGGGACGAGGTCGACTAGCTTCTGCCGCTCTAAGCGGTGTATAGAGCGGTCAGGCACTATGCCCTGAGATATGTCGATATTCAAGATGTACTTTGGGAGCTCGTGTTTCTCCTCCCCCATCAACATTTCGGATCTACCTCAGAGATCTGCTGATTGTGCTCTTCAGGGTCTCCTTCACCTTATCTGTACCGAAAGCACACGCTCTTTTACTCACATAAACTAAAATTCTATGAATAAATTCCGATAAGCGCAGAATCCGGATCTGACCGGAGCATATAGACCGGTATCTGGGTCTACTGACGGCGATGGGATCTAGGCCATGAGAACTAACATGACCCTCCAGAATAGACTCTGGTACGACCGAACTACTGCTAAATTTATGATGCGTGTGGTTACATCATTCTTACTTCGTTCGAGCGCTCTACATAAAAGACAGATACTCTGCCTTAGCTTGCAGTTCGATCAGGAAGGTATCCCAAATACCTTAACCTTCGCAGTAGTTACTGCCCTATAACAGCCACTACACTATCCATACAATTACTATATCATGAAGAACATATACCTGGCTGTCTTTACCATTCTGATATTTGTGAGCTACGCCTCTGCTGGTCCCGCTGCCTACGGAATCTGTCAGGCCGGGTGCGCAGCTGTGGTGATGGCTTGTTATTCAGCCGCCGGGTATACGTGGGGAGCCACGCTCGGTGCCACAGCACCGCCTACTATAGTGGCTTGCAATAGCGCTTTTGGAGTTTGTTATTCTTCTTGCGCTGCCACACTGTTGGCACCAACCCTTTGATTGTCAAAATTACGTGCGGGCAAGTCGGTACTCGGGAGATTCTCACGACCTACTTGATCAGGTTGAAGGATTATATGGCAGGTTGTCATGGTTCTCACTTTTTCAAGTGTGCTCGTTCGATATGTCTCTAATATCCAAGGTCATGTGTGAATGCTATATCAAATTGGTCATAGACAAGCATCATAGTCAACCTCGTACATTGACCTGAGATATAATGTATGGAAGTAAGAGAGTCTAAGAGTATATATACCTCTCCTGCCTAGCATCGGTAACAAAATTCCTATGTGAGTGGATGTGATTCACTGAACAGCCCAAGTCTCAAACAGGTATAAACATACACGTGATGGCATGAAGATGTGCGGGATGAATGGCCTTCTTCACTTCCTTGAACTGAGGAAGATTGACAAGCGTTGTGACTAGAGGTCATAGTGACCAAGGGTCTGGCTATACTGAATTAGTCGAAGAAAGTGAATACGATTTCCACACTAAGACCAGACTTGTCATCAGTCATCTACAGTTACTGCCCGTGTATGTTTTGGTAAACAAGCTACCTGTTACTGTTTCCTTTTCGTCTTCTCGTTCTAGTATACGGCGAAGAACCTCAGGTGATAGCTCGGTCCCAGTGCCTTTCCAGGTGAGTGCACCAGATCACCCTACAGACTGCGATAGTTGACTTACAACTGATACGGTTCTAGACCAGACAAGGTGTAACAGGTTCGACATCTTTATCAAACGTCAGTGAACAGCGTCGCCATGACTGATTTACCCGATGATATACAATACCTCAAATTCTTGAACGGACCGCGTAACGTCTTTCTAAAGCACCTAGTAAATGCGAGAGGCGTTGGCGTGGTGCCGCGTCATACCTGGGCTGCTCTGGTTGGCTGCGACGATCAATTTCTTAAGACTTTTATCCAAAACCTCGACAAAAACGGTAATGCAGCCATCCAGAATTCGAATGTTGTTGTCCGAGCCATGTTGAAGGGGTGGCTTAACACCGAAAAGACATCTTGGTCAAACATACATGATGGCTTGGACGATGAAAAAAACACTACCTCAGAATCAAACGACGACGACGACGATGATGATGTCTGCATCTACACTATACTGGACCAGGTTAGAAGAAGGGACGCTAGCAAGTGTGCTATTTCGTCTTATTCACCCTCCATGCTTTGTGAAATCTGTCCAGAACACTTACTCCGTTCTCCTGTCACTGGTCGGTCCGGCTTCTTCTGGAAATATCTTGAATTCTTTTGGGATCCTCGGAGGGTCAAGGCATGGAAGCGGCCAATCTTTGCCGATCCTGAAAGTCCCGAGGTGGCGGACACTATGAGAAACTACATCACATTGAGTCCTGTGTTGAGGAAATATTGGGAATGGGGATACTTGGTGCTTCGACCTAATCCGAAGAATATTGTGAATAAATATGAACTCAAGGTTCAGTTTGTTTGGTTACCTCAGCAGAATCATTTCTGGAAAGAGTTGGTCAGCGTTGACTTATTGCCACCTCTCGCGGAAAGGAAAGCTGTAGCTGAACTGGTTGGATTCCAATCAGAGCAGTTCAAGGATCTGAAACCCGGGGACTGGATCACTCTGACAACTCCTGATCCGGAGCGTTTACCACTGCCGAGCTGGGAACTCCTGGAATTGCGGTTCGCATTGACTCTTCTTGTTCGATTGGCGGGTAATCTCGAGTCAGCGAAGGAATGCGATAAGGTTTGACGTCATCTTAGGGACGCTCATATGTTCTTACTTGGCAGCCGTTATTCCGACAGTACTGTCTATGTTTCACTAAGCGGCAGAGAGTAAGGTATGGGTACGAGACTGTATCAATAAGGAGATAATATCATCCAAATCTTATTCCTAACTATCTCTCAAGACGCTTACGCGTACACGCTCCTACCCTCCCACCCCGGTTGCAAATAACTCCAATCGCGATCAAACTGAAAATCCGTCTGATACAGTCCATACGTAAACAGCTCGACAGTATCGAGCTTCGCACCATCATTGGTTTGCGCCCACAAACTCAATGCTAATGTATTTTGCCCCCGGTTGTTGATGATCCCCGGGGGAACAGGAAACTTCGTCTGCGGACCAATGTGAGGGACGTATTTGCCGTATTGATACTTTAACATGGCAGATGAACGTCAGTATATATGCTGTATATTACATGTTGTACAATGGACCTAAGACTTACCCCATTGACCCAAAGCATTACACGTGCTATAGTGCCGTTTGGCGCTGAGAAAGAAACCCCTATGGGTGCATCTAGATCCCTGTCGATATCAAGGTCGAAAGCGGTGACATAGAAACGGACACCCGGTTTCGAGATGCCGTCCAGTGGACTGGAGGTACTGTTGAACTCCTTGTTATCAGATGCCGGAAAGCCAGGGAGGAACCATCCTAGTCGTTCGGCATAGAGGCCACCCTCATTCATGGGTCCGCGGACTGGGTCGATGTTCTTCGCGCCACCAGCATTGCCTTGGATCTTCCACAGTTTGAAACCGGTTGCTGTCCGTGTACCGCCTGGAAGAAGATACGCGCCAAGGATGCCTCGAGGGTTCCCAGCACCGTTGGCGATGTTAGTTTCATCGTGGCCATGGTAGTCAACTATGACTGTGATGACATTGTTCATTGTCCTGAGATGGGGCCCAGGAAGCGTCAGAGTCATGTTTGTGGCTGATAGATTGGGATCGCCAGTGTGGCCCCCGATAAGATGTCCGTTTAGCCAGGCGTTCCACCCAAACGCGAGGCCGCCAGAGGCGGTAATATTAACTGCAGTGTGGTTGGTGCCGTCAAAGTAGCCACGGTATATTTTAGCACCGGCGTAGTAGCCATAGTCAGAGCTAAAAAGGACTGGCAGGGTAAGAGGAGCTTGTGGACTGAGTGTACTATTCTTGTTCGCGACCGTCCATCGGGAATCATCATACCCTGGCTGGGCTTCCGGGAGGGAGTCTGCTGAGCGCCAGTGGTTTAAGGATGGAAGGTTTACTGATCGGTGTTCTGTACCGGGGATTTGGGCTGTGTAGGAGCCATAGGGCGTCTTGGTTGCTGTGAGTCGCTGGCCGTTCCACTCGATTGCTTTGATGGGCACGTCGCCGATGAAGCTCTCCAGGGTTGTAGTTCCGTTATTGTCTCCAGAGACCTGAAGCACTTCATTTTCGACTGATGCAGACCGGACGAGGTACGGACCAAGAATGAAAAGCTTCTGGTCTGGCCTAGGAGAAGGGTAGTTTGATGTTGACGGAGCCCAGAAATGCCATGCTGTTGGTTGATCGAGCAATAGGACAATGACCCCATTTGTAAAACGAAGGACAGTAGAGCCAGTAGCCTGTGTGTACTTAATCTTCTGGTAGCCAGGATGAAGTGTGGACGACACGATAGACGCGCCATATACCTGGAGCGTCAAATTCCTTGGCGTCTTGAGAGCGAACTCGCCGGTTTGACCTTCCCATAGATACAGAGCCAGAACATCGTGTCCGGGCAAGATGGCATTTGTAAGTACATCTGTTGATGAATACAGAAGTGTTTGATTACCAAACATGTAGTCTGTAACTAGAATCTTGCTCTGTCGCCCTTGAAGCTGGATATCTGGAACAGTCATGTTGCCAAGGCTGGTGTTCAAGTAGGCCGAAAACGCAATGGTAGTGGTTGATGGGGTTTCGTTCTGCTGCAGCACAGTGAAGGTTGCCTGAGTATCTGGGTTCTTCAGGACCCAACTATAAGCGTCGAGTGTCGAAAGCTACTAGCTTGTTAGCAGGGCTGCATATCATGACCCGGATGGATGTCTGACACTGTAACCCGATCCGTTCCCATACATGTACGTCTTGAGTAAATCAGGTGCAGATCCCGAGAAGAGTTGTATGAGCTTCGTTTGCCAAAGCTTGGCCCATTGCTCGCGAGTTTCTCGGAGGGGGGTCCTGTTCATCTGGTGAGTCACATATTCAGAGATTCAAAAGAATGAAGTATTACATATAGTCATTGCTAGTATATGCCACTGGGGAAGCAGCTGTAGGGTGGTCAAATAGTCTGCAATGTTGTTCGCGACAGGCAGATCTACTCACAATGGCCCCAATTAGTCCCCCCATAGCCTTCATATATGCTTTGTAGCGTCACGCGCTGACCGATGTTGTTCTTATAGTAGATGTCCACAAAGGTGGTGCTGTGCTCGCTTCGACACTATATAATCATTAGCCTTGGCGATGGACAATGTATAGCTATAACATATTCTTGCTGATTGACTGAGTAGCCACTCACATCATCATAATTCTGTGGAGCACCCCAGGTCAAAGTACGCCCGCCCTCAAACTCAGCGAGATAAATGGGACCAGTCCATGAATAGTTCATGAACCACTGATAGTAGGTCCGAAAAACATTGAATCCAGTGGCTCCATCACATCTGTTCCCGACAAGAAATCCTGCAGGGTAGGTGTCCAAGCCATAAATGTCGACAGCGCCACCAACGTTTCCGTAATCCCTTGACCAGGATACATATCTCATGCCTTTTTCGTTATGAGTCGTAGGAACGGTTATCCCAGCATCTCTAATGACTGCCTCGAGCTGCTCCATATACGTAACCAGAGTATTGTTTGGCTCATGAGTGGTCTCTTGGAGTTCGTTTTCTACCTGGCAGAGTATAACGGGCTACACGCTTGAGGTTAGCAAATCTCACTCTAACCACCGGAGGAAGCTGTTTACATACACCACCTCTTGTGATCTGGTTCGCTGCAATGATCTGTCCGACTTTCCTCATATATGGAAGCCACGCTTGATGAAAGGCCTCATCTGATGTCCGCAATTTGCCCATGGAGCCATCAGAGCCCCATAGAGCTAAACCACCAGCATTTGTCTGTGCCTATTTTGGGGTTATTTAGTCATTCTGTTCCACGAACTCAGGGATATGAGCGAGTATGGCCGCTTACATTGACATAAGGACCCGGCCGCGCAATTACCCATAGGCCCGCCTGCTTGGCCATGTCGAAGAGACGCTGTATGTTATGTGCTCCCGTTTTAAAGTCATATGCGTCCTTGGAAGCCGAATGATAACTCCAAAAGAAGTACACACTGAAGTTGGGGTTTAAATGGTTGTCCGATTTGTAGAAGGCAACTTACCCACCTGATTGTATTGAAGCCATTTGCCTTCAGCTTTTGCAGCACATCCTATATTGACCAAGCCTCAGTCTCTAAAACTCCCTGTACGAAAAAAATAAGGCTGACTCACCAGCCACATCTCAGGGACGGGCAGTCGCTGATAATGAAACTCGGCAGCACTTGGATGAAGATATTAGTCACTCGTGAGGCGGATACGGCTCGAACTTCACATACTTGATGAAAGCCCTCTCCCCATTGATTAGCAAGCTATATTCGTCCCATGTCACGGACCCGGTTGAAGTGTTTGATACTGACAGCGCCTGGCATAAGGATGTCAAAGCGACAACAAATTTCAGTAGCAATGGCAGTCTCAACCTGGCTAAAGAAATAGAATCAATCTTGGAGTCCGAGCTGACCGATGAATTTAGTATTCTGATCGGGAATGAAGCGGGCCCGATGTGCTCCATACATTAAGTATCAGGATCCAACAGCGAAGTTACACTACTCGAGCAATAACCCGATATTGCCATGCGTAGCTATCACTTCTCCGCTTTCATGCACGGTAAGTAGAGACCCTGCAGATAGGTTGAACGTAATTCCACCAATCGAGCATTCACGAAGCTGCGGACCCCGCACGATCTGCATAGCGTTCGTGAGAATCCAGGCCTGTGGAGGGTCAGGACCCTGTAGGGCAGAGTGAAGTATATGAAGCAAATGCACAAACAATATAGAAGCCCAATTGCGTGTGCCAACAGACTCGGCGTAGAGGAGACCGAAGAACTTCGATAGGTTGCTCAACTGATGACAGTCTTGCGTTTCAATATACTCTGAAAAGGCTTGCATTTAAGCCATTCTCTGGTCTGTTGAATGTTTGTGGGTAATCATGCTATTCTCAATAATTCCAGCCTTACTTGATCTCTCCCGATGGGCCTTTACAACAGCCCTTCCATCTAATCCCACTAGCCTTACTCAAACCAATGCGTTGTTGAAGGCAGACATGATGCTTCTCTCGTCAAGCTTAGAAATTCAGGACAACGGCAATGCCGTCTTCGCGGATATGACATATACCATATCAACAGTGTGCTCAATACTCCGACCTCTCTGCTTGTCGAGTTGATGTAGATAGCACTCTAGTGGTGCGATATGTAAGCCCGATTGGCACATAACGATATGGTCACAGAGTATCTATGACGTCGCTGAGCTGTAGTGCATCAGCGGACGTGACGACATCCGCATCGAAGATGTTCACTTGCAGAGTATTGCAGAAAGTTGGCTCACCAAGGCAACCAAATATCAATCCTTTAATGTGAGTGGCTCTGTTGACGTCTTGTGTTAGAATTGGATGCTTTAAGTTGCTATTAGTCAGAGAGGATGAGAGTCGAGAAAGGCGCCTGTCTCATTCAATTTGTCCTTCCCCAAAGAGTAGTTCGTATTGCACAGTTGGGTAATTTCGGTTCAACGTACGGCTAAAGCGGCTTAGCATGTGACTATGTCACAAGACTAGGTTGTTGTCTGTGAGCTAGTAGCATAGTTCATTTTGCTGGTCCGTCGATTTGTATTCTTCAGAGGTCTGAAGAGCTCTTAACTGTCATGTATATGGTAAGGGCAAGTAGTTAGGTAGGCACTGAATCATGTACAGATCATCACAGACGTGTGGCATTACAAGAGTAGATCTATGTCCATCTAAGACACATAACGCTGACAAGTTCATCCAAATTTATCCTTCTATGTCTTTACTCTATTTCCTCCACAGTTGCCTTCTCTTCCATGACACGCTCCATGGCCCTATCTCCCATGGGCTTGTGCTTCGACATCGACACCGCAGCGAAGATGGTGGGAGCGTCACGGAAGATCTCGTCAACTTCTTCTAGGGACCGGCCCTTTGTTTCTGGGTAGAATAGATAGATGACGGGAGGGATGATGCCACCGATGATGGCGTAAACAATGTAGTAGCGATAGCCGATGTTGTCGATAGCGACGGGAGTGATCATAGCGACGACAAACATCCTAAAAGAGAAAGTAATTAGCGTAAGTCAGCTAAGAGGAAATCATAGAGGCTGTCGTACCATAGCCATTGGTTGGCAATCGAGATCGCTTGCATAGCGACACGAAGACGGGCAGGCGCCACCTCGGCTGGGTAAAGGAAGTTGGCTCCCAAGAAGCCGATCGGAAGGAAGAAGTTGTAAATGAAAATGAAAAGGGCGGAAATAATAGATGCGGTATGGTTATTGGAGAAGGAATTGGAGACCGCCAATGCCAACATGCACATGCCCATACCACCGCCACTGACCATAAATGCTGTGCGTCGTCCCATGCGGTCAATGATGGCAAATCCCACAAAGCAGCACAGGAACTTCCAAGTCAATGCGCATGCTGCCAAGATTTTCGACAGACTGGCACCGAGTCCAAGATCTGTTTGAAAGATAAGAGGAATGTAGACCGAGATCAGAGTTCCACCAGTCATCTGCTGGAAGAATTGGAGGGTGACACATAGGATGAACCTGTATAGGAGCTTCTCCTCTCCCATACTGAAGATGTCTCGGAGCCTAAGTGAGTTGTTCGAGGATTCCTCCAGAGAAAGCTCGTAGGCTCTTAGCTCCGCCACAACCTCCAGCGAGTCTACCTCTTTGCCCCTCAGAGATGCCAAAGTAAATTGTGCCACGTCTGATTTGTTCTTCATGACGAGCCAACGCGGCGACTCTGGGAGGAAGAAAATGCTGCCCATGATTATGAATGAAAACAAGGCCGGGATGGCAAGTGATGCCCTCCACGAGGCAGGCGAGTTCTCCATGTGGTAGAAACCGAAGTTCACCCATTGTGTCAAAGCGAAACCAAAGGCGATGAACATGCCTGTCAACACCACGTTCCGTCCTCGCTGAGCAGCAGGCGCGCACTCGGATTGCCAGACAGGTACAGTCGCACTGAGCATGCCAACACCGAAACCCAGAATCACTCTCCCAACAACGAATTGAGCTAGAGAGTAGGCGGTGCATTCCAGGATTTGGCCAATCAATGCAATGAGTGCTCCAGAAAAGATCGATCGGCGACGTCCAAGCATGTCACCGATCATTGTACAAATCAGAGACCCGAAGAGGGCTCCGATAGTGTATGACGCAACCACAGCTCCTTGAACGGTGGCATTGTGAGACTCCTGAGCTCCAGTAGTGTTGACTGTGTCAATTTCTGGAAATACTCTCACCCAGGAGGGAAAGTCATCGAGTCCTCCGACACCGGACTGATTGTAACCGAAAAGGATAAAGGAGGGGCAAGCGACTAAGAAGATCTGGGCATAACGAAGTGCTTGGCCCTGCATTGTGCCGAATTGCCTGTACCACAAGAAGTTTGGCTTTGCAGGAAAGGCACCGGGAAGTAAGATAGGGCAAAGGAGAATGGAGGGAAAGAGAAACAGCCATTCTCACGTCCGGGGGCAGGCTCATAGAAAAAGAAATAGGCCGACGACTAGCCCGAAAAAAACAATCAGTCGCGGGGTTTCTGTAAGCTGTACATGGGCTGATGATCAATCCGCTTCTATGGTCAATGGACACCGGACTGCTGCCGACCGAGCTTGTCGAGATGACGTCCAGAGGCCTGCCGTGGACCCGCATGCAAGTGAAAGACGGATGCCGATGTGCGAGTCACATAGCGGACTCCCTGGTTAGTACGAATTTCTCCGCACGGGGAACCAGGGCCGAGAGAGAAAGATGCCTCAGCTTCTCACCGGGGTAGTGGTATTCTCGGGCTGACTTGGGCCGTACGGTGTACGGGCTTTGTAATGTGTGTGATATCCCACCAGTCGCCCACATGGCTGGATCTTATGCAAAGCACTCGCTGATTGGTCTTAGAGCTAGCGCGGCGACTCTCCGACAGCCGGGGTGGTTGTTAGCCTTGCTCCAGTCGTTGCCCGGCCACCAATTGGAGCTCGAGGTTGTTCTGGGGCACGCCAACCGTGGTTCCTATTATCTCCGCAATAAGCACCCCAGGCTTTAGCCCCGCGTCCAGGCACTTCGATACAGGCCAGGCCCACGTTACTGACTGTATTATGTCTTAGAAACTGGAATCCTTTACCCGAGGGGTGCGAGGAACGGATGTTGTCCGAGCCCCAGGCCCACCACCCCGGTCTAAAAGAAATCTCAACTTGGGCGACTGATTGGGAAGCGGCTATACTAAGGTTATTAAACCAGACGCGGGATGAAATCATAAACTAGTAGAGTCTGGCAGAGGACTTACCCAGTCAAAAGTGGCCCATGATGCATCCGAGGGGCCCTAGTGAGAGAGAGAAGATAACTTGAAAGAAAAAGCAGAGTGAGGTGAGCTGGGAATGCATCTGAGCGGTCAGGCCATGGGAGGGAAGATGTCATGGCGCGCTGATGTTGGAATTTGGGGGGGCCGCGTGACTCCACGGGACTTTCCCCACCATTGTGGGAAGGCTTACTACCAGCCAAGCCGCGCAACTGGAGCGTAAGGCAATTCGAGTGGTCCGATCGGAGAGTCAAATTCTGATCTCCTTCTTGTCCCGGATATTTTCCAATGGAGTCTCGAAATGCTTAGCTTGCTTGTTGTCGGCGTGGCACTCTCCCTACCGTCGAATGACCCAACGCCACCGAGGCATTTAATAATCGCGCGCCCAACCAGCTTACCTGTTAACTTTGCCGATGTGCCACGAAATTGCTTATTTCACACGGCGTATAAGAAGTTGTGGGTTTTATTGCTTATCTTTCCGGTGTGCACTTTCGAGTCAGCAAGCATTCCCTTGTAAAGTCGAGGTCATGTGTGGTATCAGTTTTTTCTCATTGTCGCCATATTCAAGTTCCGAACTTCAGGTTGCGAGAGAATGTCATCATGCATGGAGAGGCCCTCCATCAGCTTGACTCATGAGCCAGTCCAGAAACGCCAAGACCGTTTTAACCGGTCTTGCCAATACCCGACAAGCTTAATGTTGAGGCTTTGGGCGTGGGATGGCGGTAATTTTGCACCCCTATGGGCCGAATCAATTATACCCACTCCCATCGCGGTTTCTCCGAGCCCCTTCAGTCCGAGGAGGTCCAATTGTCTTAGAAGGGAGCGAATGTACTCAGTGTCAGACCATGAGTACTATGCAGGATGCAACCACTAATAGACACTATAGACGTACGACTGCAATGTAATCCGAGATAGTGTGAAGCACCATGCACCACAACCTCCGTGGATAAATCTTTGAGCGCCAACCCTTACCCCTTCATGCAACACTTTAAACACCATTACCCCATACAGTGCATGCTATACCTATCTAGGCTGTGCTAGTCTGAAAGCGAAATACTTTTGTCTCACCAAGTCCGAGATTTAGCCGTCTTGCTCTTCTTCTCATGCTCTGCTCTCCACTTAGTACAAAGGAGGCCGGTTTTCATATTGTATTGGGAAAGTCTTTTGCTCATGCACCTAGACGAATTACTGGGTTCTAATGACTTCTGCTAGACTCATCATGTCTAGAGATGATTAAGTAGGAGGCCGGATGTAGGTTATGTAACCGAAAACCAGCATGTAGCCTAGCAGCCTTGCTTTTTAGGTACTTTCATCTAGGTTTCGCAAAATTGTCTTCCGGAAGACCCTATTGATCTTTTTCTTTCAGATTCCTCCTCTCCTGAACGTAGCTTATTTAAGCCTAATGCTCCTTTGCTGTTTAAATGCCGGCGATGGACGGCAACGGTGGCACGGCCAAAGCCCTTTTCTTTTATAGTGTCAGAAATGGGTAACTTGGTGGGCGAAGTAGAATCGTTGATCGACCATGATGATACAATATCGAAAGTAGCCTCTGCCATAATGCAGCGCAGCACACGACTGTCTAAGACTCACTGTTGTATGAGCGGTCTTATCATTTTCCATGAGCAACAATATTTAGCAATGCGTTGTGCAGCGCCGCTGTTGCTGGATGGTTACACAACCGCAATACAACAAACCTACGGAGTGTTACCAGCAAGCCCATTGATTGTATAATGTGGAAGCTGGTCTGGATGATACTGTATATTAAAAAGCACCATAGCACTGATTGCGACAACGTCGCGGGGACATTCGAATTCAGATTATGGCGACCTCCAAGCTTAGACGATCCGCCAAACCTACAGCAACTGACAAAAGTGGCTGCTACGTCAAAATAGTCGGGATGCACCTCCGTGCTTGCGTTGTTCTAGCCAAAGGCTGAGCAGCTTCTGAAAATTTGCCGACACACCCGGCTCTTCTCCAGCAGGGGTTCTTTGTTGTTGGAGTGGAAGATGGGCGGTCTTCCCAATCAGGTAACCCGGACGACACTCATTGAGGCGGGGAATCCCGATCCAGTAAAGCCTGGGTCAGGGATACAGCGAAGTGGTACCTTTCCGAATAAGGAAGGTTAAGCCAGGGAGTAGTGCCTGAGGTATTCATGACAGGCAGCCATTATGGTCTGTTTTGTTAGGCGGCATTTTGAAACGATTACCCACTGATGAGCCTTGTCTTGATCCCTTATGATATCATGCTTATTCACCAGGTTGGCAGAGACTGGTCAGCGCCGAGGTCTGTAAGTGGAAACGGTCTGTTTGTGAACACATTGCCTGGTATCTCAATTCATATTGTCGCGCTGGTGGATGATATCTACTAAATGAAAAGAATCCACAGCTTTATCCAGGCAGATTCATGATGTACATCCCTACGTCAGCTTCATATCCCAGCTGCAGAGGACAGTGCATGACTGGGGCATATAACCATGCATAACCCTTGATTTTCACCGTAAACCTTCGGACAACTTCCTAGCTCAGTCGGATTTCGAATGTGCGGCCGGCAGAGTTTGAACTGGGCGCCTGCGCTATCAAATATCCCCCAGGGCCTTAAAAGGCTGATGACTTTGTCCGGAGGTAGAATGCTCAACCGGGGGCCAAGGCGGCAATGTTCATCAGTGCGTATCTCGGTTGGGGGAAAGTTTACCCCAGGTTTACCCCGCAAGCAAGCACACCCCAGTTCCCCTCCGCATTCCACCAGCAGGGTCCTGCCAGGGGTTCACTGAAGCGACTTCATGATGCTATATCGGCAATATTTGTTCTACATAGATCAACTGGGCAAAATGTGCATCCATCTCTTGGTAGATAAGGCAGACGGGCCGATGCGAGCCTGAAGTTTCTGGATGATGAGCCGTGGATACCCCCTCAACGCTACCACTTTTTCTACCAGATTGTGGAGATCAGCCTGCTACAGCATCGCGAGCTGTGGACTCTTCAAATAACTGCAAAAGAGAGCCTCTGGGTACGTTGTTCACGGGATGTTTATTCTCCAGACATGGAGTGAGCTCGGCTTCGGCATTTCCAGCCCCGCAAACTAGGGCCATCCGGTGAGCTATTTGGCGGCTTATCCCTTTCCCTGAAGGAGAGAGGCGTTATATCATTTAGCCTCTTCACGAGGGGTCAAATTTTCTTGGCCGTCTGTCAAATTGCTTTGCCGCGCAACTGAGGGGCTACCATGGTCCTCATCAAAAGGTATAAAAGCAGTGATCTTTTCGCCCCTCGTCTAAGATGAGCAATCGCCCCACTCATACTCAACTTCAAGATGCTTTTGCGTCTCTGCGTCATTGCAACCCTTTTTGTCACCCAAGGCGTAGCTGTTCCCGCTTCTCCAGCTACAAGAGACACAAATGGAGAAGGACTCCTAGTCCAAACCTCCAGCGGCCCTATACAAGGCTTCTTCAATCAGACAGCTCCTGATGTTCGACAATTCCTTGGTGTTCCATTTGCAGAGCCACCAGTTGGTGACCTCCGCTTTAGCAGTCCCGTGAAGAAACAGCCTAATGGTACCGTCAATGCTTTTGCACTGCCCTCATCATGTATCCAGCAGACAAGCAATAGCTCTACAATCTACACCACCTATGAAACGGGGTTTCTCATCAGTGGAGGGGACTCAGAGGACTGTCTATACCTGTCAATCTGGGCACCTCGTATTGAGAACATTCAATCTCAACAGCGTCCGCTGCCAGTGCTGCTTTACATCCCCGGAGGTGGGTTCACGAGTGGAGGGGAAGCGTCGCTGTACAAGATCCCCGACAAATGGGTGCAACGGACGCAGTCCCACATCGTGGTGATCATGAAGTGAGTCTTCACTCTATCAAGCTGGCCTATGTTACTAATCTGACACCAAACTAGCTATCGCGTCAATGTGTTTGGCTTCCCTAACGCGGAAGGGCTGTCCGAGCAGAATGTCGGCTTCCTCGACCAAAGAATGGCGTAAGTCAACCTCTTCAACAAACCCACATAAACCCCAAACTAACCACTACACCTCCAGCATTGAATGGGTAGCAGCCAACATCGCTAACTTCGGCGGTGACCCCGCGCGAATCGCCCTGTGGGGTCAATCCGCCGGAGCAGGCAGCGTGACAGCCTACTCATACGGATATCCTGAAGACCCCATTGTCGCCGCTCTCATAGCCGACTCAGGTGCCCCAGGTATAATCGACAACGACGACTACGCACACACCAACTTCACATTCCTAGCCAGTCTCGTAGGCTGCGATGGACTATCATCCACCGAAGAACTCAGCTGCATGCGGAACGTATCCGCCCGAAAGCTACAAACCGCTCTCTCAACATACTCCGGCTCGCCATCCATATCATTCAAGCCAGCCATCGATAACAAGACCGCTTTCGCGAACTGGACCCAGCGTGCAGTCGAAGGCAAAATTGCCAAAATCGTAAGCAACTCCAGTACCCTTGACAATTACCTCCAGCTAACCTACCTTCCTTCAGCCCTTAATAACAGGAAGCAACACCAACGAAGGCGCCGGTTTCGTCTCATTCACCCCAACCGGACCCGGCAAATCCACACTTTTCAACATAACCGAATCAATCATTGCCTGCCCCGTCGCAGACGAAGTCAAGAACCGCAACTTCGCAAACCTCACCACCTACAGGTACCAATACGCAGGCAACTTCTCCAACATCTCCCCGCTGCCTTGGTTCGGAGCCTATCATAGCTCAGAGCTCCCTCTTCTCTTTGGTACGCATTATGAGTATGGTGGGCCCTCTACGCAGTATGAGTGGGACGTGAGTTACGCGATGGAAGCGCTGTGGCTTTCATTTGCGGAGGATCCGTCGCGGGGGCCAGTGCGGCTAGCTGTTGGGAATGCGGCAGCAAATCCGAATAACGGGAGTTATTTTGCTTGGCCTGCTTTTGAGCAGGGGTCGGATAATTTGTTGGTTTTTGCAGAAGGGGAGACGATGATGCAGTTGGTTGGGGCGGGGAGGATTGATGATTATTGTTGATCTGTCAGAATATATTCGTGGTATTATATTGACGTTCGCGGGGTCAAATTGGAAATGGGTTTATGATGCATATATAAGTATTCAAATGATAGATGATAATGCTCTCACAGAGGGATGACCTGAAGGTGTACAATAGTATAGCTATGCGCACAAATGCTATATGGAAATGCACTACTCCACCTCTAGATGCTGGGACCTGGGTGTCGCCTCTCTAGTCCTGCGAGCAGGCACAGGGGAGTAATCACCAGTATACCTGGGGCTCCTTTTCACGCTGCGAGGAGCGGATCTCGGAGCCTCGGGATCCGCTGCAAGACGGTACTCCTCTTCCACAACATGATCTTCAACATCCGGATATAACTCCTCGTCGTACACATCCTCATCCTTTCGAGGTAATGTCCGAGGTTGGGCCCTGGAACGGGGTTCCATACGCGTGCTGGGCATAATATCAATTCTGCGGCTCGTAGATGGACTTGGAGCATGCAGGGCGTCATCTAGAAAGTCATCTTCCGCATAATGCTGTGATTCTACCATGACTGCGCGTTTCCGACTAGCGGAGTATCGTCCAGGTGCGACTCGGCCACCTGAGGACCCAGCGTATTGTGATTGCCGCTGAGGGGTGCGGGCTGGCGCAGTACGTCGAGGAACTCGTTCAACGGGGACGTGGTCGGATTCGTAACTGCTGAAGCCGTCATATACGGCAGGTTCCCTTGTAGGCCCGGACTCATAGCCATCGTACCGGACCCCTTCCATGTGGGCTAATTTACGATCGTCGGCACGCCGTGCTTTGACTAGGTACCGGTCGAATTCTTCGATCGTGTCGTTCACTGTGCGGAAGTGCTCTGCTGTAAGAACTACCGGGAGGTCGTTGCCCGGGGTCTTTTCTCGCTGGTCGAAGAAGGCGAGGCAGGATGCAATTTGTACGGCGTTGCGGATTTGTCGACCATTCCAAGGGCCACGTCTGTGAACTCTATAGGTTTTCTCGTACTCCGACCGGACAAACTCAATGATTTCTTTGTCCATGACGTGAATATGTCCGTTGCCGATGGTTGCTCCTTTGGGTACCTTGTCTGCTCGAGGGAGCCGTGCGAGGTTACTGCAGAGGATGGAAATGGTATCTTCACTGCTTAGATGAGGGTAGTAGAGGCTCAGATGTACTCGTGAGCGGAATGCTTCGTCGAGCGCCCCAACTCGGTTCGTGGTTAGGAAGAGGATGCCGCTGTAGTATTCTAACACTCTGAGGAATACTATTTGGAGTCAGTAACATTCAAACATTGATTCACATACAAGCATACCTGAAACTAAGGCGTTCCGCTCAACATCTGTTCTATCTCTCTGTGTGAGAAAGACATCTGCCTCATCCAGTAGCAGAATACAGTCCCATAGATGGGCATATCGGAAGATGTCTTTAAGTGATCTCTCCACTGCGTCCGCTGTTATTCCTAGGTCGCCGCAAGTGATGGGAAACAAAGGCTTCTCGAACTCCAATGCCACTGCCTCTGCAGTCGCAGTCTTACCCACCCCAGGGGCTCCGTGCAGGAGTATCACCAGACCTCGTCCTTTTCCCCGGATCATATCTGGGGTATACAGTATGGTATCTCGAGACCGTTCATTGTGGATCTTGGCAAAGTGAGAAGAAACAGTCGATCGGATAATCCTCCGATGTCCAGGTTTTATCTGGACATGGTCTAGTGTAATCCTCTCTTCGGATACCCGACGTAAATCAAAGCCGCGAACATCCAAGCGTGTAAACCTCCTCTCGCGTAAGACGTACCCGAGGACTCTCCGAGGAAGAAGGGCCAGATCTTCATCGGACCATGTTGGTTTCGAGAATGTGTCGTTGTTGTCAATGTATGGGTTCTGCTTCATATAGGCTTGCGCTTCCTTTGCATATGTATAGTCTTCCCGGACCAGCAAGTTTTCGTTTTTCTCGATGAAGTGGGGCGCATCCTTTCTCCATAGACGATAAGAGACATTTTCATCCACTACTGTGGCCCATGAATCATGGAATGTCTCCTCATAACGTTTTGTGTCGGCAGGGTAGGTCTCAGTAACGTATCGTGAGGCTTCCTTAACATCTATAATAACTTCACTTTCTATGTGTTCGGGCTCAGCGAGCTCCATGCTCTCTTTGAAGATACCAGTTGCGAGATTCCATCCTGAATAGTATTGATGTTTGTTCTCCGGTTTCACAAGTTCCTTGAAAAGTTTTCCACTCTCGACCTGCATCTTAAGGATCGTCGCATGATCGGGGTGGTATCGCAGAGGGTAACATGGCAAGGCAGTAATATCTTGCTCGCCGGCGAAATGGGGGACCTCTAGGGATTGCCATATAACTTTCAACTGATCTCCATCATGGTCAAAGCAATAGATGCTCCACCTTGCTAGTGAGTTCGGGACAAACCAGCCACCTGGGTCCGTTTGCCACATGTGGTCTTCGGGTCGGAGGGAAGCCAGGCGAAATACATTCTGAATAGCAGACTGATGGCGGGCTTTCGAGCTGGTAGCCACAGATGGAACAAAGACAAGATCTCCCGGGCGGAAAAGAAAAGGTAGCTCGTCATATCTGACTTTGTTCGGAGTATTCTTAGTCACATGTTCGAATCTCTTCCAAAGAGGTTGAATTTTCTCTTCCACAAAAGTAACATAGCATCGTAGTTCATCTCGGATGCGAGATTCGGAGGTTTTCTGCGAACTAACCGATTCATTATCGTCCGAGGAGCTGTGCTTTGTCTTTGAATCTTCTAGATCAGACTCTAATTGCTCCAGCTGCTTTTTCATTTCACCATTGAAGTAGGCAAGAGCGTGAAACGGACGGCAGAATACGCAATCGGATTTTGGGGGAACCATGCTGCTTTCGTTCCACTCTCCAAGCTCAGAAAGACGACGAAGTATCTCTGGAGAGCGGATTCTCACACGTTGGAGTTGCAAAGTCTCAGCAACTCCTTCCGTCGGCGGTGCCACCTCATCAGTCTCAGTCCATGGTGATGGGTTTGCAGCGCGCCTTTTCTTTTCCCGTTCCAAGTCCTTCCACCAGTCGGAAGTACCGATCAGAGCTTCAATCGTAAAATCTGCATCATCGTCCACCGACCGGTTCATGAAGGATGGGTAATCATAGTATCTCACTCCCACGTTTATTTTCCGATCGTTGAATGCGGATCCATTGAGCCAGGAGTCATCATCAGCTTTGCTCTCCGCTTCATCGTCTGTTGTGTCGTCGTTACTGTCGTCGTCGTCGTCGTCGTCGCCATCATCATCATTATCATCAGCATCATTACCATCATCATCTTCTTCTTCGGTATCTTCACGATGAGTATTCTGCGCCTCAAAATCTTCTTGAACAGTCTGGGTACTGGCCTCCTGCTGTTCAGTCGCGTCCCCTGGTCTTTCCACTGCTTCAACCTCATCCATGCCGTCCTCTGTCACCGGCATACCTTCCGGAGACGCTGATGGATTTATAACCTCCATAGCACGCAGATGTGCCCTAAGCCTTCATACAATCTTTTATGGCTGAAAAAGCTTCGAAATGGTTTTACCCCCGCCATCGCTCGTACTGATTTATAACCTCGTTATCAGGGATCTTCAATGCTTCGTATCGAGGTCGAAAGGGCGGAAGTGGCCGCTTTCAAAGCGCGGCCCCAGAAATGGAAGAGAATGATAGGATGGATCAGTGGATTCCTGAGCTCAGTGCGACGAGTCACCGGACGCGGGATCTATGCTAGTGCTCACGAAGGATTTCGTCAGGGGCCAAGCCGTCCTAGCACCTCCTTCACAAATGCATTAACCACATGGTTTGATTGCGCTGATTGTTAATCGCTCATACCTGTCATTCATCGATTGGGTGGGCATAGAAAATACGACCGCTAGGGCTTATGGAACTCGTATTTAAAAGCAAACATAGGCAGGAGGTCTGACGGTAGCTTGACTTGTGCAGAGGGCCAGAGCACGGAGGACAGACTCACAGACGTCCCACCCCATCTCTACATATCATTCATCAGGGAGCCGCAGGATCATGGAGGTCTTCATCTGGATGCATAACAACACGCGGTATGACACACTTCTTCCATGGTCGCCGGAAACCAAAGTCGCTCCCAGCGGACAAGAGCGGGACGGCGAAGAGTCGAGCGTGGATTGAGGAGCGGGGGCGTGACTTCCACCCCGCCTTCGCGGTGGAGAGCGAATTCAATGAGCAACAAGAGAAATACATCCCCGCCGAGCTGGCGACAATCAGGTACGGCTATCTGCAACATACATGTGCATGCAAATATCTGTATTACAAACGGTCTAATACGCCTCCAGAGACCTTGAGACCCTTTTATTGCATCATGATGCCATCGCGCCTCCGGAGGAGCCAAGGTTCTATGACTACACTTGGCAAATGGTTCTGGATACATTAGACGAAGCAAAGGATGTGGCATCATCTCGCAAAGACTATAGCTCTGCTGCAATCCAGGGCCTTGGCATGTTGTCACCGTTGAAAGATGTCATACCTGATGAGTACGGGCTGAGTATAGTCAAAGGGGTGTTAGGTTTGGTATTTGAGGTAATCGGCTTTGGATCTCGGTAGATAGGCGGCAGACTGTGTTGGCTGACACTATATTCTTAGACTGCGAAGCGAGGAGTAGAGAATCGTGCCAAAATCTTGCAAGCATTTGAGACCGTTCCTGAGACTGTCCTGACCATTCAGACAGCCTATAACTACTTGAACCCCACTGCAGATGACGAAGAATTGTGTAGGGAATTTTGCAGAACTCTAGTTAGGACATTGCCGGGATTGCTTGATGTGTTATTGAAGAGACAGCCATGTAGGTTCATTTCATCATTATTTCACAATCTTCTTTGGCTCACGGCAGTGATACCAGGGTATCGAAAGGTCACGGAGTCCCTCACCTTGAAAATCCGAGAGACTCTCACAGTCGATCAGGTACTCTCTGACTGGAACCGTTACCTCGCAACCATCAAAGAGCGATTAGAACGCATGAAAGTCAAGATCACTGCTGCTACGGCCTATCACAGCAGCGAATCGCATCGCTTGGGTCTAGAAGCGAATACCAACATACAGACTCTTCATACTGAACTTCAAGGAGCTCGCAGCGACATCAAAGACCTAGTCACTGAAGTGAAGAAGCAGGTCGGAGCTGAGTATCGAGAGGTCTTTGCCTTTCACAAAGAGCAATCTGGGGCACAGGCAATGACTGAGCTTCTACACGAGTTCAAAGCCCTATGCAAAGAATCCCGGGAGCAGTATGAAGTCCAGCAGGGTCAAATATTCCTCCTGCAGCGTGGTAGGACCGCTTCAAGTGCATTGTCGTCCTATGATACTGACTGCTTCTGACCAGCCTACTCGGACCTGGCACATGAGAACGAAGCTCTCCAATCAACCATCTCGCTCAGCAGTACAAATTCTCGAGACTCGGCATCTACAACAGTCACTCCAATCGAACTACTCGGTATACTGGGCGTCTCACCACATACCGCAGCTCAAGACCTCGAGATTGTTCTTCAAGAAGGCAGTAAATTCAGATCCTCCTACCTCGGACGTGTGCGATGGCTCGCCAGAACGGATGAGTTCACTGAATGGCTTCGGTCCCCACAGTCATCACTCCTCCTAGTCGACGCCCGTCTAGATACCAGTCCAGCAATAATGGTCACTCCCATGTCAATATTTGTTTCAACTCTCATATACAGCCTGATAAGCAGTCCAGACTGTCTACCCCTTTTCTTCTTTGCATCGCTACACGATGAAGACGGAGATCGGGAGCTCAGCGGCCCGACAGGAATGATGCGAAGTCTCATCACCCAGCTCCTTTTCAGCGACAAGCTTGCCACGCCGAGCCTTCAATTTCTGGGTAGAGGATTCCTCAACGCCTGTGAGAGCAACAACATAAAAGCACTTTGCGAGCTATTCAGACGACTAATACTGCAGATTCCTCCTAATGTACAAGTTATCTGCCTTCTGGATGGAACAGCCGCATATGAGACAGGGTCACTCACAGGCGAAGAGATCGACTACGTAGCCGCCTTGTTTCAGCGACTTGTCGAGGATTCGGTTGAGACAGATTCCATGCGGCTGAAGGTGCTTTTTACATTCGCAAACCAAAGTTTGCAGATTTCCGATAGGGTGGATATGTATCCTGATGTCTGGCGGTACGCTTCGCTGGCGGCCGGACATGTGGATCCTCTGTCTCGGCTGGATTTCGCACAGGAGTGGATGGAGTAAATCTTACTGTAGAGAAGTAGTTCGTTGCAGTGGAAATAGACACATGTAGCCTTCATATGCAGTTTCAATCGAGTTTGTTCCTAGGTCTGCCTTCATCTTCTGGCTGTAAAGCATGGCGCTTGTAATTTCCGAGCGGGCTACCAAGAAAACATCCCTGTAGATTGAACTGAATACTTACGGCCCGAGCCTTAAAGTGGGCAATGCCCATTCCTCTCAATCTGGGCATTCTTGTTCGTGGCATGTGGGCTAAGCTTATATGTGACTGGCTTTGTGGCTTGTGGTGATGCTACGTCATGTATCGAGTATATGTGAAAAGTTTTGAATAATTTGGAGACACTGACAGTCGACAGCCACAAGTACCTTTATGTCGGCGTTATACTTTATGACGAAACTATGAAGCTTATCATGAAAGCTGTTCCTCAATAGTGGATTTGTGAAGATGACAATTTCAGTCGTTATCAGATCGGCAAATCGAGCTGATCGGAATGTATGATCTGCGCAGGGCATAAGTGGAATGATGACAATCCTGTCTTGTTGGAAAGTATAAGTCGCAATATGATTTCATAAGTGAGGGGAGGATTGATCTGTTAGAAAATGGAAGATTTGGTCAAGCCTGGGACTACGTCAACTCAGATTACAGACCAATAAACTTCGCCTAATTTAAGCCCATTGGTGCCAGTGGGGATGGCTTGCATTCCTCAGAGACTCCTAAGCGGAGAATATGTGTGAATCATCTTGCAGATTCGTCGCCGGGTGGCTGTCAGCTTACCGCGAGAGGAGGATTACTTTCATCCCTTCGGGAAGAGCTCTCAGCATTGCCTCGAATCCGGGTAACACTGCGCGGATGACGCGAATCTAATGCGAGTGAATCGGCATGTTGGTGGTGATACATAGATGGCGCGAGGTAAGCTGACTTCATCTCGTGTAGGAACAGGTGTTGTAGAACAAAGAGACTTTGGAGCCAGTCCCTGCAGGGAATTTGGGCCATGCGGTGTCCTCGAGTTGGCCGCTGTGCTCTCTTGCAATGTTTGCTCCCACCCTGCGCATAGCTTAGTCATATATAGGGGGTCCAACGAATCGTCGGCTGTCGGTTTGTTCTATCTGAATCCTTGCCAGTGTAGCCCCTTGAACGATGGCAACCCGGAGTATGAGGGAGAGAGGATCGGCCCCGTGAAGCCAATCGGGGCCCTCCGATTGGGAGTTCCTTAGGATGCCGTTGGTCACGGGGGGCGCTAACAGCGGGTGTCGTGATGTTTGCTGGGAAATCCGACGAAATGAACAGCAGCACTGGTTCCATTCGTCTTTGCTGGATGCTGCTGGTGACCATGGTTACGAACAGTGTGATCCATCTTTCTGTGACGACTCATTTGTGCTTTGGGTCAGTACCACTTCTAGTCCACTGGACTTGAGGTGCGGGATCCACCCATTTGGGCACTATTGTCATGATGGCCTGTGCTGTCTCGGATGGTTTCTTTTGTTCCCATCCACTGGGCAGCATCGGCAAGCTCCGGGGTAAGGCAGCAAAACGGACAGGTCAACTTTGACCTCCCTCTGGGGAATGCAGACCTGCAGGCTGCAGTCAGCGCGGCGCAAGTGAATGAATGGGGGAGTGGGTTGATGAATGGGGGAAAGAGGGGAGATGATGTTGCCTGGATGGGGCCTGGCAGGGTCACCTGGACGCGGCCATGTTTTGCCTCAACGACTATTAAGCCTGCAGGCTGAAGATCTCCGGCGTGTCTTCGCTCCTGCCCTTGCAGCTGATCTCTCCCCCAGTCCCGCCCACCAACCAACGCCGTCTTCGAATACAAAAGAATCTCCCCTGACTCGCTTGCTCGCTGGCCTGTCCTCCCTCTTGTTACCAGCCATTTATCGCGATCGATTACCTCCTGGAGGATTCCTTTTCCTCCCCCCTGCGTTTGGCGGGAGACCCTGCCCCTCAATTCACCGCCAGACGCAACACTGACAGCATCTACCGGGCAGTGCTGTTGGTACTGACCTCAACATTCTCTCACATGCGAACCTTCAGCCTAGTTGTTCCTTTGATCATGTAGCTGAGTTGGGGCTCTTACTTACTTCTGAGCTAGACTGCAGCCTTGGCATCTCTCACCATGGAAAGTCTCCCCAAAGGCTTGCTGACTACGGCAACAAAGGTATCAACAGAGTTGGATGGCGTGGGTCCAGTGCATATTGGGGATGTCGTGCAGCTTTGGAAAGGTGGGTTTGTCCGCACCTTCCCTTGTCTCGAATGTAACGTGTCTCATAGCGCAATAGTATACAGTGCCAATCCATCAGCGCATGATGACGACGTGGGATATAGGCTGGAGAACTTCTTCTGGAGAATATGGGGGAGTCATTGTCTGAACCATACTCTCCTGGGATCTACGTTGGCCAGCCTGTTCCTACGTATTTCCGAGCCCAACCCGTTTAGTCTGGTGCAGCTGAGCAAGGTGAGGAATATCGCACGGCTGATGCGCGGCCTACGTTGACATCGATGGCAACTTGTGCTAACTTGTACAGGCAGCCAAAGCAGCTCAGTCATCCAAGGGGAATCGTGAAGGGCCCTCGGGGAGGCCGGGCGTTAATAACGGGAAGGCACCACTTCACCCCATACTCAAGAAGCCCCGAAACGGAAGTTCCAGCGGAGAAACACATAAAACAACTCGTCTGCTCCTGACGGGCATTGATGGTCAGAGTACAACTCGCAAACCCTCGAATCCCCCTACGCCGGTTCCTCCACCAGTGCCTACAATGGGAGACACTGCGCCCCGACAGACGCAGAAGAAGGCGATTTTTGTGGCAAGCAAGGCAAAAAGTAGCAAGCGTCGGCCTGTGATAATGCGACGCAAGTCCTCACAGCAGTCGTCTGGTACCAGTTCAACCCGTGCCCAAAGTCCACCACCAGACCCACCGCAGCTGACTCTGGATTATGCCCAAAGCCCACAAATTCAAGCATCTGGGAGTGCGTCGAAGGCTACCGTTGATGCATATGAACTTATTGAAACGATGCCATTGTTGAGAAGCCATGGCGAACCTCGTTCAGACCTTGCCGTATCCCCAAGAGACACGAAGAACGAGCTTCCCGGTAAAGGCCTCTTTATAGAAGACGTACTCGAGAAAGACCCAGCCGAGGAAGAAAGAGCCCAAGTTGAAAGATCCCCGGAACTACCAGAATTGTTCTTATCCGATCTCAGAGAGCTTCTTGACACGGAACGACCAGAAGTGGCATATGTTAAGCCGCCACCTCCACGTCGAAGAGCATTCTATTCAGTCGAACCTTCCCTACCCGAACCCAATTTTTTTTCAGCTACTGGATGTCGCCGCTATGATGCACGATATCTGTCGGCGGAGAACTACGAGCAACCATCCAGCATGAAACTTGTTGACAAGAACTTCCGAAAGCAATTCTCGGATCGAGTACGCCGGGAACAAGTCCTGGTTTCTTCTCTAGGTTCACCTGAGCCAGAGACCGAACCCAAGGCAATACTACCCAAACCAGTACGGGCTGAATCTAGCAGCACGGTCACTAATGACACATCTCCATCCCGGTTTGGGGATTCACACGGAAAGGCGTCCACGGCTCCAAGCTCTGCCGTTCCTTTCCAACGGCCTTCAAACTATGAGGATTCGTTTTCAACTGACAGTCAGGGCAGTACGGAAGAGGAAGTGCCTCCAGTGTTGACCACCTTTACGATGCCACGCAGACAAAGTCAGCTTAGTGTGATGATCGAGCAAAGTCGACAGCAGGGGGTAGAAGAGGGTCAGCAAGAGACGGAAGAGGTTATTGAAGAGATTAGAGAGTAGTATGATAAAAGAAAAATGAGTGCTGACAACTCATCTGAGTGAGCAGGACGAAGGTTACAATATGCGATTCACAGCCATTTTCTAAGATCTCAAGACATTACTCGTGCGTCGGTGCATGCACTCAGTGCTCAATACAAAATACAAGATTTATGCAACAATACTCTTCCATCCATCTCCTTGTCCCATCCATTCCTCTTCTCATATCCCTCCCTCCCTCATGCCCTTTCCCTTTCCCAAATAATCACCCTTCCACCCCAAACAATCAATCCCATCTACACCCCCTGCTGCTTCTCCTCAACCCCATCAACCCCAAACACCCCTCTCTGCCCCCTCCACCACCTCATCCCCTTCCACAGCGCCGTCCCAACCCAAAGCAGCAGATTCACCAAATCCACCCAAACCGCATGCCTCATCCTAGTCACCTCACTACTATCCTCATAATCCCCGATATACATCTTCCCAAAGATCCCAAACAGCGTCAACCAAAACACACATAACACAGCCTCCCACACAAATAGCGGCAAATTCCACCTCTCGCGCATCGCCAACGGCGTTCTCGTCTTCAACACCCAATGCATCATAACAAGGTAGAACAGCGCCGTTCCGCACCCCATCATCCCCGTTACGATGGCGTACACCCAGCGCGCATCAGCGGACTGGGACTTTTCGTGCGCGTGGTGGATATCGATCCCGTAGAGGACGATGGTTGTTAGAGCGAAGACAGCCTGCAGGATGTGCAAGAAAAGTTCGGTGTAGTGCTTTAGACGTGGGCGGCGGGGTATATTGGACGGAGGAGGTGGTGGGTAGTCGAGGTTGATGCCGTCCGGGGTTTGGTTTTGATTCTTGGATTTGGATTTGAAGATGCGGCGGATAAGGCGGAAGGCGAGGAGGTACATTTTGATTGATCTGATGTGTTCACGGAAGAAAAAGAGATGTATAGATATGTGTGTGTGGTATGTGGTATGTGAATGTATGTGTTGAGGTGGGAGATTATTGCGCCAGCGCAAGATAGTAATATCACGGTCAATCAAAATATGTATAGAACGAGTAGTGGTATGTATGTATGTAGTAGAAGGATGGATATCAAAGAGAGAACGATGGCAATGATAGTAGTAGTAGTGATCGTTCAATGAAACAATGATATAGATAGATTGTACTCGAACAAAGGAGACTCAAAGAAAGAGGAATAGAGCGAGAGAGAGAGAGAGAGAGAGATGAATACTAAAGAATAAAGAATGCTTTTTTGCTGCTGAACAATTCAAACCAAGATAACTTCTAGTACACTCTTTATATAACCATGAACCCAATACCAAGACACCTAGTACATCTATTTTTATCATCGTCAACATCTTCAGCAGAAGCCAGCCCCATCCAATTACACACTGGCAAGGGTAGTTCGTATCGCTGGGCTGAAACTTGCTATTCCTGGAAGCGGCAGTTATTTACTGATTGACTGACGGATTGACATCTGTGTAGCGCGCGCCAATTCATGCAATCAAGGTTTCAGGGCTGCAGAGAGACGGCAAATCTGGTGATCATAGGGTGAGTGGTTGTATGGTTGGTGGGCGAAGCGCCGTGCCCTCGTTGGACTTTAGAAGATTGGACGGGGGTTGGTTGGGAAGGATATTTGGGGTTACGCTTGGCGGCAAGTGGAGGGATCGATCTTCAACAGACCAGAACATGGATTCCTTTCTTTCTCTCCTGCGTCTCTCGCCATAGGATCTGATCTACATACATTAGCGCTACGGACTAAGATACTATCGCCCAACCATCCATCCATGTTCTCTCTGCATGCATAATACCGAGACATCGAAACCCCCCTGATTCTCATCCGTCCGTCCATCGGGCTCTCTCTCTCTCTCTCTCTATCCGTGCTCCAATGACATTCTCCAATATGCATTGATGCTGCTCAACAATTCCAACCTGAACCTGAAATATTCATGTGCGACGCTGACGTGACATTCATCGACCGGAGCGGGGATTCATTCATGCAAGTGATGGGAAAAACGAAAAGCAGAAGGCTAACACTCAACCATGCAGTGGAAGGGAAATAGAAAGAAAAGATTAATGGTTGAAGATAGAAGAAAACATGCGTTAAAACAGGAACAGACAAAGAAGGGAAAACCGAAAGGAAGAGTGAGCAACGGCCTATCACCGCTCGCTAGCCCGATAGCCGTTGCTCCATTGTCAGGGCGGCCTTGTGCCGCCGTCCGTTGCACTCTTAGCGCCCGACCCTGTTGCAGCAGCTAATTTAGGCGGATGCCCTGGCGGCGGTGCAGTTTTGACGGAAGTTGGAGGCGCTGGAGGTGGGGTTGGAATTCCCTCGTCCTCGTACTCATTGCCTAAATACTCGTCATCATGCACCCCTGGTCCTCCGCTTGAAGAATGATCCACGGACGCCCGGCCGTATCCCTGGTCATAGGCTGCGTGCTGAGCCGCTGCGTGCTTGCTGGCGTTCTTGGTCGCTTTCTTGCCCTTACGACCCTTCATCTTGGCCTTCTCGAGCAATCGCTTCTTCTCCGCCAATCGTTTCCGCTCCTTGCGATCCTTGATCTCGTACTGGCGAATGAGAGCCTCGGGCGGGTGCCCAAAGATGCTCTCGTACTCGCAGAACTCGCAGATCCAGATGTCCTCGAGGCTGGGCGGGTGGTGAAGGTTGGCATACTGCTGCTGGATTTTGCGTTGACGCGCGGCCAGAGCATAGATGCTACCCGGAGACCGCTTCTTCTTCCTACCCGTGGGCGCAGGCTCAGTTCCCGCAATTTGTAGTTGCGGCTGTTGCGAGTGCTGTGACTGTTGAGATGGCCCTGAAGAGTTGACTTGTGAGGAAGCGTTTGGGATTGTCTGGGTGCCTTGTGAGTATCCCCGCTGGCTCTGGACAGCCGCAGTGAGAGCACTGGGTGAACGGTGAGGAACAGGGTACGCGTTCTGTGCCTGCAGGGCCATTCCCTTCGATGAATCCGACTCGCATGTGAATGTGAACTGGGTCTTGGTCGGCGTAGGCGTTTGTCGTTCGAGCATGCTGACATGGCCGGGTCCAGGAGGGGGTGAGGAGAATGCTGAAGCAGCGGCATTTGCGATAGCGGCGGAAATTATACCCTGGTCTGGTTTCGGAACCGAGTCACCTAGACGTGCGTAAGCGAAGCCCGAACACTCGGTAAGACACACAAGAGAAACATACCTGCTCCTCCCGGGGACGACAACAGGCCATCGCGCCGCGTAGGGGTGCGAGGCCAACTGATGGGAGAATGAAGCGACAAGGAGTTCCTCCCCGTGCTACCACGCTGCGGATGGCGGCCAAGGCGACCTCGTCCCGCGCCGGACATGCCGCTGGAGATCGGAGACGCGGGGCTGCCCGTGCCATAGAAGGTACTCACATGGCTGCCTTCGCCAGCAGTGGAAGGGGACTGAAAAGACGTCGCAAGGCCCATGCTGGAGAACTCTGGAGAGAGGGTAGAGTGGTGACTGCTGAGGTTGCCTGGTGTAGGAATTTTGCGTTTCTTCTTGTTGTTGGTGTTCTCAAACGCATCGTACCCATCGGGACCCGCCGAAGAGGACTTCACTTGAGGCCCTTCACTGTTGCTGGGCAGCGTCTGAGGGGGGGCACTGGAGGCGGCGGAGGGGGACAATGACGACCCGCGGAAACCAGCACTTCGACGCACAACTACGGGCCCGTCCTCATCAGCGCTCTCCAACTCCACCCCATTCTCATACGGCAGATGGTCACGCTCAGGGCTTTGGTCGCGACCGTCGCTCTGTTGCACATACACTTTGGTGTCATTTACAATGTCTGCGCTGTCCACGGAGGTTCCGTAGAACAGCTGGGTGGC